GTTCAATGAGAGTCTTGGAAGCCAGTTAGATGCCCAAGCAACAAAGCCAAGAGAATATCTGACAATACTGTAAAACAATAATATTTAATCATAAAACGGCAGACTAATTTAGCACCTTATAACAGAAAAAGATAGAGTAGAAATTATTGTCAAGAACCTATAACAAGGAAAATGAGAAGGTTCAATGAGAGTCTTGGAAGCCAGTTAGATGCCCAAGCAACAAAGCCAAGAGAATATCTGACAATACTGTAAAACAATAATATTTAATCATAAAACGGCAGACTAATTTAGCCATCTTTGGTAAATTCTTATTTCACGTTCTCTTTAATACAGTCTCAGTATTGATTTGATCATTACATTTTTATTTGACTGTATTTCTATAATTTCCATGTTGCCACATGAAAAGAAAGATTTATCTTTTATCTCATGAAAGAGTTTAAAATTGACTCAGATTTGAAATCATGCACCCAGACAAAAAAGTATTAACCCTAGATCCCTGGTCCCAGATGAAGATGGGCCCCCTAATATTGTCAACAGGCCTCTGAATACCTCAAAGAATCAAATGGCTAGGTGTTTATCAATAATAATTGGATGATTTCTTTAGCTTTTCTTGCATTCTCCTTCAAATTTTTTATTTGCCAAATCACTATCAATTATTTGTTACCTTAAAGAAAGAGTGAAAAATTCTGATTTTGAAAAATTTGACCCTTGAAGGTTTATAAGGACATACTTTTGAAAGTCAACATCTATACCAGTGTTTTCTTGAAATTTAAAATCCTGTCTATATCACGGTCACCTATAGCTTCAAGATTCAAAAAGCATATTTTGTACTAAAATTAGATAAATTATGACCTTAGAATGATATTCTTAAGATTTAATTGCTTTGAATTCATGTGTAGTGGAAAATTGAAAGAGGGTCATTTTGCTTTGTTTTTGGGAGAGACTCTTAACTCTTACAGAGCCTTTCTTTACCTGTGGTTACCGATCGCTATCAGAAAACTATAGGTGGAGGGAAACTTGCGCAATTTCAGAATCCCAAACTGCAGAAGTATTAATACTTATGCTGTGCTGTGGAAACTAGGATAAGCTCTGGTAACAATAAACTCATGATATTTAATAATTATGGTACAGATGGCCTAGGTGTTGTTAAATGTTATACTACAATTGTAAGAGAGGCTAGACTGGCCACAAATGTTTGTTAGGATATCTAGGTTTGGTGTGACAAAAAATGTTCAAAGTAGTTTGCAAAACAGTTAGAATTTACCTGCTGTCATAGTTTCAACCATCAAATCTAGCACATTCTTTTCAGCCTCATTATACTCTGGCCACTCTTATCCCAGATCTACAATTCTCCTCTGACCATGATGAACTGTCCAAAGGCTTGTCCATAGCTATTCACAGGTCACCTACCATAGCTTGTCTACAGATCATATACCATAGCTTATCCACAGGCCACCTTCCTGAGTTTGTCCACATCCACCTACCAAGGCTTGCATGATACAACGGTTTACTGCTGTACTAACCAATGCAGTCTACAATATGAGAACACAAGAAAAGTTTGTAATTGTCTGACCATCAGCTTTACATCTTGACAGTTATCATGCTAAAAGAGCAAGTCTAACTCTTACCATACTGATTGTTTCGGCCGCGACGAAAATTAGATACGTCATAGCTACTTAATTAGGTTAATCACCGTTAATAACATTAGTACTGCAAGCTTCCTCCCGAAGTCGACATCTGAGGCCATCGGGTATGTAAAATCTGTGGTTCGTTTTCTTTGAACTTTGTTCATATAACCTGATAAACTGTTTGTAATCATAGGTTTCGAAAGACTCATCAATAAACAATAGAAAGTCCTTTGAAACGTGGCTATTTTATACTGTTAACGCTTCGGTCGAGGAAACACTGATATCAAAGCATACAGTTTTCAACTAGTCGACATCTATACCAAAAAAAACGTTTTGGATCATTTGTGCAGAATGTGGCTGTGCATAGTATCAGTTAATTATTTCAAAACTCCATGATATCCTTCAAGCTAAATCTTAGTGATGGCCAATCCAGCTGGAAGACATCATTCCCCTATGTTAAACTTGGAGACTGGAAACTGCAATTTACTGTGATTTTTATTCTTCCAGTTATTCTTAGACACATTTTCCTTGTGAGATAATTCAATGGAAAAACTGTCACTATGTTAGAGTCACACAACAGTCTACCAAACAGGACCCACATCAAAAAAAAGTTCACCTCTCAATCATCAAAAATATGTCTCTAACAATCAAATTTACATCTAATCTGGTTTCTGATCATTGGACAATGTTCAATAACAGTGAATATTATTTAGTAAGTAACAGTGAGAGGTGTGTTTTAACAGTGAATGATGTCTTGAGACAATGAGTTACCTCTGCAGTCAGTGAAAGTTTACATGACAGTGAGTATCCTGTACCAGTGTATAAAGTTTAGATTCAGTGAATGATGTTTGTAACCAAGTGACCCTTATTATTGTAGTCTGAATACCTTTTAGGAGTAAGTGATTCCTGGTACATGTAACATTCTAAATTTAACTCTGGTAGCAATTTATTATGTCCAGTGATGATAAGCGATGTTACTAACAGCCGCTAATGTCTTTCAATTTGATAGTAGGTGATAGTTAGTAATGGATGATTCAGAATTATTTGAAACACCTGATAATTTCAGGAATATTTATGGAAATGTTCAGCATTGTTGGGAAGTCTTCAAAACACTTTGGTTACCTATAGAGACTATCGGCCTATTTTTGTAAATTCAGGTCATAATTATAAGAAAATGACACATCTCCGCTATTGTTTACTTTGGTCACTTAACTGTATGTATGATGAATGCACAGAAATCTTGCTTAGTTGCTAGGCATATGAATGTGTTCTTCTCCAACTTGAAATTTAAGTGAATATTAACCTCCATTAATATGAATCTAGACATCAATAACTGAGAGGCCTGGACTGGGTACAGGCAGGGTGCAAATTAGTATTTTCCCTTTTCTTTAAGATTGAGAAATTTGTTCAGCATATAAGTCATAAGACTTGGGTAGAGCCAATGGCTATTCACCATGCTAACGCATTTTAATTGCAAAATTACTTAGTATTACTGCTTAGGTATCGATGCACTTTTTTATTAGTGATCTAGCAAGCAAGCAAGCAACAAGTTTATTACTAGCTTTAAGAAAGTTTTAGCTTCCCTCCTACCCACATCATCAACAGTTTTGATTGTATCTTAATCTCATTCGTGTTTGTAATTTATTCTTGATTACTGGACTGTTGGTTCAGTTTATTCGTCAAATATCTTTTATGTGATAGTCTAATGTGTTATTTACGTAGGAGATATACATTTAATAAACTATCTGGTCCCAAAACAAGCCTCTGTCTATTGTAGTGTTAAGTTTCATTTACATTTTAGAATCATGAAGAAAGGGAAGCTTTACTAGGGTGAATGTGCGCATACACTTTAATTGTAAAAGCTGATGTTCTCCTTCCATCGACGTACTTTAAGTATATAACAGTGAATTAGGTAGAAGTTCAGACTGCTTAAAAAAGTAAGAATATCTTCATGACAACCAGTTTAAAAGGTACCTTACCTTTAGCATGTTGCATCAGTTTGGCTCTCCATTTTCTGTCTTTGCAGGCGCTGTGAGCACTTTTGTTGCAAACAAACATGACAAGGCGAGAGAAAGCATCTTGGGAAGGCAATTCAGATCAAATATCCCACTTTTGTTCGGTAACTGGTGACAAAGTACGTAATCTTCGCTAAAAGCTATTCGTCTTTTCCGCCATGTTGCATTGTTTCTCGTTCCCAATTTCTCCCGGTCTTCTCGCATTAAAAAATAAGTCACGCGTGCGCGTCACGCGTGAGTTTCTATCGTTCGCGGGAAAACGCGGGAGATCTCGCCGGTACCTCGCACATCGAGTTTTTTGTTAGATAAGGGTGATATTCAGGTTTATCCATCCTATCAGAGAGCAGAATTTCTTAAGAGACAAGCCATAGTGGCGGCGCTCTCAAGCGCGGAGTGTTTTACCATAACTGGCTGAAACAAAGATCTGTTTCATCTCACTAAAAGCAAATGGACAAATCATGAGCATTTTTGGTCTCAGCTTGAGTTTTAAACTAATTGCTTACAAATTGATGTAAAAAAAAAGATACCAATGATACGGAAAAATGCAAACAAATTATTACATGTATAGTGAAGGAACCATGGATGGCATATTTATGGACTTTTTTCGATTCAAAATTCTCCAAATGATTTAAAATACCTTCCCCCAAAGGACTATTTTCAAAGGCTCATTTCCCGCAATCGAGAACGTCTTTCAAGAGAGGGGAGTAAAAACCGCACGTAGTCTTCAGTTGGCGAACACGGACCCTGTTCCAGACTGTCTCGGGCCTCATCCACGCTACTGCGTTTTCGTTCGTAAACGTATACGATTTGGTGCGTTTTTGCCTACCACGGCCGCACGAAAACGATCGAAAACTTGAATAAAAACGGAGATCTCTGGAGAGAAGCGCCTTTTTGAAACGCTCCGTTTCTTGTGTGGACAAGTGAAAACGGAGGATTTTGAAAACGATGATGGAAACTGCTTCAATCACTATCGCTTTTATCTGCGCCTTCGGACCTTTTAGTGCAAACAATAGACGAAATTAAGACTCTTCCAAATGTATGCGCTACTGAAATGAAAAAAAATGAAGGTGTGGATTAAGAGGGAAACTAAAAAGCTAGTGTGGGTGAAAATGTTTTCCTTCGTTGCGTCTCAGACGAAAACAGACACTTAGAAAACCCTTTAGTGTGGTCGCTCGGGGCCTTAGTTAGTGAAGAAGAGACGAAGAGTAAGTTAAGACCGTACAGAATAACTCAGCCTTGTCCTCTTCACGTGACCATAAGTAGGTTTTATAGTCAAGGTAGCCAATCAGTAGTGCATAACAGAGGGAGGGCAAAGGTCTTTAGAACTAATTGTTTAACGGCCTGATTTATTCGCATATTTTAAAACTGGACCGTTGTACAAAATAATATTTCAAGATAACCATCGCAAAAATTCGACACTTAAGAAGAGCTGCTTACGAAGATAATGTTGTTGCGTAAACAAATGAAGATCACAAATTCTATATGCCGCATTTTCTCTACAAGGAGAGAACATCTACGGAAATGTTCTTAAAGAGAACAAGTTACTTCTAATAAACAATGATGATTGTTTTTTTTGCTTCTTATAAGAAAACAAAGAGCACAAAAAGTTTCTGCGTCATTTTCTAAATATATAAATTGCAAATCTATAACATTCTACAACATTCTAAAAACCTACTGGCTATATCGACGCAGAACCGTGAACCATTTGTTTAGAATATTCTGGACACGTTCCTGCAGCAATATCCACATAAAAGGGCAATTCAAATTTCTTAACTGAGTTATCTACAAACAGTTTTCTGATTGTGTTATGTCGATTGCCGAAAGATTCAGTGAAGCCTTACAGTGGAAAAGTATTAGCAATATACATATTGAAATGTTTCGAGCCCTTCAATTGGATCACTTTTCAGCAAGCTCTCTCTCAGAGCGATTTTGCAAAAAAAATCAGGTGCAATCTAAAAATCCTCGCTGATTTACTTATAACAGGCTTTCTGAACCTTTTTCGTCGATTGGCGACTGACAAAGTAAAGAAATACTCTGGAAAAGTACTTTTGTTATAAATTTGGGAATTTTTCGTGCTCTTGAAACCCTTACGTAACCATTTGCTCCCATGCAAAATGAGAATTTTCGATAAATTTTAGGATACAACTTAACGATGATTTCTATATTTTAAATGCCGATAACTCCAATAGCGTAAGCATTTCTGCCTTGTGGTAACTCGATATACTTCTCCCATCTGTTGAGTTCAAAATCAAAGGCATATGCGGTATTTTCACCACCATCAGCGCCAAATGCCACGAGCATGTTTTGCACAATTTTAGCCCGGCACAAAGAATATCCTACGGGTAACGGAGGGAAGTTTAGCCATACATGTCCCTCCAAATCAAACGCCTCAACTTCTAGCACATCGGATCCGCTCTTGTCGCAGCCACCAACCACAAAAAGCTTTCTTTTCCATGCTACAGCAGCACAGCCGTAGCGCTTTCGCTTCATTGGCGGTAGCTTTGTCCATTTTCCTTTCTCTCCGTCGAAAATTTCAGCTGAATTCTTAGCGCTGTTGAAGTAGAAGCCTGATCCACCTCCAACCACAAGCAGCTTCCGGTCGATGATTCCGCCACCAAAGTTGCAGCGGGGTTCCAGCATCTCTGGAAGTGTGAACCACTCTCTCTTCTTGACGTTGTAGAGCTCGACACTGCTTAGGACAGTACCTTGGTCGCAGCCTCCAGCTACGAGAATCCCGTGCTCTGTTCCTGTCGCATAACAACCCCATCGTCTTTTTCTCATTGGTTTAAGGATGCACCATTCCTTAGTAACCCAGTCGTACATCTGAACCGTGTTAAGGGCCTTCCATCCACCAAAACCGCCCGCAACCACAAGAGCAGGAATAGCTGTTACTTCCGTAGCATAACAAGCCGTTGTCTTCACCGGCAAAGGCGCAATTTCCCGCCATGTTCTTTCGGCACAATTGAAGACTCCAACAGCCGAAGAGGGCTCGCTTTCGTTGCCCTCGGTTGCTCCTCCGATGACGAATATATTTTCGCGCAATTCGATTATGTCATACTCTCGATCAAAGTCGGTTTCTTTCCCGGATCTGGTCTCTTCTCTTTCGGAAATGTCAACTTTAACTGCGGTGTCGTGGAGAAATTTCGTTTGGAATTTTTCCTTCAGTTCGCTCGGAAAAGCTAATACAGATTCAAGCTTCTCTCGCAGTTTTTCTCGCGCCTTGTCGAAGTTGAATTCATCGTGTTTATCCTTCAGTTTCTTTTTGTCAAACGAATCAGTCTCGACGACGATCTGGGGTTCTTTAGTTTTAGACCAGATGGCGTCAGGTTTTGTCGTTGGAGCATCTTTCTTGAATGGGAATCCTTCTTCTTGCTTCTCATTAATATCTCCCTTTGGCAGAGATCGAAGCCATACTGAAGCGTCTCGCAATACATCAACTGCACGCTCCATGTTTACACATAACTTGCACTCACGTGTGTTTTTCCGCTCAAACTCAGAGTTTTGTACTCGAGACAAAAACAATTTACTCTCAGACTCCAAATGAACCTGAACTCTGAACACACTGCGCAAAATTATCGATCTCTCGGGCTGCCCTTGATCGCCGGCTTCATCTACTTCAAACAAGTGAAATCACCCATAGGACGTGAATGTAAATTCTAGAAGGTTTCGTTCTCCTTCAGGTGTCAAGCACAAAGAAGCGATTTTCGTCTTAGGGTATTAATTGCATTGAAGCCTAGTTAAACGTCGCGAACTGGTAAACACAACCGAGCGGTATGGAAAATTACTGCTGCCTGAGTAAAACGGATGTTTCAGTTTTTGAGTTGCTAAGTGATCTTTTACTTGTTAAACCTCGCAGCGTATTTGCATATCGAAAGACGCGTCTGTTCTTAAAATATCGGGGTGAAAATCATAACGCCGCCAATATTACGAATGAAACTGTCATCATTTCATTGAGATAAACTGAAACGAAGGTCAAGCGAGACTGCACTTCGTTTAGATAAAATTTTCGTGGCAACCAAAAAGTAACGATCCCTTTGAGTTAAAATTAATATTAATTACATCTGCATAATTTGCTCCGCCGGAGAAGTCATAAAATCAAGTTCACACTAATCAAAATGCATTTTCTCCTATCAATCTCGATGCAGATAGAGGAAAACTAGAAAGCACCTGTTCGCTTGTTAGTAGTGAAACAGTTCTTTATTTTTTCCCAGGACAGGAAATAAATTTGACGGCATTATTTTCCAAGCGAAATAGATTAATTAGAATGACAATATCCCTTGGCCCATGAATGCGAACGTTCATACATATTCAAGCTGCCAATTTCTAAAATTTTTGACACTTGTCACAATTGTTTTTTTTTTAATCAATGCTCCAACTTTTTCTAGAAAATTGAAGGAACAAAGGGACGTTTAAAAGTTATCTTTACCCGCGTGCAATGAGTGATCTGGAAGAAAAAGGAATTACAGCGATCCCTTGCTCTTAAAAGAATTGGCTTAGTTACTCGCCCATTGTTATGCGTCAGGCGCTAATAACATTCAATCTCTAGAGGTAGAGCTCCTAGCAAAATCGTTTAAGGTCAAAAGAATATTCACCAAATATTCAGCAACAAAAATTGCATTAATACCAATACGTTTTAGAAGGAAATGAAGAGGATATAAGCTCTACTTTCGCTGCCCGGTAATCGTGCGCTTTACAATAAAACGAAACTCAGTTTCGTGACAACATTCCTCGCTCATGAATTTCTGTTCACAAGGCACGTGAACTGATGAGCATGACGTGCTCTGACGTAGCAGATCGATAGATTGTAACCCAGCTCTAAAAGTATTTATTTTGACAGATAATCTTGATTACGGGCAACTATTAAGAAACAATGGAGATGTAGTAAGCCGTTTGTTATTCAAGATCCCAACACGAGGCAATAGTGACGAAGAACTCAGAGGATTTTGCGTACTCGGCTCAGGCTTGCGTCCTAAAGTGACGGGGGGGGGGGGGGGGGAGAGGGAGTGGGGTGGGGTGGGGTTACACTCTGATATAAGCTCCGTAGCCGTGTGCCACTACAAAGTGTATGACTTTGTTGCCGATTTTCCGAAAATGGTCATACATTTTGACCAGACTTAAGCTTAGGCGTCCATTAAGGTTTCCCATTGAGTATGGAGTATTTTCAAGGGAACACGCATGTCTTTTCTCTTCCTAATAACAGAGACAGAGTTGTAACTCATTCATATAATTCGAGTTGTGTTTCTGGATGAATTGGGCAAATTCTTGTCTTTGGCACTGTTTACTCCACAAGATTTGGATAATAGTGACCAGGTCTGAAAATAAGCGTGTTTATTGGCATTGTTTTGGTCCCAAACACGATCAGGATTTGTAAAACCGTGCAAGAAACCTTCAGCAAGAATTCCTGGGATTACCCTTTCCTCGGGAGGGGGGGGGGGGGGGGGGGCTGGGGGGGCTGGGTGGAAAAAGGGAAGGGTGAGAAAGGAGAAGCCCATGCTAAGGAAACCCCTGAGGAAACCAACTATTTGTGAGTCCATTATGACATTTTTCAAATCAAGAAATTATTATTTCCCGATAAAATTCTGTCGATATCGAAGACATTTGAAAGGAAGAAAAAAATACAGCCATCAACCAGTTTGGATTCGCACACTTTACTTTCTCTCTTTCTTGTTATCACACCCTGCCCCACCCGATCAAATTCTGAATGAAATAAATCAACAGTTCATACACAAGATTCTAGATTCACATCATTTAAATAATAATTATTAAATAAGAGTCTATCTAAAATCATTCTCTCTTTACGAACCAAACAAGATAATTAAACATGATCATGTAAAGTTTACGACTGGTTAGTATAATAGATGAAATGAGTACGTGTATCAAAACATAAGAATTCTGTTGTACCTCTCGAGTAGTGGTTGACATTTAGGCTAAAATGTTGGAGTAAATGTTCCTAATATATTTCCCTCCAACGTGATTGCCTGGTTGAAATCCAACGCGATGACCCACGCGATAACGCGTGGACTGCCTGCTGACACGCGCGATCGGTTAAGAGAGAGGCTCTAATATCATCCGCTAATTTTCCATCTGGCTACGCCACGCGTGCGTCTTGTTAGAGGCGCGTTTCTCATCACGAAAGAAAAAATGGTTGTATGACTTTAAAGGCTAAAGAACGTTTGCTGCGAGTATAACTACTTCTGTTCCAAAAAGTTGCGACATGTTGCGTCAGGTGAACTTTTCTTTTTGCACAATAATACCAAACTTATAACACCAGTATCCAACATGAGCAATATAACTGTATATAAACAAGTAGTAATGTGTAGCCTTTAACACCTGGCCTGTAGGACCAAACATCCGTTTCTCAATATAACTCAATCAATTTTAAAATATCATAAAAAAAATAATTCAAAGATATTTGCATTGTATTTTTGGTCAACAAAAGAGAGTACATTAGACTGGATTTGTACGAAATGGATTTTTTCTCTTTCCTTTCATAACAAAAAATAATGAAAAAAGGTCAAGTTAATAGTCAGTATTCGTTATGTACAGTTAAAACACAATTGTAACTCAAGCTATACTATTTATATCGAAACAAAATTTAACTTTACGTGGATTAATGTTGGAAACCATTTTGATTCGAGCAGTCACACCTGGCTTTACGGAAGTATTCGGATTTCCGAAGACGATCCGAATGTGAGACGAATCAAGTTTTAAGCACAGAAGCACTGCGGGCGTGCGTCGTTAGGATCAGCGGAAAATTGTGGACATGTTAGTCTGCAATATCAAGGGAGAAAAGTATAGTGAGACAAAAAATGAAATGAAATAAAATAAACCCCACGGATGAGAAAGATTATAGGTTAGAGGTGAACGATAAAACATTCCACTAATCGATCCACTACAACGTTGAAAAGAGAGAGGTTTTTTGTAGTTAATATATATTTTTTAAATTCATTTTCTTGTCGTTGACTAGGTTACAATGTCCCAGATGTTATGTCACGATAAGTTCATCCCGAGAAAAGTCGGCCTTAATTTTCACACCTGCGAATAGCTCTGTCCTTTTTTTTCACTCACGTTTAAAGTAGGTTTGTAGTAGCGAAGCACAAAATAATATAGTCAAGAAGTTCACTCGCCGAATAAGCCAAAACTTATTGAAAGATAATCCTGCAGAGTCATAAGCCAAAGGTTCAAACAGGCTCCAAAATAGTTCACAGTTTAAATACTTTGCAGCTTAGTAAAGCGAACTGAAGACTTTCAAAATAAAATGGATAAAGCTAACTTGCTCGGCATAAGCAGCCCATCAGATCACGCAAAAAACACTACCTATACGTACTACTTACTTTTCATTCAGTAGAGGTGGGTATTGGACGCGAATGTAGTGGACTTCCCAGATGTCTTTGCGGCGGTGTGTACTGCTCACTCGTGGGAACCGTGGAGTCCTAAAGAGAAACAGAGACAGAGTGTGTTATCTTTTAGAGGGCGTTCATTGGTATCAACTTCCTGCTACGAAAAGCTGATCAACAAGACAGGATTGTAACTACACCACCGGACAATCAAACAGAAAGCCTGGTTAAAAGAGCTACATTCAATTCACGAGTCTAGGTCAAACTTCTTCATCCTTAGAAGTCCTTTTCACGTTCTGGAAAATCTTCCTTCTCGTGTTGCTGCTTTTCTGTCAAAATTAACTGTCGTTTTTCGTTTCTCCTCAACTAGAAGATATTTTTGCATGTCGCAGAAAAAGAGGACACAAAATATTGTAACGTCGCTATTGATTGATTAGTTTTAAAAACCACACCCCTGGATTTGAAACACACTTTGGAGACCGGAATTTCTTCCGAAAATGGGTCTGATTTCTACTGGCTTAGCATGTGTACAATAAAAGTACACATTTTAAGTAAAATCCATATATTTCCTGAGGTAGTAACAACTTTCTCCTTAACTCAAAGCAAGTTTTCCTAGTAATCAATGTCTTAAAATTCTAATAATCTTTTCTCTAACTATCACACTAATAAAGGGAGGTAAAATTTCAGTCTGACCTCGCTGGGAGCTTAAAATGGTTAACTGCAAATGCAATTTTTATCCTATAATCATTAAGGAACTTTATTAGCGAGCGAGGAATACATGATTAAAGACACTGACGTAATTGCAGTTGCGGTTACAAGTAGAATTTTGTATTAAATGTTAAGTGACAATGGCAATACATTACCATTCATTAAACTTCAATAGAACTATTTGTTAATGTTAGCCTTATCGCCAATTAGACTAAAAGGAAGATACCGATGATTGAAACAGTCCCGATATGTTTTTCAGCCAACGTTTGGAATATGAAAATTTTGCTTCGCGAAAACTCATGAAAAGCTTCCTCTGGCAGTGACCAGTTGACCAGCCCAGCCAAAACCTTTGTTTTAAGTTTTTCTCCTTTTTTACTTCTTTCCTTTTCTTTTCTTTTCTTTTTTTTTTTTCATCTAAGCCACTTTCCAACGCAACCTAGCCTTAAGGTATAGCGTGACAAACTGAAATGCGTGACGCTAATGCAAACCTGATTAGGACTTCCGGTCAGGGAGAATGTGGAGGATTGTTCGAGGTTTTGAACCATTTGTCGAGACTCCGCGAGCAGACGATGTAGTTTACTGGTCGGTGAAGCGTCCCCCTCCGCCTGGGGTAAGAACGAAATAAAAGGAGAAAGAAAAGAAAAGTTCACCCAACTTGGCACAGCTGTCCTGTCACGCAAGTTGTTGGAACTTCTGTTAGTTGTATTATTGTTACTATCTGACAGTGAGCTACGTTAGTAGTTATGTGCTACGTTAAGGGATCTCAAATTATGTTACAGTGATTGTCATTCGAAAGTTAGGTTACAACCTGCATTTTTCAGCCGCAAATCAGCGTTTGTACCTATAATCGTTAGTTAACTGAATTTGTTCAGTTAATCAATAGAATCTAGGAAAACTGCAGTTCTAAAAAATCAAAACTAAAATAAATTTGGGAAAAAATCATGCACAAGCTTAAAAATAATAGTATTTGGAGAAATTTTCAATTGAACGTGGACAACAATGCGAGATTGCTATGAGTTAACTTTATGACGCTCTGTGATTGGTCTAAAAAAAGAAAACATGCCACCTCAACCAATCAGATCTCGCAAAAAAAACAAACAAACAAACAAAAAACGGGTAATGGTCACTCGTGTTTTTCCCGCGCTTAGGGTAGTTGGCTGAATTTAAGTCCTCACAGTCGCTTCTTGATATTTTCTTGTTCTAATTGGTCATTTTTCTTTCAGTGCTTTGGTTTTGGATTTACGACACTCAAAATTCACTCCAATTGCTTGCCGTTTCTTCTGGGAGGAAAACTTACTCCTTGGTTTCACAAGGCCACCAATGAACCAAAGGCGGCTCCACCGAGCAGTTCTTACCTTAGGAGGGGACGTCTTCGGTACAGATACACCAGCTGAGAAAGAGGAATAAGTGTCCCCAGGTCTCGTAGTTGTTACGGAATTAATTTCCACTGGTCTCCCAGGCGAGAAGGATAACAGGCTACTGTGGTCCTCTAGTCGAACGCCCGTGAGAGAAAGGTTACCTAATGGCGGATAAATGTCGGTTCTTGTGTTGGGTGTGCTGAAGTAAGAGGGGTTTCTATAGGATAGGAAAAAATAAGTCATGTTAAGAAATGTGAAATGACACCCGTAAAGAGTTCACTCCCGATAAAAGCACGTTTGTTCACCTGGGAGGAAGAAACGTGTCAACATTTGAACTTGTGAAGCCTCTTTCTGAAGTGATCGGAGGTTGAAGTGGATCTTGCGAAAGGCTGTCATAGTCGTCAGCCAAGTCACTTCCGGCTGTCGCGTGCATGGAAAGGGAGGACACTCCACCACCGCCTAATATAAAATAGTAACCGTACCTTGGTTGGACATTATTTTCAACACAAAGTGAAGCATCAGCTTTAACCCTTTAACCCCAAAGAGTGACAAATAACTAATTTCTCCTTACCATATCACCCCCGAATGACACATAAAGGTCAGGAGAATATAAGAAATGAACGGTAACTGTAAAAGCTCCAGATTCTTGGACAAATTCTCCTTGTCAGCAGCTTAGGAAATATTTAGAGAACAGTATGGAGAATATGCATACCGATTTTGGGTTGTAAAAGGTTAAATAACTTGTCTTGTGAAATGTTTGCGCGAAGGATTCAGGCTTGTGCTTGCTATTTGGATACAGATGGTACATGTGTGTCAGGGTTCACATCTCACTGACCCTGACGTTAAAAAGTGAGAGTTAAGTATGTCGTATTCTGGTTTTGCATTCAAATGTATATCATTAATGTCTTTCTAGTTTCATATCAATAGCGGTTAGATTTTTTTCATACTATGCAGACAATCACTTTGTTTCTGTGATTCACACCTGGAATATAAGCTGCGAGGTCATCATCAGTGCCTTTGGAAGAGACTGGGCCTGCAAATTAAAGAAGGATGCTTCACGTACACGTCTTACACGACAAAGATCTCTGTCAGTTTTGAGTTATTGATCCTCACCACAAAAAAACTACAATGGAACATTTGGACGCACAGAGTCGGACACGAGCATAAGCTCACAAAATTTTTAACAATAGGTACTTTCTGTGCCAACAACAAAGAAACTGAAAGGCTGGCCGAATTAGATAACATTGTGTTCACTAGGGCCATACATTTATATCTCTTATTTAATATGTCTGGCCTAAGGACAAGAACATTTCAAGGATTTTAACGCTGTTTCGAACAACCCCGTAAGAGATTGACATACCATCAAAGTCCATTGACCTCGTGGACGCTTGATCCTAGGCACAAGAAAAATGTGCAAAACTGAATAAGTCAAAGCGGAAGGAGTATCCTAATAACAAGAAACTTCTCTAAAAATTTGCACCAAACTCTTCACCATTCCTTTCCAGTGAGAGAGATAACTCAAAATGCAGCAATTACAAATTGAGTGTAAATGATTATGCAGAATCGCGTTGTCTTGCTTTATTTCGACCTATGATTGGTCTAAAAAACTGGCGCCACCTTGTCAATCAGTTAGATGCAGATAGTTACGGAAAACAAAATTTATAGCTGTCATTGAGGTTTGTTTTACAAAAAGAAAAAACCGTCTTAACTCACCTGATTGTCAAAATAGTCTCCATTGAGGTTAAAACTCGTGGCATCGTAAAAGCTGTTTAGAGGCTTTTTATCTTCATCCGGGGGATTAGATTCCAACTCTGACATTTTACTGCAAATCAAGAGACGGAGCTAGTCATAAAAAGTACTGTCACTCCCAATAAGTGGCTTATTAACTCAGTTGGCAGTGACACCCAGTCGAAATATGGGAGGCATGACGTCAAGACCTATTGAAGCCTGAATTCTTGTTGTAGTTGTTATTGTGTTTTTGTAACCCTCAGGCTACAATGTGACGATTCCAAGCCTCTCAGAAACCAGTTAGTGGCTCCGGCCATCAGAACTGCGAAGTCAGAAGCTGAAAGCCAGGCAACTTTTCATATATTTTTTTAAGTTTATTTTTTCTGCAACCTCAACTTCACCTGGTCAACCATTCGCTTTCCTTTCCCGATTATAACTAACAGCTTACCTTTTTGTGTTAAACGTAATTTCTATACTAAGTATTTGATAGTGTACTCTGATAGTCTGGGTGAAAACAAGTTCTGTCTCTTTGAAAAAACGTACTATTATTCAGCAGTTTACAACTTACTCAGGTTCCGTGACATGTTTGGACAGCATATCGTGAGAACTTTGTAACTGCAGCTGCATGTAAGAAATGTCGCGTTGTTGTCTCTCACAGATCTGCCAAGGAAAGTCAGAGTCAGATTACCTGTTACTATAACTGAAAACCAAACACTTGAGATGGATTGTATTTCAATGTCGAGTTTCGATTCTGATACTAACCCCGTTATTGAACGGACTATCGTTTTAATTCATAGATTAGTGCACAAAGTAATTCGGGATACTTTCCGTTTCTAACCTCTTTGATTGGTCAAGGAAACCCTTGTCCCCCCTCAACCAATCAGCGTCAGAGCTAAACCAATCGCAACTAAATATTTCCTTGTATTTTCCCGCCATTTTTCGCTTAATCAAGTTCCCATTGCTTCCCGCGAAAAGCGCACTTTGAACAATGAGGTTTCAAAGTACAAATAAACTGACAAATTGCCCGAGAAAACGCAATTGAAAGAGCTTGAGTCTCGATTGGTTTAAGATTTGCTTTCCATTGGTATCACGGGTTCCATAGATCTATCACAGAACGAAGTAAAACAGGAGAGGAAATCCCGAATGACAATCGAAACGCATTTAAAATTACTCTATCTCCCTCTATTATGACTGGACGACATGATTTTTAACTTTCCTGTTTGTTACAATCAATCGACATAAGCTGTTTGCTATCTTTACTTCCAAGAACAATAAATGAACATACTTGTCGAAGGTTTTGCAACTCTGAGTCCGTTCTCTCTTGCTTTGACTTTTGTAAATCAAGCAGTTGATCTTTCCTCTTCTCTCTTTCTCCTAAGAAATCGTAGAGTAGCAATTGACGTCAGGTACAAGATACAAATGTATATGTATGTTATTCGTATGTCTCTTATTACCTGCTAAGAAAAGTTCCTTCTGCAAAACTAAAATTTCTTGCTTGGTCTGAAAAACACAGATGAAACAACAGACATTACCAAAAACTTCTGATAAATTCTGACCATGAAATTTCTCAGGTTCAGGCTAATTTCCCTAACTAATTGACTGCCATAAGATGAAACTTTGTTTTGCGCAGCGACAGGTACGCGACAGTTTTACCTTCGCAAGCTCAGCTTGAACTTCGTCTGCATCACTAAACTGTTTACTGATATCAACTGAAAAAAAAAAAAAGAACGCAAACTATCAGCTATACAGTATATGAGACGAAAGACAAACTAACAAACAGTTAAACAAATGAATAAATATCAAATAAATAAGTACAACCCACAAAAATAAACCAAAATACACTTTTAAAACTGAAGACCTTCTGCTAACCTCTCAGTTTTTCTACTTCATGTTTGTTAGCTGTGGCTTGATCTCTCCACTGGTCTCTCTCTGTCCTGATTGAACTTTCATTTTTCCTTAGTTCCTACGAAAAAATGCAACAAGGAATCTTTTTGTTATCATTTCTTCCCCAAGGTAGCCATGGTGGAGAGGTTCGACTGCATTTATTTTGCCAATACTGACCTGACATAATCCTTCAAGACGTTTTATCTTTTGTTGCAGTTCTCCTAAGCTCACATTTGCCTCCATTATGTCATTGTCCTAGGTGAAAACACAATCAACAAATATATGTCTTAGGCAAGTAATGAAATGTTATTAATTGTCCAGGACAACATGAGAGATAATCCTAAGCTATGGTGCAAATCCAGACCACAAAATGCTTCTGACAAACAAGCATTTTAAGCACTTATGCAGACCATTAGGTCGAAGAAAGAATGAAGACACCAACATTTAAAAATTCCTTTTGTCACTATTTGTTGTTGTAAGAAAATGTAATTTGCTGATCTAAATTTCTCCTTTTGGATGCAATAGATTTCCTGACCAATAAACTAAAGGAGAGAATGTGGTCTCATATCAAGTTTCATGTAGGCTGCAATACCTTAAGTTTTAGTTTTGTTAAAAGCTCCTGTTCTCTGGCTTGAAGCTGTCCTATTGTATTTGATAGCTCTCTCATTGATGAAGTTAAAGCACTGTTCTTTTCCTGATAATGAAGCAACAACAATAACATTTGATTATGAAAGGAAATATGTCTCTACAGTCAAGCACACTAAGTATCATGTCTACTCTGCCAGCATTTATAAAATGATTCAAGGGTAATTAATACTATCAGTCATACATTGTGTATTGACAAGGTTGTTACATACTTCAAGTTCCTGAACTTGATGAAGAGAAGTATTTGCATGTTCTGAAACTTGTTGAAGTTGAAGCTACAGATCAAGGAGAAATGGTAAGTTTAAGTATGGTAATTTTGCAACACAAATTACAAGCTAAACAAACTTGGGCATGTTGTAAACTTTAACACAACTGGTTTTGCATGTTTCACACACAACTGCAACACATTTGATTGAGTCAACAGCCAGGAGTCTAGTGGGCTCTTCCAGTCAGATTAGTCTGCCAATCTCACAAGTGCAGGCTATCATGGAAAAAGGCCATTTTATCTTTAAGTTGAATCTTCACTTCTGAGGGCAATCCTGAGCAGTTTTGTAGAAGGTGTTTTCCAGCATTCCACTATCCAACATAGCCCTTTCAGTGGCACCAGAAAGGGCCGGTTGGACATAATGCAAGGCCTTAGATCAAGGCATCTTTCATCCAACAGTACTAAGGGCATGAATAACTACCTGAGTATCTTCAAGTTCTTTGCCTTTGTTCTTTTCCTCTGTTTCAGAAGCTTTAAGCCTGCAAAGCAAAATCACAACAAGGATTCCTATCAGTGACATCTATGAGCTGATTCAATTCAACTTCAGAGTAAAAATTTAATTTTCCTTTTACCCTTTCACTCCTTGGAGTGAGCAATACATCAATACCTTAAAATAACTTGAACTACAACTTGCAATTGTTGGACCTCAATCTCAATCAGAAAGTGGTGCATAGTTTTTTTTTTCTAATGTCATTACACCGTGATTAAAAAGTGATCTTTACTTATTGAGAAACTATAGACCTGCATGTCAACAAGAAGAAGTTACTGTTTGTATGTCTTCTATTCATTTTTAATTAGTAACATTACACTTCTAACATAAAAAACTATGTGTGAAACAAAGTTATTTTTAATTGATATCTGTCTAAATAGAGGATATTACATGGCCGTGCAGGGATACGAATTTTATCTTTGTGTGCTGAAAGTATCTCTCACTAGTTCACTTCGCTCACTCATAAGAGACACTCGAAAATAAAATTCATATCCCCAAGCAGCCGTGTAATGTTCTGTTTATTTCATTTATACTGATGAAATTTCAAAAGAACCAGCTGTGCGCCTGAGTGGGAAGCTCTCTTGTAATTGGCTAATCATGTTAGTAACCATGGCGACACCAGTATCCTCACACTTGAAAGATAAAAATAGTATCTTCACTGCACGATGAAGATATGATTTTTTAGTAAAAGGAAAAATCCTGGTATTTCATCAGTATCTATATTAATAATAATAAACAATACCTTGCTTGTAATGCCTTCATTTGTTCATTTCTACTTTTGAGTTCACCTGTAAGTGTAGAAAACTTTATCAACTCCACTTTCTTAGAAATTCATGATTTTACAGTACAATGCATTGTAACTTACAGTATTTCAAGAACATAAAACCTCACTTACTTTCAAGCCTGGAAGATCGCTTCTCAAGAGCAAACACCTAAATGCAGTGGGATGTCAACGGAAATGGAATATATCAGTGCTCTCAAACTTCAAATGTTCCTTTTTAAAACAATTACTGATGGTATGTTAATTACAAATTGTTCCAAATTTTGGAATCAATAAGCTAATATATGGGGGATGTTGAAGCTTGGAGTTGATCAACCCATAGCTATGAACTTGTATTCACTTAAATCGCTCTGGTTTATTTGTCAACAACACATCAATGAGGGTAGAGGTGTGAGATAGACCTTTCTTCTCCATGCGTGTTGGTTTATCAATAAGACATGTGAGTTCTTGTTCCACTTCCAAATCTAAGAGTAATTTCCCTTCACTTTTATCTGGTCTAAGTCTATCAAGATTAATATCGCCAATGACAGTGACAAAGTTTCTCCATAAAGAGGCCTAGGTGCAAATACCATTAAGTTCCCCTTCCAGTTGTAGTTGATAATCACCAGATACCGATTTGGGTGGACGGTAGACGCTGATAACGATCATTTCAAATGTGCCAAGCCTAATCTCAACTGTGAGGGGTTCCAGTGTCTTATAGGTCCTGGTAATCTTAAGCCTTCTACAAGGCAGTAGTGTGGATATATAAACCAGGATGCCTCCACCTCCTTTTTTTCTGTCATTACGGTATAATGTATAGCCAGGAATGGCAAATTGGCTATCAGGATATGTGGAATCAATTTTTGTTTCGCTGATAAATATTATATGAATTTTTAGTTTCCTGATTAAAGTGACAAGCTCCTCAAATTTGTTTTGTATGCTGTTTATATTCAGGTGACAGAACAGGATATCATTACAGATATTCCTTTGATTCTCCAGTTGATCATTATGCCGCAGAGTAGGGGTGACACTTGAATCATTATGAGCAGGTGTTGAAATCTGAACCGTATCCGAAGAGAACGAAGACTCGAAAAACAAGTCGGAGAAATCAAAAGGCCAGTTACAATTGTTGGCTTTACAAAACCATTGATCTTGAGAGTAACTCAGAGCGACATAAGTCTTGACATCCATATCAATGCACTTAATGTGATGCCAACTGTCACAACCGTTGCAAAGCTGTTTTTTCTTTAAAATTGAAAACCACTAAGGACAAATAAAATCTTAAGCACCCTCACCCTTTGTCTGTCCTCCTCCCAAGCCACTATCTGTTTTTGATGAGCTTGTACCATATCATTCAATTCTCTAGTTTTACAGAAGTAGGAAAAAAATTTGAGAGGGCACATGACACAGTGCACAAGCTTCTGCAGTAACAGAGTGCTCAAGAGTGCAAAGCAAATTTAGGACTAAAGTAAATCCTGCTGATCAGAGGCTGAAAAATTTGAAGGTTTTACTTGATGGGATTAACAGTATTTGTATTATAGCTGTGCAGGATCTACAGTTGCCATGGACCTCTGTGGTAAGGTGCAGCAATTTTTTGCTCCTACTCTTTCCCTTTCTGCTGCTTTTTTTGGTGAAATGCCATCTGGTCTTTTGATGTCTATTTTTGTGTTTCTTCTGAGTTCTTCAGTTTATAATACCAAAATCGTACTATTCAAACTAATTCATGTTGCAAAATGTCTGTTCTAAAATTGTTTAAGTTGAATTAACCAAGACTGTTTAGGGCTAAAAAGGAGTTTTGGGGTGGGTTTTTTTGGTTTGTTTTTTTGTTTTTCTACTTTCATGCAAATACCTGTCTCTATCTTTGAGTTCCCCAATAAGCAGCTGAAGTTCTCGTCTCTGCCTTTGTATTGTGTCACTATCTACGTCAGAGAGCTAAAACAAAAATGGTCATCATGTTAGAATAAAACAAAATTGTTTTAGAAGCTATTCCCTTGTTAGCAGAAAACTTAAAGAAAGATGTTATTGCTTATATTACTAACATGGGAAAAAGAAAATCTGAGTCTTCAACACCTAATTTCAAGCTCTGATGCTTTACAACTGAGCCACAGAGACCTCAGCAGTGAGATTATGAAGGCCATTGCTAAGTTCCTATGTGCAACATCTCCTGAATTTATTAGTTTTGGCAAAATCAAAAGCTTAGTATGTGTAAATGGAATAATAAATATGATAAAACCTTTTCATCAACTCTTGTGAGGAAATGCTTGCAGGATTAGAAATTTCCTAACCACTATAATCTATAATTTTGTTGGCAAGTTTCCTTGTCACATCACCTACACTAGCAAACATTGCCCTTGACAGCCTCTCCTAACAATTAGCATTTTGGAAATGGAGACAATTTTCTCTTGACCCTACTTACTGACACATGTAACCTGATATAACTACATGAAGTCTGATTGAATTGTTTCAGCACTGTTTATTAATCTTAAATAGCTGAAGATCTAAACTGACTGTAAGGAACCTTGGCTTTACTGACCTGTTTACTATTAGGAGACAGAGATCTGTTGTGTAGTCTTGGACTTGTTGCTGTATGCAAATTTGGACTCACTGGTCGACGGCCAGGACTTGTGCTACGCGTTGGAGATTTACTGCGCTGTGACCGAGATGGGCTTACACCTGTCTGAAAGCTTGTATTGGTTGTTCTGGTCTTGTAACCACTTGGTAATGTTGTTGAATATGATGAAGATATGGGCTGAAGATCGCAATGTGGAGTTCAGTGATAAATAAAAATAAAAATATACAAGGCTTTTTTACAGGAAACACAATTCTATTTTAAAAAGTATGAATAGACCCTGTCCATATATAACATTGAAATATAGTGCATTAGATATATTTAGTAAAGGATGTTTATAAAGTGGTCAATTCACCAACTCTTTTACTAAAATTCTTGATTAGCATATAGTATTAATCAATATTTTATTTAGCAGAGAAGTGACAAGAATTAACAACTTGTCCACTTATGAGGTATTATCTTGATCATGCAACAAACTCTCTTCACTAATAACACTGAAACATGGCTGCTGAGAATGGGAGAATTTTAAAGTTGAACTTGGGAGTTAAAGGTTTGATGGACTAGACATACAACTGGGTTACTCTCTAACCATTAAAATGCAAAATTTTTGCCAAAAGGTAAACATCAGCACCATTATGTTACAAGGGCACCACTGATCTGAATGTAAACTTGTGGTCAAACACCACTTTTAAGCAAGACAAAATTTTTTCCTACAATATCACTACAATATCAAGTAGACAAGTAAGGAAAATAAAACAAAAATTACAAAAAAGGAGATTTTAGTTGATCCAACACCAAATTCTCTGAAGTAACATCATAAGAATTGTATGGCAGACAGGAAGGAGAATTACTAATGAAATCTTGGAGGTGAAAGGGTTAAGAAAGAAGGAATAAAATAACTGTGAAGATGAACTAACTAATAAGATACAGGCGGCCCAGGTTTGCCATACTGTTGTCGCTTTGCTGAGAAAGAAACATTTACCTTTATTTTGGGGGTGCTGTGAAACAAATTACTGGAGTCGTAAGAGGTGTAACCTGTATGTAGATACAATTGTGTATTGGGTAGAATTTTTGATAGTGACATTATAAGATATGATATTCTTTAAAAACGATATAGAACACAAACGAATGGGAAATGTGTTCACTGATTTCTAATCTATCACAATCTTAGCTTTTTGTTTTCTTTGGATGATTTTCTTAAATAGGATCAAGTATGTTACTTCGCTATTCAAGCTTCTTCAAGATAAAATTCTTCACGATTCCATTTGATAGGCGGTAAGTTAAGTTTAAAGAAATTTTTTTTTAACTCGAAGCTGATATGAATTATAAATGTTCGCGCGTGAAAGCTTATGATACCAAATTATTGTTTTCCATTTCAATCAATTAGGCTTAGCGGAAAGCTTCTGTACTTTAATTGAATGTTGTCAAGCGTTTGTAGGCTGTGGTTGACAAACAGTTCAATTCATTCGTAAAGAAACACGCACGACCACATACATACCGATAACACGTGCTTCTTTTTCTGGACAAGAAAAATTTTGTCGCAAATTGTTTTTTTTAGACGATCCATAAATTTAGAGAGGTCATGTTAACGCTCCAGTAGAGCGCGCAAAATTATTTCACGCACGTACAAATCACATTGAAACAACACACCTGGAGTTTGACACTTAAACATAAACACAAAATAACAAACCTTTTCCATGATCTGCTGGAAGTTGCACTCGTTTTTTCCCAGCCAATTCACCGCTGTATCCTTTTACAGGCAGTGACCCTCCAAATCGTTCCATTGATTGATGCACAGCGTTCGATTTTCCGTCACAATTATCTCGATCGAGTCTTAAATCCAACGTTGCAGTGGTGATCTTCGAAACTTCGCCTTAACTCGAGGGAACTCCTTAAAATTCCCTTCAAACTCTTCACAAAAACAACTTTTTTCGCGAGATTTTCAATATCCCGGATTTAGAATTAGCAAAACTAGAATTTTGGTGATTATCTTCAATTAAAAGTAACCGTCCTTCGTTACTACAGACGCCGAAGACAAAAGTTGCGCGCGTGAACGACGCTTGTTAAGGCGCATGCGTTTGTTATCTTTACAAACACCGCTGGCTTTATGTTCTGGCTGGCAGTAGTTATCCTGAATCTTTTTCATCTCTCAAGACCAATATCTCGATTGATCAATCGTGTCTTCTGTAGCAGACAAACATTTTTCTGATTTGCACAAACGATCTGGACATAAATTAAATTATTCAGTCTCTGTTACCAAAAGGAAACAAAAGTGAACCATTTCTAAGTTCCTTTTCAATTACGTTAAGAAAATTAACTAACCTATAGATACACGTGATATTCAAGCATTAACGTTGTCTTGGTATATTAGGGACCAGTATTTATTTAACATCTGGGGAGGAGGGGGGGTCTCCCCCCCTTCCCCGGGCTCTGTAGTATTCCAGTGATTCCACCTCTCCAGCACTCATTTTCTACAGTCTCCCCTTTTACACTCTGCATGTTGGCAACGACTGATTCACCCCTCAGTTCGCCGTGATAACCATGCGACCCCCCCCCCCAAAAAAAGACCTCTTTAGCCCTTCCCCCAGGCAAATAATCAACGGAAAATAATTACCTCATTCTCACAATGTATACGCTAACACCATGCTTTTACTAAAACATTATCCAAAGTATAATGCAAGTCCTCTTGAGTTTTGAGTTGTGCACAGGCCATGGTATTTGAACTCATTAACCGACGACCACAAACTCGGTTGGTGTACGTAAAAGTTTTTGTATTTTTATCGCAGATTTTTTTTAATAGGTACTTGTTTGGAAGATTTGAATTAAAAATTATTTTACTGTCAATTTTTGAGACTAATTGCGTTCATAGAATAATAGTAAGAGCAGTTTTCAATTGTGTTTTAGAAAACCAAAACCTGAGTTATCCAAACGACCAATAAGAATAAAGATTCAAATTATCATTAGGCAATGAGAACTCAAAATGAAAACTAGTAGACTGCTTGGAGCGCGGGAAAACGCGGCGACCCAGTCGCGATTGTATTTTAGCTTTTGCATCTGATTGGTTGAGAGGATGGCGCGAGTTTCCTGGACCAATCACAAAACAACGTTCGGTAACACTAAAACAATCCGGCCGGATTACTTTCGACACTCAATTAAAAATTGGTCTAAAGATGATTATGTCGATAAGAGCAATTTATAATTTTCTATTGAGCGTTGACGGTGATTTGGGACTGCATTGGATTTGCTTTACCTCGCTTTGTGATTGGTCCAGAAAACAGCGGTCACCCTTTCAACCAATCAGTTGAAAAACTGAAACCAATTGCGAACTTATTCATTCGCATTTTCTCGCACTTCAGGAATTTTGTTAATTGTTTGGCTTGAGTTCTCATCATGATGTTTCCCTTCGTTCCGATTAGCCGTAGTTATTTCTTTAGCCAGTTCTGGTTGTACAACCCGCGATCAAAAATAGGCTTACGAGATTGCGCGAGTAGAAAATGAAAAGGCCACATGATTGACGGAACGTATTTCTGTAATGCACAGAACATTTATCCAGATCAAACACTATTGACATAGCTATCAAACTTACAATGCATGAGGTTAAAGCTCACGGTTAATATTGCAAACAACAGTCGGGGAATTTAAATATATTCATCATAATGAAAGAGAAAAAATATTCATAAATTCCTTAGTAGATTTGGAGTCAATCGATTTTCAGGGAGGCTGTAGGAAAGCAGGCTGTGTAAGTACTGAAACAACATTGAGTTGCTCGGAAAGAAAATTGTGAAATTTTTGGCGAGTCTAAGACGAAGAAATACGAACTACAATGTTTTTGGAAATGCAAACACGACTGAACATCGAACATTCCTTAACAGCATCTTAGACGAGTTGAAAGACCTCTTCATCTCTTCCGCAGCGATTCCTGTGCATTATAACGTAATAAGATAACTGTTGCAGTGCTGGTCAAGGTTCTGATTCTGACAATTATATTAGTTTCACTCTTCTTTGTACAAACTTATGATGAAAATACGAGAAAAGATAGATATTTATCAAATGCAACTTCGTAATTTACTAAACACCGTGACGATTTCGACAAGGTGGCTTAATTTTTCATACTGTAGTCTCAAATTATTTTGGCACTCAACAATTCAACTCCAAAAATATTATTACGTATTCACTCTCTCGTCTGGTTACTACGCGTTACCCTGTAAATTATTTAAGATAATTTAATGTTATATTAAGGTTACACCCTCAAGCTGATGAGTTTGTCTATTCTCCTCACCTACCCACTGGATAATGAATTGAAATTGACAGAAAAGTTAAATGTTAGTTATTTCTGGGAGTAAGGGAAATAAATCAGATGACGCATAGACATGAAAGGTTCTCTTCGGAATTTTAATATGTAAATATAAAACTACTCGGGTATTCTTACTTCTGGACGATCTGGAAAGGCATTTATCCTTTCGTTTTCATGATTCACACTGTGAATACATCATTACATACCTTCTTTACACAGATGAAAAAGATGAAGATCTTAATAATATTATTTTTGGTGATAAAAGGTGAGAAATTATTGTATTGGTTATACATTTGTCTCTCATGTCTGAATCGTATTCCTAACATCTTTGAATCATAATAAAATGGGAAGAACAGCCTTGATACCTTTTAGCGTTCGTGTATCTGTTCCAGGCGATTTAAAAATATTGATTGGATCCAAAGCCCCAAACCACCCAGCAACACCTTCTAACTCCCACTCCACTGAAAGAGTACCTCTTCGGTCACGTTTCGTCAAAACATGAAACATTTCCGACATTGTTGCTAGCACTCCGAGAAATACTCTATCCAAACCTCAGAATCCTTGGACCCTTATCTCCTTTGCCCAGATAATTGTTTATGACGTTGGCATGTTCCGTTCAATTGCCTGCGACCTCCCTAGGACACGAAAATCGCAAACTCAGTCATTCTTCAAATGACTATATTGTCCGGCAACTAAAAATTAGTTCGTGTGTTGTTTTACGCAGGAACGTCGGCGCAAAGTTGCAAGGAAGGCTCTGTAGAACACGACCATCTTGGTCAGCGTCGCACGTGTCGTGGCGGGAAATGGAGCGCGCCTTGCCGCGTGCGGCGAGAATGGAACGGAATGCTTCCTGGAGAGAGGTGGGTAAACGTCACTGTTCATTTACAGTGTGAGAAAACTCCTCTCTTCCCTTGGCCTCTGTTATCTTTTGACCTGTAAATGGTCCCCACTCCCTTCCCACATAACCTCAGGAATATTTTCTCTCGTTAACATACACGAGAAGAAGAATTTAAACATAATCGCAACTGGAAGACGCCATTGGAGTATGATGTGACTCATAAAAAGAAAAATGAATTGAAGCTTAGAAATCCTTCTAGCTAATTGGGCTTTCCTTTATCAAAAGCAGTATCAAAACAGAGTTATTAGCTTAAAAAGAAACTGTTGGTATGCGTCGGTATTTCCTATAGTTTTCATAAGAGAGCCTTTAAAAAAGACTCCTAAAACCATTTGTGCCATATTTCATCTCTAATCTCCCATTTCGATTAATTCCGCTGCGCACTGTCTCTGCTATTGATCAGAACTCACAATTCTCAATCTAAGAAACACCACTGAATCTTTATTACTGTAAAATTTCTTCTCCTTCTGCAAGGTACCGTTTCATAAGCACACTAAAAAAGGCATCAACAAGATCTGATTATCGAAACCTTGTCATCAGACACACAAAACAGTTCAGTAAAATTCATAACAACAGGCAGTTCCTCCCTTGGCATCGCTGGTATTTGTTGCAGATGGAGAACATTCTTCGTAAAGTGGACCCAATCGTGACGGTGCCCTATTGGGACTGGAGTCTATGGTCCGGGGCACCCTGGTTGGATAAGGTACCTATCGGTGATTCTCTGATAAAATATCTGGAAAAAGTCAGACAGAAATCATCAATTTACTACTTTGCCCTGCGATTTAGTAAGAAACTCACGCCTCTCTCTCAATTGATCAGTCGCAAACAAAATTAATTGACCCTCGATTACTATCCTTTTCACGCGCTTTATATATTTCATGTGTCTGCTTTGAGTCCCATTGGCCCCAATTGCCTCCCTCTGACTAAGTATAGTGATAATCTTCCGATATAGTTCTACAAAACTCCTGTCGGAATTCGCTTTTTACGTTTTATAATCACTCCATGCCGCGGCCACAAAGCTTGTAATGGTGAACGTAAAATCATGGTAAGTGGAGGAAGGAACGAGAGGGGAATAAGGCAAGCAATGTCGCCCTTTCCTAGAACCTTGCAGGTTTTCGCTTTCCTGTTTTTACACTCTTGGGAAAAGCGGCACTAAAGAGGATTCAATTTCTCGATTAGGACTCTTCTTTCATTGCTTTCTCGAGTAGGTAACTTAGCAAAACTGCATAACAACACTCACATAACTCTAATTTTTCGAGCCTTGGAAAATCTTTTTTTCCTAACTCTCTTCGTTTTGATACACAATTACCAATTTCCAGGTCATGAGCACGTGGAGCAATGCACCATGGGGCTTAGGAAGCAATGGTGGAAGAGATGGTTGTGTGTACAGTGGACCCTTTGGGAAACGGCATTTTACGCTGACAAGCGGAGGATGCCTCAAGAGAAATTTCAATGGTAATTTTTAATGCTTTTTCAGCTAAAATTTCTCCTCAGAAAGTTTATGGATCATAGATGTTTCTGAAGTTGTTAGAAGACGCAATACAAAAACTCAAAATGTTTGTTGGAAAGAAGAGTGTGTTGGATTCTTTTTGCCCGGGCTAAATTGTACCTAGAACTTAAAAGTTGTCGCTTTTCTACTGAAAAAAATCGTCGTATAAATAACGACACGAGCTGCGCAATTTTTTGTTTTTTTCTTAATCGCGTCACAGAAATCTTCAAAAAGGGAACGTGTTCAGAGGTTACAAGTATCTTATTACTCAACAGGTAATCCCCCAGACTGCATAGCAGTTCATAAATGCCTGCGCATCCTCTCCAACAAGTTCACCGACTTCGAAATGACACTCCGGGACACCTTGCACAACAACATGCATTGTAGGATTGGTGGGAGAGGCGGGACCATGTGCAGCAGGCAGTCAGCCAATGCCCCAGAATTCCTCTTGCACCACGCATTCACCGACAAACTCTGGTCTGATTGGCAGAAGAAGGGAACCCGATATAAAAATGCTTACTTTCCAGGGACCATTTATCTCTACGGAGTGTCCCCCCGGCTCAGGCCTCTGAACTTGATGGATCTGTCCAGACAGCCCGGCGGGGTTTGTGTGACCTATGACGACCCTCCTCATGAGAACTACAAATTATGTCACGAACAACTTGCCAGTTTAAGCTTAGCAGAGATTGACGCTATTCCCAGACAGAAGTTCACACGGCTTAGTAGTCTGGAGTTCGACTTGTTCATGACAAGGAAGAGGGAGAAGGCGCAAGTAAACAGAGAAATGAACGACCTTGAACCCAAGCACGTCTTGTCGAAAAGCACCAAGTTAAATTCTCAGGACAATCAACTGGGCTTCAAGGCAGAGGATGTCAAAGAAGCTATAAAAAGAAAGAAGAAGAAGAGAGAAGAAATAATCATGAAATCAAATTTCCATTAGCAGACAGAAAATCTGAACATCATTGACTACAGAACGTCCTATGAAGGGACTGTCATTCAAGTGGGATTAGCTCTTTGTATAACAGACTCCATATAAAGCCCCATTTTTATATCCTCTAACAGTGCAATACTGAAGAAAAAAGAAACATGATGGTTTCTGTATGTGTACATTAAGACATGAATCAGTCCCTCAATAAACTTGTTTTTCTCTTTTTTTGCAACAGTAACGCTGAAATAGGAATCTCTACACTACAAATTTTTGTAATAGGCGAAGAGGCTTGGGTACTGATCTAGAACCTCTGGGGACGAGAATTGTTCTTCGCCTCCTTACGTCACAACCATATCGTCCCTTCCCCACTCCCCTAACTAAACTGTTTGTCTCGCCTTAGCGTCCTCACTTGTCGGCTTTCTCTCATGATTCCGTGGGCATGTAGATTACCAGTCCAACAATCACAAGGAAAAAATTCCTTAAGTTGCAATGGTGTTGCAGTTTTCAGACTGATACGTAAAGCAATGACAAATTCCTCAAGCAAGGATATCGAGGCTTAAATATCAATGGATTTATCTCCTGTTTAGGCGTTATGGCACAAAATACTCTTCAGTACTAGGATTAAAAGGTTTCCATTCGATTTCGTTTTTTGCTCTGAGACTGTATTTTCACTAAAAAGAAAAAAACATCACAATTGGGTTTTTCGTACACGACAACAAAATATTGCCAAGGGAAGTTTTTTTTATGAATTTCATTCGGCTTTTTAACTTCAAGCCTTTGCATAAGTTTGTACGCATTACACAACACCTTTCCAAAAATATATATTTTACCTCTTGGATGTTCAGTTCCCTCTTCTTAAAACTTCGAAAAGAACTTGTTTCACCAGTTTTAGGTGAACTCAAACTGAAGTCGCGTTTTTAGCATGTAGTACAGGAGACTAAATATTGCTTATGAAACCAGAATACAGTATTTTGATATAAAATTTGTCAAGGCCTATGAAATTCAATCTAGGTAAAGGCTTGAAGTTTGACGCGAGATTTTTCATTCGTGTTTCTGGGAGAGCCATTGAGGGAGAAAATGGTTCCCAAAGAATGATTAAATCGGTCAAGAAAGGAAACTTCACCAAAGGCTCTAACAGTTAAGCAGAGTGTTGGGTACATCTCACACTTGCAAACACCAGCAAAAATGAAATTTTACTTTCACTAATTTCCTTCGTTATAGGAGATTTGGGTAAGGACACGTCACTGAAAAGTGTACATCTTGCAGTGGATTAACAGATCATCGAAGAGGAGTGAATTCAATCCAGCAACATTTCCCGAGTATTACTGACTTAGGCTTCGCTTTCCACTTACGATTTCACTGACTGTCATGCCTTTTTTCTCATCGCACCGTTATAAATAATAATTGTCTCATCATTTGCGCTTTCCGCGGCTTTTCTAAGATCATTCGCAATAGTTTTGCTCCTATCTCACTAATAACTGACTCTGATTGCATTTTTTGATCAAACTCTTTTGTTAAGTCAAGCCAAGTGTCCTATCTAGAAAAAAAAATCGTCCCAAGTCTAGTTAGAGTAATCTCCACCGCGCGTGAGAGGAATTTAGTACTTCACGAGACATGAAAAGAAGGAAGCAGTGCTAGACGATAGTTTCGTTGGAAAATCATGATACGCATGTGGAATGAGCGACTGGCGGGAAGTAAACATTTTACGGAGTATTTTTTTCAGTGTTTGTTTAAGTGAACAAGGTGAATGTCGGCGTGTGACAACCTTTTTTCTTTGAGGTACGCTGTTTGTGTCGCTGTCACGTTTTGATTCTTCAATGCCGGACAATAGCTATTTATAAAGTCAAAACACGTTCGCTGATTAAAACTCGTATTAATGTCAGATTTTCGAAAAATTTAAACAGTTTTCAAATGCAGTAGTGATGAGGGAAATATAATTTTTGGTCACATATATTTTAGGTATGGCAATTTCTATTCTCTATATTACAGAAAAAGCTTACCAGTGACTCATTACACAACTACGTAAACATACACTTTGCACCATCGTTTCAACATGCGATGTTTGCAGTGAAGGTGCAGGAATATCAGTGTTTCATGTTACCCCGAAATTAGCTTTTTTTCAAGTAAAAATGAATGTTTTGAGCGATTTTTGAAACACTTTTCAGAAGACTTTAAAGTACTAATTTTCGCCTTAGCATCCGGCAAGCAGCACTTAATTTACATTTCAAAAGCAGTTCCTAACGTGAAAAACTTTTGCTGCTATGTAAAAATAAATAAATAAACGTCTGCAAAAATTGACCTTCAGTCTATTACCGCGCTGCCATTTTATGTCTGAGTTGAATATCTAAAACAAGAAAATAACAATACTTAAATGTAAATAAAGGATCCTTTCGAGAGACAAGGTTTTGTTGCTAAAACAGAGTTTTGATGTTATCTCACGCTGAAGTTTACAGAAAAAACTGAAAGTAAAAGTGTTGTTGGTATACGGAAGATTCGGTGCTGCTTCTGTCCTGTCCAACGAAATGAGCCACGGACAAAGAAAAGATAGCAACCGACTTTATTAGCTGACATGACTGTCATTATTTTACTGACTTTGTTTCCCTGCTGGAAACAGCTTCATAAAAGCTAAGTTTACATTGCTGAAAATAGCGAAACATGTTTGAGTACTCAGCAAAAACTTGTTTCATGTCAGCAATGGTAATAAAGAACCTCGTATGATAAAAGCGACTTTTTGAACTCTCATAGTCATTTGGTATTCTACTTCTAGAGAGAAAAGAGTTCCAAACAAGAACGAAACCCTTCCTCCGCGAGATTTATCTACGAACATGAAGCCTTTCACCGTGGCAGTCCTCTTTGCGCTCGTTTTCGCTCTCGGCGTAAATTCCGCGTCCGTCAGCCTTTCGAGTAGCAAACTGACGCTCAATGGTAACGCTCACATTCAGTATTATGGTCCCAAAGAGGCGATTTGGGCTGGTTTATCCAACGGTAAAAACTGGAATCATGTTTCATGTGTCGGAACTACTGCTTAATTAGTCTGATTACAGTGAACGTTTCCAAAAATTGCCTGCACTGTGAAACTTTGAGGCCGGTTTTGAGGGCGCGCAAGTCGGAAATGCGCTTGCCAATTTTAGTGAAAGGCAATTCTGGTGAGGCAGACGCAATTCTTTCCAAAAAAATTAGAAGTAATTAAATTTTCGACAGATTTTCCACTGTTCAATTTTTTGACCAAATATAAAACAAAAATGCCTGTGAAGAAAGCCGTCTGCTAATTTCTTACATGTTACATGTATTCCTACATCGTAGGTGGCCGATATCCCATCATTAATAGTGGTGATCGGATCGCTTTGCGGTCAGCCTACACTTCTGGTAGCAATGTTAAGTACTGGATGCGCTGTACCACGTCAAATTGTGCTTGGTATACCTGCCCTGGTCAGGTGATGACTTCATCAGCTTGGTCTTCCTGTTCATCCACAATGTTTTATTACATTCACGCCATGGGGAAGATGAACGGCCAGCCAATTAACAGCGGTGACGTAGTGTCGCTGAGTAGCTACGGCTATGGAAGCAGATACCGGCTATTCTGTGGTACATCAACCAGCACCAAATGCTACATGCGTTCGTGAGTGTTGTTTGCTTCTTATTAGTCTGTATTAATTTTCATAATTAATCTGATGGCAGAAGTTGCTTAACTATTAAAAAGACAAAAAAGCAGAAAAAAATCATACTTTACATGTTTGTTAGGGCTGCATGACACTTAGTATGTACGCCAATGCCTCTACTTCGCTGATGATCAAAATTTACCTTAAAAGTTTCCATTCCTATTCATACACTGTGGCTGACAACATATTTACTGTGGCATTTATCCTTATTTAACCAAAGGGGAAATGCAAGGTTCCATTTGTGTCTAAGTAAAGGGAGGTAAGCTGGATAAAACCGTTGTAATTAAAAGAAGAGCTTATGAAAAATCCTTTTTTTCCCACAGCACAGTCAGCTCATTGACGGGAAACAGCTGGTTCAGCTACAATTACGTAACGTTTCAGCTCTTTTCCAAGTATTCCACTGATGGTACTCCTGTGCAGTACGGTGATGTCGTGGCCTTCAAATACCCGTACGCTTTTAACAGTGCCTGGTTGTATAAATACAGTAGCTATTTTTATCCTCGCAGCTGCAGCACAAACAGCAAAAGCTCTTGTGCCACTCAAAATACCACCACTGGCTTCAAGATCTTTAAAAAGCTTTAACGCATGACATTCACATCTGAAAGCTTTAAAAAAGGTTTCAGCCAGAAAAGTGCCACTTGCAAGTTAAACTGTATTTTACCGTTTCTCAGAAACAATAAAATCGACGAAAGTTGAAAAATGCCTCGCTTGATCTGCGATTGTTTTCCTCCACAAATGTAATCTGGCTCCTCCTCCAAGATGATTACAACAACTGCAGCGTCAACAAATAAAGAACAACATGGGTGTCGCAGTGTGCAAAACCTGTTTAAAATCTAGGTTGCAGAGTAAATTTCAGAAAGTTGGTTCCACATAGAAATGAAAACGAAGGACTGCATAGAAGTCTGTAATTGGCACAAACGTCGATGAAATTCAACGCTTTATTGCAATTCAATTCTCGAAAAAAAATTTCTTGGTAGGTCGGTCGCTCTCATAAAATACATCAACTGCACCCAGTATTAATTTTGAAAAGCATTTTCTCAATAAAGCACACCTAATTACTCGCTATTTCCGTAGAGTGACCATATTTAGAGCATTCCCAATCGGTCTTAGAGCTTGAAGGGGAGAGGGGGAGGGATGTCTCACGTGATTAGAAGAAGCATAGGATGGCCTAAAGGAGAATCAATTGAGTCTTGCAGCACCACTGCTGTATGTTTCAAACCCCCACTTTGAAGCTCAAACTCTTTCTCCCTCCCTCTTCTGAGTCAAAAGACAGCATGAGCTAAACAGTCAATATTGTGATAATACTATAAATGCACCTAAAATCAACCCTTAGGCCAATTCTGTTTCCATATGAAGTGCTGTGATTAAGATGTGTTTTTCACAAAATGAGTTGGTCTTACTGTGTTACCTGTATGTTGGTAAAGCTTTAAAAAATAACCATTAAAAAGATAGTTGTCAAGGGTTCTCATGAGGCTTGCTATCATCAAATCTGCTGTCTCACTTAACTGTGTCAAAAAATTTTTTATTCCCCCTAAGTTACAGTATTTAACAGAGTCAATTAAAAATAGAAGTGCTCAGGTTGAATTCGAAGTTGGCATTTGCGGAGGTCCCTAAAGTTTCAATGACTTGCTTTAAAAGCCACAATTAACTATGTCATCCTTGCAACATAAATAATTTACATCAATAAACGTTTCATACAAATCATCAATACCACATTTCTTCTTTCATTATTAGCAAAAACAAAACGAATAATGACAAAAAGGTGAAATTAATTTAACAGTTCATATTCTGCGAGTGTCCATGATACAGAGAGAGTAAATCACAAAAGTAATAAATAATATTTTGTAATAATTAAGGCCTGCAACTTTATTTTAAATCACTCTTAACATACTACACACTAGGCCAAAAAAATTTTTCCATTAGTTCTGGATTTTGCTAGTCCTTGAAGTTCCCAATCCTACATTTTTTTTTTTTTTCAAATTCCAATTTGCTTCTAGCTAATTAAAATTCACATTTACTGATCATGTTTATTTTATTGCTCTTAAATTTTTCTAAATTAAAAACCCTTCATTAATCCTGTACCCCCTAACTAATATCCATAATCTCCACACTATTTACTATACATTTCCCCAAGGTGCTGACAAAGAGAATTTGTATAATAATAAAGAGCTGCTTTAGTTGGTGATTATTTCCTTGATTCTCATGACCTTAATGTTTGATTCAGGGGTAACATTGTAAGGAGAAAGTAGAAGCTGTCACTCTTAGGGGTTAGAAGGTTATTTTTAATGTTATTTTTGGCTTTATCCACTAACCCTTTAACTCCCATGAGTGACAAAGAGAGAATTTCTCCTTACAGTGTCAAAGCAATACTAAGCAGACAAGTGATGAGAATAAAGAAAAATAGCGATTAGAAGATAATTAGTTGATCCAATACTAAATTCTCTGCACTAACATTAAAATAATTGTATGGTTGACAGTAAGGAGAATTACAAATTTTATTTGGGAGTTAAAGGGTCAATGGATGTTTTGAACTTGAGGGGAGAAATACTTCTGAAAGGATCAAAAGTTAAATATCAGAGTGAATGTTAAACTGATCATTGCTTTGGAGTGATGTGTAATAAAATTAATTTTCTCCTCCCAAAGAATATTTTTAAATATGACATTCTGAAACATTTTCATTCAACTTTGAAGAGCCCCTGGCTTATAAGCTCTTTCCATTTAGAACCATTGGGAAACTCATAGCCATGTAGAGATTCTGTCTTCATTTCAGCACTATACCCTGGAGACTGAGAGAGAAGAGAACAGTCTTTGATATAATAAAATGAACCATGTCAGTTTAAGAATTTCTCTTCTACTTTCCAAGCTTTCCTTTTATGCAAAGAACAGATCCCTGTGATAATAAGGGAAAGGAGAAAAAAACCTCTGTGACCTTAGCATGTTGATGAATGCTATATCAATCTGCATCAGTTAAATTTGTGAGTATCTATGATATAATTACAAGCAATGAAGAGGTATATGTTTGACCTATATCTAAAACTCTGCTGCAATAAGTAACTCACACATACATACACTTTACACAAAACTTACTGAATAAAACAATATATTCTACAAAAAGAGGAGAGTAAAGCAACTGCAAATTGTATTAAGAAGATCAGTAACCCTTGTCTTTCTCAAATCAACTTACCATAGGCACTTTGTAAGCTCCACTCTCTACAACACAGGGATGAATAAAATGCTCATGAAGGTGATCAGCAAACTCTGTTACCCTGTTGACCATTAAAGAGGGTGAGGATTACTTGGTTAACAGGTCTTTAAAATGTGCACGATCACAGTTATATAATTATGTTTCTAACATTTCTCAGGCACCATGGGATGTTAACCCTTTAATCATAATCAAGTGATCAAGAAAGAATTTCTTCTCACTATATCCATACAGTATATACATAGCAGACAAGTGATGAGAATAAAGAAAAATAACAATTATGGGATTACTAATTGATTTGATACCAAATTCTCCAAACTAACACAATGAGAATCATTTGGCATACAGTAAAGAGAATTGGGAGTTAAAGGGTTAATCAATTTGAAAGGGATAGATGAGAATTTATACCATCAAGTAAGAAACATGCTAGTGCTTAGAAATAGTAATAATTGTTTGAAGGTAACACTATTCAGATTGATGTCAGTCTGAGCAACTACCCACCTACCCCTCCCCTAACTCAACAACAGTCAACTGATAACAAGTTAAGGTTAATGTTGGATAAGGGGAGGGGTAGGTGGGCAGTTGCTAAGATACTGACATTGATCCCCACTATTTGTCTTTCTCTGTTAACCCTTTAACTTCCACGAGTGACCAAGAGAGAATTTCTCCTAACAATATTAATACAATATCAAGGAGAAAAGCAATAAAAGGAGAAATTTATCAATTAAGGGATTATAACTTGATCCAATACCAAATTCTCTAAACTGATATCAAAAGAACTGTATGGCAGACAGTAAGGAGAATTACTACATAGATGAGATCTTGGGAGTTAAAGGGTTAAGTAATAAGCCAAATTTTTAATGGTAGCCAATTATCTTGATTCGACTTGAATAAGCTAATCTTTATAGTGTATTGTACACCTTTCTTTTTTAAAACTACATACCTGTTTTCTAAAGTTGTGGAAACACAGATAAAATCAAAAATTGAAATATGTTGAATGTATTCACACAGACCAACACCACCACCATGAGGACAAACAGGAACTGAAAAGAAAAAAGTCATGAAAGTTAAATTTTCACCTAATGTTGGTTAGGTTTCATTTTAGTTGTAATTCACATTTGAGCATATCTCTGAGAACTTTGCCCACTAAAGATTGTACATTCATAATTAGTTAATGTTCTTTAACCAAATAAAATTTAGCTCTAATAAAGCTTGGACAATAAAATTGGTGTTGGGGTTGCTTAAATAAAGACAAAACTAGACATATTCTTTCAAGTTTCTGTTAACTCTGATGGAAAGTCTTCACTCAGTGGCTCATATTGCCAGAGCTCTGTCCAGTTTCCATGGTATCAAGAAAGTTGGAGTATGGTTACTCTCTCTGGATGGGATGGTATTCCATCAGAGGCACCCAGGGTGTCCCTTAAGAATTTTGCCATGTTTCTCAAGTTACCCCAAGCATTTTGTTCTAGGTTTCCTGACTGTCTGCAAAGAGTACATTGTTTTGCAAAGAACTAAACACAACACAAGAACCCAGCCAAGGCTGAGTATTACTTGTCTGTGTGGTTTACTGGAATTGTATAACCTAACGTTAGTATATTCTCCTCACTGTTTCTTGATAATTCCTATGATACTGATGAGGAGAATTTGGCTGACTATCAGAACTTCTTAAATTGGTGATAATTTTCTTCATCATCATGACCTTAACTTTTGATTCAAGGGTGATACTGTAAAGAGATATAAGAGGCCTGTAACTCTTAGGGGTTAAGGGGTTATTAAACATGAAGCCTCATGCTTTACCTCCAAATTTAGCTGCCATTAGTAAGACTGCCAAAACTTCATTTAATCCACCCATCCGACAGCTGTCAATCTGGCAGAACTGGAAACCCTTCGCTTGAAAAAACTGTTTGAAGATAACTCTGTTCTGACAGTGTTCCCCTGTGGCCACACCTATGCCATAAGGTTCCAGTGCTTTGGAAATTGCAGCATGACCTGATAAATGGTAATATCAGAATAAATTCAATCATATACCCCATTCATACCAGAGCTTATGTATCCATGTTTTAAAGCTGTTTTTTTAAACAGAGTTTAAAGTTTTGTTCTTCATAGAAGCTGCTTAAATAGATTTTTGTCTTCTTCAGATGAAGCACATTGAAAAGGCAGGTTTAAGCGATTTCTTGAACCCTATGGAAAATCATTCAGTTAAAAATAATGGGTTCAACTAAACATGTTTTGCTGGTGTGATTGGGGTGATCTTACTTTTAAACTCTTCTCCAATGTAAAAAAACTTCACTCAACAATTCAACAAGGAGCTGCACAACTCCTCATGATAAATTTAAACTAATTACTGCTGTTACCCTTTAATCAGTGAAACAAGAATTATTTCGTTCTTACGTTGAGTGATGAAACCAAGAAAAAAAAAATTCAACTGTAACTCAAGGAAGCACACATCATTTGTTTGCTGCCCCTGACTACTTATCCCAGTGTCCCAATACATCACCCAAGGCTTGTACTTAGTACACCCCTAAATTCCCATTATCTGATTCTGGACATACATATTGAATAGAGGGATCAATATCAGTATCTGGGCAACTGCCCACCTACCCCTCCCCTAACCCAACATTAACCTTAACTTGTTGTCAATTGACTGTTGTCGAGTTAGGGGAGGGGTAGGTGGGCAGTTGCCCAGATACTGATATTGATCCAAATAGAGTATAAGCTGTTGGGGTCAAAGTTGAATTGCACAGGAAATAAGAGGCTCTTGTGCTGAAGCTTACCGAGTTTCTTCACATAGGTAGGGAGAGTACTGGTAGGAATTGATAAGTGTATAGGTGATGCTGACTTATTTACCTAAAACATCATCAGGTGATGTGGGTTCCTCAATCCACACTGGTTTAAATTTTGCCAATTTTGTCATATAACTAACAGCCTCCCCAACATCCCAACACTGGTTTGCATCCATTGCCTACAAAATGTTGTATCCAAAGTAAAGGAAGATCACAGACAACCTAAAAACATATTCTAATTTTTTTTTAAAAATAGAATTCAACATTTGTTTCTAGATCTGGAAGGCTTTGAATGTCCATTGGCGGCCATGTAGAACTTAAAGATGAACTGTGCTCATAACCAGAGGTGAGGTAAAGAGATCACAGCTGGTGGAGCATGGTCTAAATAGGCACTTTAAACAAAATATAGTCTTGATTATAACAGAAGAGTTAAATGTTATACTTTGATTAACACACACAGAGCTCAGAGAAGACATTCATGTTGCCACTGTGGATTAACTGAACAACCTTCTACAAAGAAGTGAAGAGTAAAACATGGTGCCTGACTCTGGCAAAGAACTAAGCAGGCCCAATTTGAATTAGCTATTTGAGCCATGTCATATAAGAAGAGCCTATAACAGGGAAAACCATTTTATATTTAAATGCTTGCCTTAAAACAGAATGGGGTAAAATGGACCCCACAACAGTCTAATATTTACCAGAAAGTTATCCCATCCAATCTCATCTCGGAATATTGTTGCTCTTCTGATGTCTTCATTTATATCAGAACCAATTTTCATCTTGAATCTGTATGTGTTGCAAAAGATAACAGTTAGCAAATTCAGTTAACTTCTATAATTGATAATAGAGTGCTTTTTGATTCAGTGCCATATAACCGAAACCATAGTAATCACAATGGACAATCAGAAGACAAAACCTTTGAGAGTTGGTAAGATGTCAAAGTAAAAACAACCAAATTGCCTAGTCTTTTAATGGGCAATGAAATGGTGTTTAAGTATCCACTCATTTAACTCACATCTGCAAAAGTGCTGACTTGACGTTTTCTCCTTTGTCAAACACAAAAAATTTGTGAATTCATTCAGCCTATTACCCTTAACTGAATGAAAGGTCGGACAGAGGCACTTGCAGTTGAATTATTTAGATTTTCACTTTGTTGCAACTTACAATATAATTCTGTACAGGTTTCAACATGACTAGTTAAAAGAAAGCATTGACAATTACCTTGTCCAGCCAGCCTTGAGATATTTTTGACACAGTTCACGTAGCTGAGTGTCAGTATAGCCAAGCCACCCAGCAGATGTTGTGTAAGAAGGATATCCCTTAGCAATGATCTCTTGTTCTGAAAGCAAATGGAAATTGTACTTAACACTTTAACTCTAACAGGTGACCTAGACAGAATTTCTCCTTACAATACCAATACAATATCATGTAGGTAAGTGATAAGAATGATGAAAAATACAAGTTAGGGGATTATTGGTTGATCTAATACAAAATTCTCAAACCTAACATCATAAGAATTGTATGGCAGACAGTAAGGAGAATTAGGAGTGAAAGGGCTAAGTATATAATTATACCATCTGGTCAGTTATCCTGACATTATATAAACTTAGTAAGAACATTGAATCAATATTAACATGACAATTAAAACAGAAAATATCTTAAACTTTAAATACCTCTTTCCTTTTTGCCACTTACATTCTTCTGAAGAATAGCTATAAAGAAAGAGTATAAATCTTATAGAATATACTGATAAAGGTAGCTTCTCAAAGATTGTTTTTTCTTTTGTATGATTAGAAAAGTTAATCCATAATGATTAGATTAAGGTGCTGTATTCTTGTGATAAGTGGTTTAATTTTAGCACAAATTTGTCCCACAAGAAATTGACTTTCTGGATCCATATCAGTATCTGGGCAACTGCCCACCTACCCCTCCCCTAACCCAACATTAACCTTAAATTGTTGTCAATTGACTGTTGTTGAGTTAGGGGAGGGGTAGGTGGGCAGTTGCCCAGATACTGATATTGATCCGACTTTCTTTACTTTGAAGTTCTCAAATGCAGTAAAATGAAATGAATGTCCTTATAGTAAAATTTGACAAAGTGCAACGAGAATATCTGAGCCCTTTTGGCATTAGTACTTTTTCTACTCTGTAAGGAGACTTATAGAAAACTTCCTAACCTGATCCAAGAGAAGACCAAAATATTAATAAATATAAGGATAACTTACCAATGGCTTCCTCTTTTGTTAACACATCTGACCTGTAAACACAGAAAAATACCATCATGATGACAGTGACATGCCACAAATAAGTGTTTTAAGTTCCTATGGTCACTTTATTTCTCATCTTTTATTTCATACGTATATAAAAAATCTCATAACAAACAAACAACACACAAATACTTACAGGTAACTTAGGTCAATTGTTGAAACAAGCTGTTCTGGAGACTATAAAGAGAAATGAAAAAATCTATTTAAGTACAGTTAAGTTGTTGTACTTTTTGCTGGCCATAGTCAATTTTGTTTCCTGTTTTATTGTCTAGTTATGCCTTCTTTTTTGGAATCTTCAGAGGTAATACAAAGAGAAGGAAAAAAGCCCTTTCCAAAGGCCTTCAAGGTCACCCTCACCCACCTCTCTACCAGTGACCTCCAATCACACCTTCACACTCTAATTCTTAACAGTCTCTGAACACCAGCACTAGAACTCTTAAAGCCCTCCTTCCCTAACTAGCATAAACCTCCCTCACCCTTAACCCTGAATAGTCATGAAACAACACCAACAACACCCTGTAGCTCTCCTTCTCCAACCACTCTCTTGCACCTCCACAGCTCTCAGCCCCAACCAGTCACTGCACCAAGTCCTTATACCTGCCATGTACCCCCACCTCTCTGCTTCTACCACTTGCACTTCGCTCCTGCCCCTTCACTGCTTCATCCCAAACTCTAACCTTCTATAGTGGTGTCACAGGGAAAGTATACAAGGGACAATTAAAGAAACATAGAACTAAAAGAGTATGTTACATAACAGGACTTCAAATGACTCACCATATCTGAAAGAAGTTTCCAAAGAGGCTGCATAGAAAAATGATCACATAATGTAACTTATCACTTAGATTAAATTGACTATACCAACTGGTGGTTAAGTTGAAGTTGAAGCAAAGTGTTAAATTATTATCAAATAATATTTGTTTGTAATAACACATGAAAAAGATACTTAGCCACAGTTTGAAAAAGAAAAAGTACCCCAAAGATATTGCTTTGCAGCTTTAGTTTGAATGGTCATGCAGCAGTGGGCAAATGAAGAAATACTGACTGCAAATTTCGAATTCTTTTCAAAACCCAATAGCATTTATTTTCAGTAAATAAGCTTTGCAGTTTGCACGACTTTAAGTACATGAGACAGAGGCAAAAATCTCAGAAAATCAATAACATGAGACCTCCAAAAAGGGCTCCCATAACAATGACTAAAGTTGCAAAATCTTACAAAAATTCCTCAACCAAATGACTATTTTGTCACTCAATTCTAGGTCACACAAGTCCTTATGCTTTTACTAACTGGTTTAACCTGTTCAGGCCACATGTGAATTGTATGTATTAATAAGCAAAGTGAATGGCTGTCTTACTTTACCTTGCCCTCCATCTTTGCCCAGAGATCCCACAATGCATTTACAACTGCAGCCAGTGCAAGATGTATCACACCTTTTTCTGGACCAAGCTTAAAACAAAAAAAATATCAAAAATATTAGACATCAGTGAGAGGTTTTCAAAAAATTAATGATTTGTGGGATTTAAAAATCATTTTGTGATGAACAACAAAGGAAAGAGGAAGGTAATATTTAGAGAACTGTAGTCTGCACTTTAAAACATATTCAAATACCTATCATAATGATTTATCTCTGTGATGACTTCTTACCCATCTAAACTGACTTTCATGAGCCAGTTCTCTCCAAACTGAGGCAAAGTTACCAAAGATTTCATCAGTTGTCCTGTCAATGAGCATTTTGCCATATGTTTTCACTGCTTCCATCACTAATAAATGATTGAAATACAGTTTGCAAAAAAAGTATTATTACTTATATATAATTATAATAGAGATGAGAACATACAATTAAAAAGTACATGCAATAAAATGTAATAAGGGAAAAATAATACAGCAACAATAATAACCAATGGTTATAGCAATGGTTTTGCAAATTCTTGTCTTATTGCCTACAAAAAAAAATCTAAGCTTTTGAAAAAAATTAAGTCAGAAAGGAAGTTGTCATCAATATTCATATAAATAATCTTTTTTTGAACATTCAGTTTGTTGTATTCTACTGCAATCACTATGCAGGATGTGTACATGGAAAAGGTCAGTAATAATCACTGTAAATGTGATTTGAAAAAGAAAGGGAAAAATTATTTTTTTGGTTGGTCAGCATTGTGAAAAACCTAAGCCTTGGACTTTTAAGGGCATTTTCAAGACTTCAGTTACAGTTTTTCGTGACTTGAACCTCCTGGCTAAGTCTCCTTCACAGCCATCAACTGGTCTTATCATGCAACCTGCTTTCATCCCTCACCCAAAAAAAAAGCATGGTGCGAGATGAGACAAAACAATGGCTATGAAGGAGATGACTCAATGATACATATATTACAAAATATGAAAAAAAAATGTGAAACATTTTTGATGACTGAAAGAGACAGAAATCTAAGTCCTCAGATATCTGATAGTTTACTGATATTTCCTTCAATAGCATGCTTTTTCTTAAGGTAAATTTGAAAATTTATCACGTCATTTGATGAAGAGAAAGAAGTTAGTACAGTGAAACAGTCAAATGGAGGCAATACACATACCTAGTTCATTGCCTCGTCCCAAAGTGAAGGTAAGGCCATGCCCTTCAATATTATCCAGTCCATCTGTTTCGAAGACAATATACACTGCTGAGTAATCAGGTGACTTGTGCTGTAAACAGTAATATGTAATAATAAAGTACATGTAAAGTATGTCTCATCATATATCACATTTTTAAGTACTGAGACAAAATTGTGACCCCTTTTTCATAAATAACTTTGCTGAATACTCCTTAAGTTCCCTGGAAAACATTCACAAGGTTGTTACATCATTTTCTGATGATATTTTGACAATAAAACTACACTAAAATACAGGTTTCACCACAGTCTAACTAGAAAACTGTAATCTATATAAGTAAAAGGTAGTTGTACTTCAACCTTGTTGCAGGAAAGTAGGCAAAAAGAAACCACTGCAAAAACTCACTGGATTTTAGAATGGTTAAGAAAAAAAAACTGTAAAAAGGCATCAGTCATATAAATTAATATGATTCCCAAATTTTCACAACACTTAAATCTTGTACAGTCATTTCCATGATTGACAAAGGAATGTAACATGGTTACATAATGCGCCAAATTATTTGTATAGGTAATAACATGATTTCAAGTGCAATTTGGTGTAAATAAGCTCAAGCACATTTTTCAAAGGGAACAAAATTGTATGAACCCATAAGGCAAGTGCAATTTGAAGTCTGAAAAATTTCCAAGTGCTTATTACAACAAACTGCTGGAGAAAATTGTTATTAATTGTAAATAATGTAAATGATAAAACATATAATTAGGAAGTCAAGATAGGCAAGTTTGAAAGCGTGCAGGCGCTAGTTGTAATTTTCATTCGTGTTACAACTTTGCACTCGTGTTACATGAGAATGCACTCGTTTTCAGTCAATCAGAAGCGCGATATTCTTTCATAACTATTATTTCTCTCAAACTGGTGTCAGTCACGCGATCACCTCTGTTTTAATTTCCCTATCACCCTCTTCGCTGATACCACCCTCTGCAGGGTCGGGCCATCGGAAAAGCTGTGAGGTAGGGCCGGGGCGGGGGAGATACGGAAAGTAATTCGAAGGGCTCTGAGGTCCACTTCGTGGGCATGCAAAATACGACGACGTGGGTTGCTCTAAAATTCTGAGACGATTTGTTTTAAAGGTTTTTGTAAAGTTCTCACCATAGCATCTGAGCCATGCAGTTCCAAAGATGTTGGAAAGCGTATGTCACGGACAGAGAGTCCAGTAAGCTTTACCATTGTGCAAAATTTAGAATTACAGTGGAGATGATAACCTTCCTGGTCGCAAGTGTCACGAGTTCTTCTGTGTGGTCGAGTGAATCATTTTACATCATCTATGACCGAGTGAGATTGAAACGAGTGAACAAGCACACCGCTGGCTTTTCGCGGGAAATTTTTAATATGGCGGACCAGGTTTCTATGAAAACTTAACTGGGGTAAAAGCTTGAAACATTACACTGCTGTTTTTTATCTTGTATTTTTTTTTAACTCGATAAGTTCTTGAAATTACATCGAAGCTCCATGGTAACGGTAGTTCGGAAAAAGGTGTGATCAGGATTGCCTGAGGGATTCGCAAGATCTTAAGTTGTGACGCGATACAGAAGCAGGTTTTTTGTGAAATGGATTTCGATCAGACACAAGTAATAGATGATTTTGAATTAGAGGAGGCAGAAAGTGAGGAAGAGAATAAGGTTCGCTCCAAGAAAATCGAGGTAAGTTTGAAAAAATTCCGTAGAATTACAATGCATTCCTTGAGCGCTACAATTACATTTCGTACGTTTCAGAGGCACTCATGTTGGCGTGCCTTGTTTTTGCTGGTTTGTTGGTTTCCTTTCGTTTCTTCCTTTCGTTTCCTTTCGCGTCGCCATCCAGGAGATTGGGAGAACATGGGGTAAAATTTCCGCACAGCCCCATACTAATGTAAAACAAATCTGTTTTCCCAATGGCAATGTATTGTTTTAGTCATTGTTTTCTCTATTCAAGAACTGAATGCATAATGAAGTATGGGGCTGTGCGGAAATTTTACCGAACATGGCCAATTAAACTCTTTCGACGGTTGAAATTGAACGAAATCTCGTGCACATTTCGCTATTCTCTTGTTTTGAAAGGAACAGTCACTCCCCCACTGTGCGTGTGTGAGTTGGGAGGGGGAGGGGTGGGTGAAAGGGTAAAAAGAGACATTTTGGAGAGTAAGGAATGATTTTTTTTACTTGTGACTGTATCTTAAGAGCGTTGATAACCTTTAAGATTTTCATGGTAGTGTATTCGTCTTATTTTTTTACATGAGCGTTAATCAATAAGTTATTCCCTCTTTATACTACAAATAAAAATTAATTTAACTGGCACTATTCAAATAAAAATCTCTACATAAAATAAATCTGATCCTGATAACTTTGAGTTTGAAATATAAGTTTCAGAATCTACAAATCATTATGAAATAGTTTTAAAAAGATTACTTATGTGATTGCTTTGGAAGTGGTTTTTTTCCCTTAATGGTGCTTATCCTTGAGGACCATCAATAAAGGGTGGGAGGTGGGGCTTTGTTTACTCCTGCAAATAAGAGCATACTTTACATGGAGTTTTTGACAGAGGGGGAGCTGAACAGAAATAATTTACAGTAACTTCATAATTATCATCATTATAATCATTTTCATCATTATCCTGGTTCAATGATGTTGAATGTTTTTTACTTTTGTTTTAGGTTGCACATCTTAAAGTTTTCTCTCAACAAGGTTTTAAAGAATCAATTTTTCCAGTATTCAAAGGTTTGTGCTTCTTTTCTGCATTTTATCATTTGTTTATTACTTAGCTAGTAGGCTTCCTCCATATATTTTTGTACTGCGGCCATTCAATGTTTTTTTGTTTTTCATTTCCTTTATTATCTTTTAACTTTTTCTTCGTTTTGTTCCCATTTTCACCACTTTTCTGTCTTGTTCATTCTATTGTCTGCTTAAGGGCTTAAGGATAGATAAAAATATAACTGCTTTATACATCTTTTTTTCTCTAAAGGTGATAATTTTATAGGGAGAGATGGCAAGTGTAACATCACTATCCCCATAAAGGTGAGTAGTTCTCTTCATTAAATTTTTGGCCCCAGACTGTTAAGCAAGTAAGCCCATAACTGAGCACGAGAAGTCAAGACAAGACATGAAGTCTTTTGTTCCCCTCTTGCCCTTTGACACAGCAGTTTCTAGAGCTGTATTGTTATGCTGTTCTCTTCTACTTACTTTCTACTTTACATTTTAATCATAAGGCTTTGTCAAAGAAACATGCCTGCATTGAAGTGCAAAGAGATCTTCACCTTCTGTATGATTGTGAGAGCAAGAACAGAACAAGGAAAGGAAAGGTACGTTAGAGTCCCTTGCATTGTGTAATAAATACTTTAAAAACCTTTCAGCTTCTTGGTCTGTCTTTTAGGAATGAAAGAAATAAGAATACAGTAGATCTTCCAGAACCAATTTTTTAAAAATATTTCTTTACTTCGGTATAACCTGTTTTGTTTGCTGTATTATACATTGCCCACACCAGACTGGAGGAGTTCCATTCAACTTACAAAAGGTCCATGCTAAAATATTTATGACAATTGCTCTGAATTTCACATTTTAGTCTGTCCTAAAGCCCAAGGTACGGTATGAGCTTAAACATGGTGATATGTTAACTTTTGGTGATGTGACTTGTCAGTACTTGATGGTCATGGAGGAGGAGGAGGTGAGTGAAGCCTGGAGGCAGTAAGTGAGTCAGGAATTGTGGTTCAATGTCAGCAGCACTGGTACTAAAGGGGATTGACAAGGCTCATCCTAAGACCTTGTCAGGTTTAGCCCATCTTAAATGTAGGAGTATTGCAGCTACTCCTTTCAGACAGAGTGGCAATCCACTGTCTTGTTAATACACTATCTTGCCAAAGAACACAACACAATGTCTTGGCCAAGGTTAAACCAAGACCTTTTGCTCTTAGCCAGGTTGTTAAAAGCTGGGTCAAGATAACTAAAGATTATTATAAAAATCTGATTTCAGATCTGAAAGCTTTTAAGGAAAATTCAGTTGAATTCTTTTTGCCTGCAATATGATTATTGGATGCTCTGAAACAAATGCAGAAAATTATCCCAAAAAGGCTTTTGAATAAAGGAATAAAGAAACATAGACTAAAAAAGTTAGCACTAATCAGCCTTCAAACAACTGGGTCCAGCTGTAGTCTAGGATGCTGATTGCTACAGTGTAGGTTACTATGTCTTCTGTAGTGGTTTGATGATTGATATTACTATAATTGTTGTTTTGATTTGCAGGATGATGGAGATGAAACAGTTTCAGAGACAGGTTCTGAATCTATGTTGACAGATTTGAACACTGAGGAAGGAATGAAGAAGATTGATAAGGTAGTGATCAGGCTGAGCAGGTTATCAGTTGTTTAGAACAACAAAAACACACTCTAGCTTTCTTTTTCCCTTCCACTTATAACTCATAACTATTCCCTGTTTTCCAGGTTTACTATAACTCATCAAATAAGTGTTTCACATGACTAGCAAATTGAATTGTGCTGCCTTAGGGAGTGACCAAATCTTATCAGTGTTATGGTCATGCCCTCCCTGATGGGATGCAACAATTGCTAACGTCAATACTGAAATGGTGCATTTCCTTGGTCTAGGTTCTTCCCTTGTCTTTCTTTCACTTAAAAGAATGGTGCAGAGCTTCTAAGATTGAATGCAGGTTTTGAGTCATACAAAAGTTTACTATCAGGTGTTCATGTATGTAAAACAATTTAGACAGGAGAATTTTGACCATGAGTTTTGTAAACTTTGAAAATAGATTCCCAACCCATCATGAAAGGTCAGGTTTTTAAAGTTTGAAGCTGAGGAAAATTAGAAAATTTAGAAATGATCTCACTTGCCAAGTGTTTAATGTTACACCATGTTTGAAGTTCCCTGTAAAATAGATAGTTGCTTGTTGGTTTTTTCTTGTTGACAGTCAATAGAGAGTGAGGATGTTAGTATGTCAAGTACCATTGATGTACATGTAAAAGGAGATGCCCCAAGGGAATCATTACTGCAAGCAAAACCAGACCATGAAACGACAAAACCATCCAAGGTATGTGTATGATGATGAGCAAAGATCTCTATACTTTTTTCATGGGATGCTATTTTAATTAAATTAGATTATCTTCAAGCATTCTTTTGTTGTTAAGGACTATGAAGATGCATATGCTGCAGACACAGATAGTGACACTGATGAAGAGCGACCTCTTGTAAAAACAGCAGTGCCAACTATATTGTACAGCTCTGAGGATGAAAAGGAGATATCCAATGAGCAGAGGGTCTCAAGTAAGTCTTAAGTGTAAAATTTGAATGAGTAGGTTGTTACATATATAAATTTCCAAAGGTTTTTTCCCCCAAATTTAAAATTTCAAACCCCAAGCAAATTGTGTAGTCAAATACCCACGACTAATTGGAGGATGTGGTCGGAGCTGCTTCCTTTCAAGAAAGAAAAGCTATTTGCAATTCTGCTCTTGTGTTTATTAATAGGTGTTCCAATAAAACAAGATGCTTGCTTGGAGGGACAGACTCTTGCATTTGGACTTGGGAGCCCAAGCCATGTGTTTCAGTGTAGGTGAGTTGCTCAGTTTTTTAAGGAAGATTTGAAGTTGACTAACTCTGAGCTATATGATTTTTAGTGAAATGCTCTCTTCTTTCCCTTTCTGAAATGTTTTATGACTAAACATGCAAGAACAGAGGTTCACAGTTTGTGCACTATAAAATCTCATCTGAGACTTTTATTATTCATCTCTTACTTTCATTGTTTCATTAAACTGAAACTGTTCATTCCTTAAGAGAAGGATTACTTTGATCTAATAATAAAAAATATTATACTGTTTACTTCTTTATGAGGTTTTTTTATGCCCAAATCTTAAATTCCCATGAGTGACCAAGACAGAATTTCCCCTTACAATATCATAACAATATCAAACAGACAGGTGATGAGAATAAAGAAAAATATCTTTTAGGGGATCATAAGTTGATCCAGTACTGAATTCTCAGAACAAACATCATAAGAATTGTATGGCAGACAGTAAGGAGAATTACTGATGAAATCTTTAGTAAAAGGGTTAATGGCTCTTCTGCCAACCTTGTAAGAGGAACAGAAGTTTTATAACTTGTAGCTCTAATTATTTTCATTTCATAGAGATTCAACAGGGTCTTCTGGATCTCACTCAGCTCAAACAAGAAGCATTCCACAAACTTTGAAGGTTAGCTCTGAATCTGATTCACTCTCAGATACAAGCCCATTCAGGCACCCTGGAGCTAGGGGTTCTGTCACCCAACCTCCATGCCAGCCTACACTGTTATATGGCTCTGAATCTGATGATGGGAGCCCAATTAAAAGACCAAGGCACCCAGCAGCAAGGGTTTCAGACAAGGGTCCTTCTTGTGAGCCAACACTTCTGTATGGTTCAGAATCAGATGAATCTCCTAAAAAGAAACCTGGACCACCAATTGTTCTGAATGAACCAACTTTGTTGTATGAGTCTAATTCTGATGAAGACAATGATAAGGCAGCCAAAAGATTGAAAGAAAGTCCAGCAGATGTAGTGGAAAAAGACAAGGCTGACAGTTTGTTGGAGGAAAGGCCAAACACAGAGGAAGAAATGGTGGCAGTTAAGGATACTAATGCGACACTTCCATACTATAGAGCTGAAATGAGTTCTACTGATGATGAGGGTGATTCAGGTATGTGAGTACATCCTCTGTAGAATAATGTGATTGTTTAAGTACTTGTTGATTGGTGGAGTGAATTTGATAGGGATGTGGTCTAGTAAAGCCCAGATGCCATAGAGAAGCCTAATTTTTGTCATCAAGCAACTTGTATAACTTTCATTTCAGGAAAGCAGGGCACCCCATATTTCTGAAACAAAAGCTTTCAGGCATCTGTTGATTCTATGAGATCTACAGGATTGATCTTAAATTAGTGTTTTGTTATATGCCCTCCAGTTGCCTTTCTTCAGCAGGATTTCAAAAACAATTTTCACAAGGATGGGGAGAGGCAAAATTCTTGAATGGAAAAAAATTTACCAACTTTTATGACCATTATGTGATGGGTGAAAAACAGCATAGGCTTGAGTGGCAACATCTGCTCCATAATCATCAACAGCTATGTGATGGGTGAAAAAAGATTATTTGTGGTACTGCCAAATGGAGAACGTCAATTTTGGGTCTTTGTCTGTTGTTTTAGCTTGAGCATGAAGCCACTTATTTTTTAAAAATCTTAATTTAAATTTTTGTCAAGTCTCAAATATACTGAGTTTGGAATTGAAATAATTAGGTTGAAATTATCAGTTGGATGTGATTGATCTATTTTCAGAAGGTGATGGACCTGATAATAGGACTAGTGTTGATGAAACACCTGCTCCTATACAACAAACTGTGGCTTATAACACAAAAGAAATACAAAAAGACGATTCAACAGATGATGAACAAAACAATGAAGCTGTTGATGATTATGGAGCAGATGTTGCCACTCAAGCCTATACTGTTCAAAGTGACTCTGAATTTGAAATAGAATCTGTAGCAAATGGGGATAAAGCAGTAGCAAGAGATCTGCATAAGGCAGTTGATCCTTGTGACCTGGAGGCAACACAAGCTTATTGCATAGAAGAAGGAGAGGATTCTGACAGTTTAGATTCACAGCCACTTCCAATTGGCACTGCTATAACAGCAGCTACTGATGAGATTCAAGCAACGTTAGCTTATGGCATAGGAGAACCAGAAAGTGTGAGTGATTCAGAGAGGGATAATACATGTAATAATGATGATGACAGCAAGAGAGGTCAGGTACAAACACTTGCCTATGACTTGCAAGCCACCCAAGCATATGGGATTGAAGGTGGTGATGATGAAGAAGAGGATTTACAAAAAAACTCTACAAAGACAGAAGGAGAGCAGCCTTCTGACCTTGATGCTGGGGTCAGCATAGGTGATGATGTCCAAGCTACCATTGCATATGGGCTGGAAGCAACTCAAGCTTATGGAGCTGAAGAAATTGATGATGAGGGGACAGCTATTGAGGGCAGAAGTTGCACAGGTGGATATCAGGGTAGAGGTCATGATGCAAATGCAGGGACACTTGTGTCTGATTTTGGTTCAACTCAGCCTTGTAGTGGGAATAATGATGAGGATGACAAGGGAGACAGTGGTGTTGGAGAGCATGTTACGAAACAGGCAAACCTTGCCACTATAGCCTATGGGCTGGAGGGAACTCAAGCTTATGCTTGTGATAGCAATGATTCGGGTACTTTGAGCTCAGTATACTTGTTTTTGTGTATATTTCGCCAGTTGGTTTGTTTTCTGACAAAGTTATCATGATCAAGTTCCATTTCTCACTTTTTTCTTTGTATGTTTTATACCAGCTTCATCTCACAATGAAATGATTGAAGCTACCCAAGCTTATGGTAATGATAATCCCTCTGCAGAGGAGACAGAACCACCAGCACAGGTACATCAAATATCTACTGTTTAGGGTGGGGTGGGTACCTTGAAAATTTGTAGGTTGCTTAATAAATATGTGATCTTTAGATCAGTTTATTGTTTTGTGAACTATTAGTCTTGACATGCTTGTGGGAGTTAAACATATTTCTATTTTTTTGTTTTCAGGTGACAGACAAAGATGAAACTGAGAATGGTGTATCAGCTGTTAGTGGAGGTTTGTACAAGTACTTAGCAATTGTTTGTAAGGTGATGTGGCCTGCAATAAGTAGTAAGGGGTCCTTATATTCATTTGTCATTTTTTTTATCTGCACCTCCCTCTCACCTACTTGCCCCCCCCCCCCTCCTGCACTTGTTACCCCATCTTTCCTATTCATCTCATTTTTCCATCCACCAGTTGGCTTACCCAGTTACTGATATTTTACCTATCCTCATCTATTCACTCTGGCATTTACCCATATTCCTACTTAATCACCTCCATCATTCCATCATTAGTATTCCACTATGCACTTGCAATGTACTCATTCAGCCTGTGAAGAGAGAGGCCCAAGAGATATTTTTGTTGCTCTAGGGGATAAAAACAAACCTTCCTCGAGCCCTGCTGTTGATGTTGTGGATGACTCTCAGGACAGTGAAGATGTAACGCCACGGCGATCACGTTCCAGGAGGGGAAGGAAAAAGCCAGTTATTGAAGATTCTCAAGGAGAAGCATGTGAACAGGTGACTGACTCAGGCAGAATGAAATTACTTTGTATGAGTGGCTGATACCTATTATAAGTTGCTTTTTACTTAAATTATAGTAATTAAGTGCTTGATGCTGTAAGCAGTAAGATTGCATGATCAGTTATTGATCACTCATGAATGGATAATGGGGTGACTGGTAATAATGTACATGAAAAAAATTATGAGCTTCTGACTGGCTAAAAAAATGATTGCATTCTCATGAGTGCAAAGTTGTAACATGAGCACAAATTATAAATAGCACATGCATGCTTTCAAAGTTTTGTCTGTCTTGACTTTCTATGATGTTTTTTCATGTACATTATTAAGAAGTTGTGGCAATATTTTTCTAGCAATTTGGTATAATAAGCACTTGTAAATTTTTCAAAGACTACGAATTACACTTGCCCTATGGGCTTGTGCAATCTTGTTGTCTTCAAAACATTTACTTGTGCTTTTTTTTACCCCAAATTACCCTTGAAGTCATGTTATTACCTAAGTATACTAAACAATGGTGGCAGTGCTACAGTTGAGGTCACCCAAAGTATTCTGCAGCATATAACTCAAGGTGCCTGGCCATGATTGGTACCAAAAAAACTATAAGGAAACAAGAGAAAATTCTAGTGACAGGCACTAATTATAATGGACTACTCCAAGGATGCATAGTGCTTAGAAATCCTATTAATTTGCACCATTAGTAAGAGTAGCAAGACTTCACCTGGTAAAAATTCACGCTTATCATATTCTGTTTCTGTATAGGCCCTGGTTGTTTGAAGATAATTCCAGATAATTGGTTTGTCAGATAACTCCATCCACTGGATAAATATCTATCCAGTAGATAATGACGTGATACATTTTGTTATCACTTCTCCACTGGATAGGGATTTATCTGGTGGATAGCGTTATCAATCCTCTATACAACTGGGCTCTGTACTTTTGTCATGCGAGAATATATGCTAAAAAGCTTTATGGGTTTAATTTACCTCTTGAAAAGTGTGAAATATTTTTCAATATTCTATCTGATTAGGCTGGATCAGCTGAAAATCCTACAGAGTCTGAGGTAGAAATAACCAAGATTGATAAAAGAGCAGAAAATAATGTGGATATTACATCAGGCAGTATTTTAAATAGAAATGACAAAAATCCTCGAGCAACAGTTTCTAGTAGAAAGGGAAGAAGAGGGGCTATGAGGGTCACGATTGACCCTGGAACACCAGATGAGGATGAAGGTAAAGAAACTTTGTCAGCGAGCTCAGGACAGAAGGGAGCAAAGGAGACAAATGGATCTGATAATCAAGACAAAGAGACTTCCAAGGTGCCAGCCTCAACATCAGGGAGAAAAAGAGGAAAACAGGCTGGGAAAGGAAAACTTGATGAAGAGGTAGAAGAAACACCTGTAAGAAAATCAAGAAGGGGGCAGAAAGGAAAGGCAGCACAAATGGATGCAACATTTCTGTCCGAAACGCCTCTTGAGCCAGTAAGCTTTGCTTCGCTTCTTTAGATCACTTGAAAGATGCTGTCCACATTCTCTATTATGGGCACCTTCTATTTTATTTGTTTGGCAGTTAGTTATGCCAGTTTGAATGGCAATCTTACTTGACTGTACGTGAATAATTTTCTTTCTTATAATTATAGAAAAAGTTTATCGTTTTATATTGGTAAGACCATCTCACCCTAAATAAACATTACAAAATTTGAAGTCCATAGACACTACTGCTAAAGAGTTGGGAGAGGTTTCTGGTGATGCTGTTGAGAGTCAGCCAGGTTCATCAGCTGAAGCTGTTCCTACAAGGGGAAAAGGAAAAGGGAAGGGAAGAGGAAAGGGAAAAGGAAGGAAAAATGAAGCATCAGTGGAGGAATCATTGGTATGAATTCATTTCATTAACATACTCTTTTCAATGCTTATTCCTGTTTACTACAGAATTTAATTAAAGTAGTTGGAAAAGGAAATCTAGGTAGCCATACAAAAGTGTTTAAAGATTTCTCATAGGCACTGTGATGTGAAACACAACAGCTGGCTTCTTGCATAGATAATTGTGTTGCTCGAAAGTCTAGGTAATATGTTTGTTTATGAAAAGCTTGAAGGTGCTGAAATTTTGTGGAATTTGTTTTCCACAAAGTGAATGTTGAAGGCTTTATAAAGATATTTTGTAACCAACTTTATTGCAAATTCTGAAATTTTATAATTTGGTTCTTTTCCTTTTTATGGTAAACTAATGATAAATATAATTAAACGTATATTCCATTTAAAAAGTAGTTAAAAATTGCTGATTCTGTATTGCCCTCTGAATTCACTGAATGTTAGGAAAGAGAATCCATTGGTTCAGAGGTATCTATCATCTCCAATGAACCAGTTCCCCCAGAAGCTGTGAGTACGCCTACCAGAGGGAGGGGCAGAGGAAAAGGCAAAGGCAGAGGAAAGAAAACACAGCCAAAGAGAGTCATGGATTGTGAATCAGAAGCATTTGCAAGTACTTCTCCCCAAGTAGTAAGTTCTCTGTGATCTATAGAATATATTTATTATTAAGCTTTAAGGGAATCCATGTTAGCTTTTAACTTTGATTTAAGAGATCTTAGTTAAAAATGCTGTTTGTGGGTAATGTCTTCATGTTATTTGGTACAGCCTCTTCTCTCAATTTGCAAAATAATACGTATTTAAGGAAGAACTAATTTTATCCAATTTGAAAGAAGATCTGTGCAAATATCTTGACATTTTACCCAACCTGGTTATTTCAACTAAATTTTTAAGTACACTCACAATTCATGAACTCTAATTAGGCTTGTTTACATGACTGCATATTTTTTAAATTTAAGGTTCAGGAGACCCCCACTGTTAATGTCAATGAGCTGCAGCCATCAGAATCGCCTGCCAGTGTCTCTGCTTCAAAAGGAAAGGGTAGAGGCAGGAAGAGAATACAACCTTCAGCTGCTGAATTAGAGGCATGTGATGAAAATGCTTTTTAGAACACTTTGACTAAGACATACAGTACTGCTTGCATATATGTTAGCCACACAGACAAATTTCATACACTCAGATGCAGGGTAGTCAGACGCGTATATACGGTTTTTTTGTCTGCAGGTCAAAAAAATGCACGACCCATGTGCCTTTGTTATTCTTGCTGTAAGTTACCTTGGATCATGTGCCCTATGGACAGCCTTGCTAATTTAGTCATTCAAATCCTGATTGATGTATAGCTGTATAGTCAGCTAGAAGCAGGCTAAAAGTGGACTGTAACTCAAGTAATGTTGAGATGAGAGCCAACATGGTTGGTTGAATGTTGATCAACAGTTGGTTGACCATCATTGGTCAATTATTTTCAAACAGTTGACCTACTATCCTGCGACTGTTGGCTGGCTGTCAACTAATACATCAACTGGCATTCAACCAAGTCACCAACTGATTTGATAATTTTAGTGCTATATTGCAAGCAATGTTTGCAAGCAATGCTTGCAAACAAGATGTACCAAAAAACCTACCATCTCTCTTATTTCTATCTACAAACATTATGCTATCAACATTGCTGATCCTAGCAGTATGCAGGACATGTGTCATATGAACTTTGTAATAGACCTCACTCACCATGGTGTCTCTGTGGCTCAGTGGTAGAGCATCAGAGTGCAGAATCTGAAGGTCTGAGGTTTGATTCCTCATGGGGGCTCAGAATTTTTCTTTGTCCCACACTCATGATAGGACAAAAAAACATCTTTCTCTAAACAGGATGTAATTGTTATGTTTGTGATTTTTTGTTGGGTAGGCTTTGGCATCATCAGATGGTACAGAGTATTCTGAGACTATTGCAGACTTAGAGGAAAGCCCAACAGCTGGAAGTAGTAAGCAAAGTCGCAAAGGGAGGCAGAGGAAACATGCACAAGAGAACTCTGAATCATTGGTTAGTACAATGTACATGTACTGGAGGAAATAGCTATTGCTGATCACCATGTTTTTGTGTTTTCAATGCTGTACTCTTCAGGAGGTGGAGGAAACGCCAGCAAAGAGAGGGAGGCGTGGAAAGGAGCCCTCTGTGAACCGAAGCCCATCCTTGCAGAGGGGGAAGTCATCTACAGAAAATAGCCCAAGGATAATGTTCACCGGGCTTTATGATAAACAGGGTGAAAAGGTAAGTTCATTCTTGATGCTTTTGAAGAGACACTATGGATTCTTGGGTACCTTTTGTTTTTTTTCTTGATCAAGGAAATGTACAATTTGTAGATCACAGTAAACTTGAATACCTTCCAGATTATGGATGTCAATTGTAACTTCAAAAAATTGTCCAACTTATTAAAGATAAACTCTTCTGTAGGTTGTGACAAGCTTAGGAGGTCAGCTGGTGGATAATATTCACAACTGTACTCATCTGGTCACTGATAAGGTTTGTGCTATTTGTACTTTGATGTGCACAAATTAAAGTGGAATCACTGGATGTGTAGATTGCCAGCAGGCTTTGGTTTCTCTTAAAAATAAGCAAGTGCTTTAGAAGTTATGAGATTAACAGAATTGAAACAATTTACTGTCATGCATATCTACTTCATCATATTTTTTGCTTTTTTTCAAGTTTCAGAGAGCACTTTTGAAGGCAATTTAATTTTTACTTCCACTTGATTGTGGCAAATATTGCTAAAAGTGCTTAAAAAAGATAAATGGAAAAAAATCCATGCTTGGCTCCGAATCCAGATGACATTGTTTAAGGACCTAAAATCATTTTAATTGATAGTAGATATTTGCTTGAGCAAGGTTGATGGAATCGTAATTGAAATAATGAGCTTTCAAAACTTTAAGACTTAAAAGGGGTCAATTTATTTTAAAGTTCTTGGAGTTATTTTGAAGTGATCAGCCTCTTTGTTAAAAAGGTTTATAGTAGACTAGTGTTAATTTTTGGCATCAATTCTTGTGTCATCATCCGTATTACTGTTACTTATAGGTACGGCGTACAGTCAAGTTCTTATGTGGTCTTGCTGGTGGGCAGGTCATTGTTCTTCCTTCATGGCTAGAAGCTTGTAAAAAGGCTAAGGGTTTTGTAGGTAAGAATACAGTCATAGAAAGTAAATTAAATACAAGTAAAGAGGGGGTAAGTTTCTAAAGAAACTGTGGTGCTGCATTGATGGGAGAGTATAACAGGGTACTTTGGAATTATCAAGTTCAGCTGAGGTGATAATGTAAATTGGCCACTGCAAAGAGTTTCAAAGCTGATCTTTTGAGTGTTAGCCCTTCATTGTAAGCCTTTCACTCTGATGAAGGGCTAATGCTTGGAAGTTCAGCTTTGAAAATCTTTAGGGTGGCCAATTTACATTATCAACTCAGCTGATAATACTATATTACCCTATTATACAGACTTTATAGCACTTGCTTGACTTTTTTATTACTAACACTAAAGAACTGACAGATGCAGACTGAGCTTATTTCCATATTAAGTTTTTTTTTTTGGTTCTATGTTATAGACACATCCCCATTCTTAGTTAAGGATGAAGATGCAGAGAAGCAATACAATTTTGATCTTCAAAGGTGAGCTTCTTAATTTGAGAAGTGTTTATTTATGAGGAAAATGATTTGGTGATGGTAATGTTAAAAAATATGTTTTCTTTCAGATCTCATGAAGTTGCACTCACTAAGGGTCTCTTAGAGGGTTGCAAGGTCCATGTAACAAAGAAAGTCAAACCAGAACCATCTCAGATGAAAGGTACAAACTGTAATCACAATTTTAAGGAGTTATTGAATACTTTAAGTGTTTTTAAGTGGCTATCAAAGTTGTATGGATCAGTCTTCTCCTTTTCAGGCAGTTACTAGTAAAATTCACTGCATGTAGTATCCCTTATTACTGCCTAAAATGGTTTGGAATTCTTGAAATTTCAACAGGTAAAAGGATTGCTCTTACAGTTTGAAATTTCTTTTACCCATTGTGCTTAAAATAAGGGAGAACACTGTGGGTGAACTGATTTTGTTTCTGATGGCAGTTATAACTCTGAAATAATTTCATTTTCAGTGAGGTTAACAAGCAATTGACAGTGATATCCATTTAATAATCTGCCTGCAGATTCTTGTCAATTTGTTTTTCTCTTAATCTTTGCATCACTTTAACCCTTTACACCCTAGGGTCCATATGCATATTCTCTAAACCAATCTCACTACATTTTTAAGTTACTAACAAGGAGAATTTGTCTAACTGTCAAGAGCATCTTTAGGTGGTGATCATTTCTTTTATTCTCATAACCTTTATGTGTGATAAGCGTGATATTGCAAGGAGAAATTAGATGATAGTCGCTCTCAGGGATTGGATCACCCTTGATTTATATTAAATAATAGCCAGGTCAAGAAGCTTTACTTTAAATGGCCAATGCATAAAAAATATGAATTCCATGGCCATTTTTCACTCATCAGAAAGTTTTGTTGGGTAAAAGTTAGTGCATGAAAATGTACAGTAAGGAATGAATTTTTATTTTTCAGACATAATTAAAAGTGCCAAAGGAGAGGTATGTATCACACTTAAATTTCGTTGTGTTCTTAATGGCAATATCTCTCAATATTCTCCTTTGAGTGGTCAAGTTGGAGAGGTGATGTTTGTTTGAAATATGTTGCAAAGATGTACCATTTCAGTATAGTGATAGTTTTTGTTTTGGTTAAGTTCTTGACCAGTATGCCAAGAAGTAGAGAGAACGGAGTTTTTGTAATCTCTTGTGAAGATGACAGAAGTGTCTGTAGAAAGCCAATGGAAGCTGGCATTCCTGTGGTGAGTGCTGAAGTTCTTCTCACAGGAGTGTTGAGGCAAGAGCTCAGTCTCGAAGAGTATCCTTTTCTTTGTAAAGTGAGTGTCAAAAGTGGTTTAGGATTGGTTTGAATTTGCCTTGCTAGTCTTAGTGATTGGTCCAGAAAAGTCAGTTACTTTTAATTAGTTTGTTTATCAAACCTCAGCAAGACTTTAAATTTCCCTAGCTTCCCAATTGAGACAGGGGAGGAGGGGAGGGTGCTTATTGGATAAAATGGTTTTTAGTGAGGGAGATGGAGGTTTCAAGGAAACTCTCAGTCACTGAGAGTAAAAATGTGGGTTAATTTTTCTCCTAGGAACTCTTGCCCAGCTTGGCTGAATAGCAGTAACATTGTGCCTTTCTTAAGTTTGATAGATTCTTTAATTTATTTCTCATTTTTCACAATGATGGAATGATATGGAGAAGGTACAAGGCTTCAATTCTTTTAGAAGCTTGCTTTTTGCTATTCTATCAATAAATTTATCAATATTATTGCATCCTTAACTTTTGCCCCAGGTATAAATTATTTGCAGATGAAATTCTGGATACATCACAAGATACAAGCAGCTCAAGTGGACAAAGTAAGAGAAAGAAGGAAACTTCAGGGGAAGTTGCAACATCATCAGGGACAAAGAACTCAGCGTCAAAACGAAGAAAGAGATGAACCATTGATGTGAACCATTGTTTACCAAATTCAAGGAGCTCAGAAATGTAGCAAGATCTAAGAAAACAATCAATGATTTGATTTTGTGGAAGAGTTTTGGAGCTTGTATGATGGCAGCTCTGATGGATGCAAGAGAGGCTCCTGACATAGCCTTATTATTCATACCTTGCAATCTTTTAAAACTCAAGGCACTGATACATGTAGGAAGAGGAAAGAGAAAGGGAAGAAACCTGTTCACATTGGGAATTGAGTACCAGATGAGACAGTCTGAACAACCAATCACAGGTTTTGGTATGGGAACTCTAATAAAGAACCTCAGTCTAAAAGCCCAACCAGACATGACTTTTTGAACTCTCACTGTTATGGATGATGTGGAAAGGTCTTGCAAAGGACACACTAAAGACTAGGAAAAGCATCCTCAGATGTAGAGGATCCTATGTATTGAACTCTGCTACTGAAATTTTTACATAAGATGGAGATATGTGTTTTTTTGATCATATCTGAATGCTAAGAAGTTCTCAATATGGGGAATCAAGGAGCAACATGAGTATATAGGACAGAAAGGACAATCGTATGGGTCAGCAAAGATGATAGATTTTGGTCATGAGATTCTTAAAGTAATGAAAGAGATGGCTTTCATGAAGATGCCTTTTAGAAAGAGTGCACTTGCGTTTTAAACTTTGCGTCATGTACCTTTTTTTATGTGCCAAAGTCATATCGTTATATAAAGCCATGTGCTAGCCACAGTGAATGGTTACATTTTATGGTCTGCAATAAAAAGTAATAATTTAATATTGTACTCAAAAAAGTTTGCACCTGCAAGGAATCTTTTTTCAAGAAGTAAAATTAATACTGAAGGCTACCTAAGTTGACCTATTTAGGCTACCTAAGTTGACATTACTTTTTAATTTTGTACTTCAACATAATTTTGTTGCTATAGAGAACAGTTTTGTTCTGCAAGGCTTTGGCCAGACTTGTATGAGTAATTGTGTAAGAGGTAATTTTTGTGATGATGTCTTACTCTGACTGGTTGTTAAAGTAACCTACACTTACCAGTAAATGAAATTTTTCAAAGTTGCTAATAATTTGTTTGAGATGATGATGGTTCCTTAGTGACATAGTCAAAGCAATTATGTCTTGTAAGTGTTTAGTTTGTGTAGAACAAATTATAACATTTAATAATGGTACTCATGGCATAATAATTTTATCTTGGGTCTCTAAAATAAAATAACGTATGAAAATGAATAAAATTTTGTGATGTTTGTTTTGATACAACATATCACCTAAAAAAATTGGTAAGCTGTTTTTGTCCTTGAAGTAATGGAATCTTTTTTCTTTTGGACAATGTTTTTGTTTTAGTTTTGCCCTTTGAGCTCTTTTTTGCAGTAATGTCTGTCTCGAGGAGCATACGTTTGGCTGGTGGTTTTTTAACATCATTTATGGTTTTGTTACCAGTTGGAATGTTCTCCTTGTCGCACATAGATTCTGTTAAAGTTCTTTTCTTGGTGTGACATTTCGGTGTATCCTTAATGTAAGATTCATTGCCACTTTCCTGATGAGATGTTAAAATATCAGTGTTTATGGCAGCAGTCATCATTTGGTCTCTTTTGTCGGCAGGACTTGGTCCTATCTGAATGCTGTAAGCAGGTTTGGCCCAGCTCATATCACCACACACTTTCCTATAACTTTCAAATGGTTTCTGTGAAAAACAATTAAAAAATTAATCAGCTATTCTAAGATGGTCCTTAAGGAAACCCAATATATGATTTGCCATTGCATTAAGATACTAAGCTTCTTTGAACAAAATGAAAATAAAAATGGACAAAAGACAAACAAAGAGAGAGGTTACCATGTCTTAGATTTCATCTTCAGATGAATAAAGTTGCTGTTTTACCAGGATCTTACCTTTTCAGGTTTGTGTTTTGGCGGCTGGTCCTTTGGTGGTGTAACGGCTGCTTCTGAAGACTCAGAATCAGGTGTTCTAGCCAGAAAAAAATTAAAAATATGTCTTGAATTTTCTCTTAAGATAATAACAAGTTACCTAGAACTTTATTTCACAGGCAATGCTGGAGCTAAATACAAGTTTCCCAGGGTTATCTTGACTCACAAATTTTCTACTTACTGACTCTTAAGTGGAGGGTGAATTTGCCAGTGCTAGAAATATTTATTCAAAGAAACAAGAGAGTGACTATATCAGCCCTAGCTAATCTATAAGCTTGCCCAGAGAATGCCATGCCACAAGTCTTAAAGGTCAAAGAGTTCTTCAAAACTGTTCCACCTTACCTGAACTGACTTAGTGTAGATCGTATTTTAGATTTTCCATGAGGTAATTCTGGTGTCATAAGGGCACATCTCAAGTCCATTGTTTCATATCCCTGGAGACAACTTTGCTTGACATGCTCATCTAAAACAGCCTGAATCAGGAAATACACATTCATTCCTGCCATGGATGACTTTGTTTTGTCACCATCACCTGTTTTGCAGCTTAGTTCTTCCACCTTTTCTTTCAGAGATTCCACAGTTTTGGCAATGCATTCATTTGTAAAAACCTTTTCTTTGGATTTCATAATGCTTACTTTGAGCATGTTGATAATTCTTAAGACAGCATTTCTGAAAGGTAAGCACACAATTTAACACAATTGGCCCCAAAAATGATTTTGGTTTTGATTTTGATGCCTGGTTTGTGACAACAATCACTTCAAACGATCTTATCAACCCACTCATTGAAGAGTGTTCAACTAAATAATATAGTTTTAGCCATGATTAACTTGTTAAACAGACTTAATCTACATGAAATAGTTTTGTTATTTTACCATTAGTTGCTTGGTGGAAAAAGAAAAGGTGAACTTAGTTTCAAAACCTTCCTTTTGCAGAAAGGATGTTAAATTACTAAGCAGTGTTCAAAAAGTAATACCCATCATAAAGCTTTCATACTTTGCATCAGCTATTTCTTCACAGACATTTTGTAGCTTTTGGAAAAAAGTGACAAACTCTCCAAGACCCTGTAAAAAAATTTTTGAAACATAAGGCATGAGTATGGGACAGAAAAATCTGAGTCCCACATGGGGATAGGACACCACTCCCTACAGATTTTGTGATCAGTGCCTTCACTAACCCCTGGTGGAGAGGTCTGGGTTTGAGACCTTGCCTAGTCAATGTGTTGTGTTCTTGGGCAAGGCACTCTTAATTACTCTTGCTGTGCCTTTAATGATTCTCTCCACCCAGGAGTATAAAATGGGTAATGGTAAATTGTCAGGGAAGCCTGATGAAATGCGGGGTGGTAACCTTGCAATGGAACTAGCATCCCATCCAGAGGGGAGGGGGGGGGGGGGCATGCCTTTAATGATTCTCTCCATCCAGGAGTATAAAATGGGTACTAGCAAATTGTCAGGTAAGCCTGATGAAATGCGGGGTGGTAACCTTGCAATGGAACTAGCATCCCATCCAGAGGGGAGGGGAGGGGGGGGGGGCATGCCTTTAATGATTCTCTCCACCCAGAAGTATAAAATGGGTACTAGCAAATTGTCAGGTAAGCCTGATGAAATGCGGGGTGGTAACCTTGCAATGGAACTAGCATCCCATCCAGAGGGGAGGGGAGGGGGGGGGCATGCCTTTAATGATTCTCTCCACCCAGAAGTATAAAATGGGTACTGGTAAATTGTCAGGGAAGCCTGACGAAATGCGGGGTGGTAACCTTGCAATGGAACTAGCATCCCATCCAGAGGGGAGGGGGGGGCATGCCTTTAATGATTCTCTCCACCCAGGAGTATAAAATGGGTACTAGCAAATTGTCAGGTAAGCCTGATGAAATGCGGGGTGGTAACCTTGCAATGGAACTAGCATCCCATCCAGAGGGGAGGGGGGGGCATGCCTTTAATGATTCTCTCCACCCAGAAGTATAAAATGGGTACTGGTAAATTGTCAGGGAAGCCTGATGAAATGCGGGGTGGTAACCTTGCAATGGAACTAGCATCCCATCCAGAGGGGAGGGGGGGGGGGCATGCCTTTAATGATTCTCTCCACCCAGAAGTATAAAATGGGTACAGGTAAATTGTCAGGGAAGCCTGACAAAATGCGGGGTGGTAACCTTGCAATGGAACTAGCATCCCATCCAGAGGGGAGGGGGGGCATGCCTTTAATGATTCTCTCCACCCAGGAGTATAAAATGGGTACTGGTAAATTGTCAGGGAAGCCTGACGAAATGCGGGGTGGTAACCTTGCAATGGAACTAGCATCCCATCCAGAGAGGAGGGGGGGGCATGCCTTTAATGATTCTCTCCACCCAGAAGTATAAAACGGGTACTGGTGAATTGTCAGGGAAGCCTGACGAAATGTGGGGTGGTAACTGGGATAAGCTCCAGCTGGATGGGTAAAGATTCCCTCTTGTGGTAAAATATCCTGAAGCCCTCTAACAGTTAAAATATATTAGAAATATCTTTTTGGTATAATTCTATTAAAGGTAATATTTGATATACACCTTAGTTAATGGAAGAAGTGGGTTGTCATTGCTTGGTGCATAACTCTTCCCACCTAATCGTATCCTCAGAATAAAGGAGACAGCTGTCTGTTGGGAAGGGAAGGAAAGAAAAACAGTGTTCAAAACTGAATGATGTTAGCCTTTGACTGCTGGGGATAATGATGTGGAAGACTTTTTTTAAATTATTATTACTGGGTAAGTCTATATACATTTTAGACTACAACTCAATCCATCCCACAGCCAGCCAGTCCAATGAAAAGCAAGGCAATATCCAAGAACTCCCGCAGTAAATGGATTGAAAGATTACAGCTTTGGTTCTGTAACCTGTCCTCAACCATGACATAAGCTGATGCTGATTACATTGATATACAGGCAAGAATGTCAACATCATGATTTAAATACTAAAAGAACTGAAATGCCACCTCCCATGCTTTGATTCCCAGACTATTTCAACATGCCTGATTTTGTCTCTAACATCAAGGAAGAATTTTCTAAACTAGGTTGAGAGTTTTGAATCTTACAATTTCAACACTCTTAGTCCAATGATATTTGATTCCACTCATTGACAACTTTTTGCCAGATATTAATGATATTTTCATGTATGTGTGGTCTTAATATCAATATTTTTTAAAGATAACTTTCATTCACTGATAGTAACATAATTGTGTAATTTTCATAATAATATTCATTGTAATAAACAAATTGAGTGGTACCTGAAACATGGGCATGTTTTTTTCCCGAGCAACCTTCCTCAATACTGTAAACTGTTTGTGAGCCAAGTCCCTGTGAGGTATATTGATAGCCTGAGAAAGAGCTAGTTCATCTCTAGAATTCACCAGGAGTCTGAGGTAACTCAGACAAACCTTCAGAAATTGATCCTGTTATTAAGATAACATGTATGGAACATTAAACTTTATAACATTATTACTAAATAAAGTTAGATTATGCTTCACTTCACACTCTTGCACTGGTAGTGTAAAGAGAGGAAAAGGCTCTCCATCAGAGAAATCAGTACCCAGAGGATGGCTATTTAGCTCAGGACGAAACAATCTAGCTTTCAACCAAACTGAACCAGAGCTGAAGGTGGTTTGGGACTAAATGTACAGTACAATGAATATGTTCCTTTTATTCATGTTTTTTGTAAAAATATTAGTCAAAAGATTACTTAGGTGGCTTAAGTTTTTCCTGATCAAACCAGTTTCTTCTGATCTTCCAAAACCCAACTCTGTTTGTCAGAATCATGGTAAAAAAACTCAGATGCACTGTACCTAGTTTTATCTGAAAACTTTCTGCATTGGTAGACAATATACAATGTAATTAACATCATTTTTCACTGTAGTAGGTAAAATTGACACCATGGCATTCCAATTACTGGTAATGGAGATTTTTTTTTTTTTCATGATTACAATTTTCAATGAATTCTCCACATTTTAAATGCTCAAGGTTAAGTTATATTTAGTTAGTTAATAATTTATACATATGGATTTTCAGCAAGCTGAAGGGGTTTCTCTGACTTACAAAGCCAGTTTGATGTTTAAAATTACCTGAGCCAATGATTCTTGTGAAACTGAATGAGATAGAGCAGGACTGGGGGTCCTTCGCTGTGGAGATATGTTTAGTAATTGGTCACCAAGCACATCTGCTGGTACTTCTCTATGCAGGAGCATATCAGCTGTTTTCTCAGATAGTGAGTGTTGACCATCTGTGTGCACAAAAATAATTAGAAAGAGGTGAAATGGGGCATTTTAAGGAAGTTGCAAGTTTAGACAATAGTTAATATTTGAATATGCTTTGAGGTTCATAATCCATTGAAACTCAGTTTACTTAGGTGGTGACCTACCTTCTGTCTCTGTGAAGCAGATCAAGGTTCTGTTTCCAACCATCAGCTGAAGAATTTGTTGCTGGAAGAAATCAGTTTCATGTAAAGATAGAATCAACACATTAATGAAATAACCAGCCTGATTACTGGTTCATTCTTTAACTGTTACAGTTACTTTTATTAAGCTAAATTACTTGACCGAAGGCCAACGTAAGTTAGTGTCTAGACTAACAAAAGTCACCACCATCAGCCCTTTGCCCTGTAACATACAATATAAGTATGTACACTCTCCACATTGCTCTCTTTTTCATTCGCCTTTTCATTTGGTGATCATTTCTTTTATTCTTGTGACCTTAATTCGTGATTCAGGGGTAATATTGTAGCAGTCGCACATGAGGGCCAAAGGGTTAGGAATTATTTCAAATAAGATAGCATTTAAAACAACTCTCTAATTTCTCACCTCTAGTTGTGTCTTTGGCTTCCCAGTGACAACAAACTGTTGCGAAATTTGAAGCATGTCTTTGACATTACTGTCCATGATAAAACATGTTTTGACTCTCTGAAAGACATCAGCAAAGTCCACAGAATTGCAGTGCAACAGAAACTTGTTATAGGCTGTGCATAACTTAGAAATTGAATTTTCTTCCTCATCCATTGACAACTTGTACTTCATAATTTCTTCATGGGCTTCAAGCACATCATGCATTTTCACTGCAAACTCTCCAGTTTCCTTAAAAAATAATGCCATTATCAATATTTCTGTTGATAATCTTTTAATACTGGCCGGATGGTTACAAAACCTTAGTACCTCCTATGAAGAATTTTCTTATAGTAGATATTATATTGGCATGCAACAGTTCTTATTTTTCTTTGGTTTGAGAGGCTAAGTTTTTACATTTTGGGTAGGAGAATTTGAAATTACAGTGACAGGCTCTTATGTATCAAATAATTTGGTTTCACCAACTGAGTTGTTGTTATGTAGGAAATCACTTCCACAGTGTATTGCTTGCTATCTGACCGCTTACTATGTTGAAAAGAACTCATTTTGGCAGTTTATCCATTTCTAGGTTTACTATGTACATAAGAAAAGTCTTATGAATGCAATAAACCTAGAACTGGATAACTAGCTAGAATGGGTTCTTTTCAACATAGTAAGCAGTCAGATAGCAAGCAATTCACCGTGGAAGTAAGATGAGGTATTTTATTTATACTCATACATGAATCTTATCTCGCAAGTGACAATTCACAGCTGGAGCTTGGGCCACTTGTGGGATGACTGCCAATTTACTCACTGGGATTTGGGGTGACATGCTCAGTTGTTCTATTATAAATTATTGATCCTTCTGGCCCTCCTTAGGACAGAGAAATAATTTTTGTACCTCTTTGTTGAGTTGTGCCATAATCAGCTGAAGAGCTACCAGCTGTTCTTTTAGATTAAAGATGGAATCACAGAATGGCTTTTTTGTGCTATGTTCCCTGTAGAGGTTTATGATAAATTCTGTTGAACTTTGCCATTTTACTTTTTTGAAGATATGGTTCTTTGTGAAGTTGTAGCTTTGACATCCAAAGGTAAGATAAGTGGAGGCTTGGATGTCATCTGAAATTGTTAAAAAGTCGTATTAGACTATCACGTGTACAATAAACTTGTCAAAAGTAAACGGCACTATGAATGTATATACTAGGTTACATCTCACGGTAAAAGTCGATTGAATCACCTTCGATCTTCTATCGTGGCTTATATCTCAAGAGATTTGGAGTGATTTTTCGATTAATTCCAACAAATTTTAGTATTAAAACAGATCAGGCAAACGTTACACGTAATCTATTCAAAACGTGAAGTTGATGTATGAAATTCCATCGCTGTCACTTTCTCCTAGAACATTTCCTAGAATGAAAACACAAGCTATCTCACCTTTCCAGCCGTTGTGATTTATAAATAGCTGAAAAGCTTCAGATAATCGCTGCAATTTGTCTTCGGCTATCCAATAAACAAATCCAGCAGCCATGTTATCTTCTTCCTTGTGTGATTCGAATTTGACGCGACCTATTTGTTACCCTCCGGAGAGCCAATCATATCGCTCAACCAAAACGAGGCTTTATGTGACCTCAGGTTCAAAACATGGCGGTCACTACTGCGTTGCAAATGATAAATGTTATAACATTCTTCTTAAGTGCAGTTTATTAGTGCAGCGGGTTCTGCTTGCAAGCTCTCCTCACGAGCCATTTTGGATCAAGGATCAAGAGATATGCTGAGGTAAGCGGTCAATTTTGCATGTAAACACGGGCTCTAAAGCAACTGGAGCTATTATGATCGAGGTGCTCATTGTTTCCGTACCTTTTTTTAAAAAACCTGGTTACCTTAGTAAAGGACTTGAAGAATACTGCAGCAGAAGGACATAATTATTACAACCTGAATGTTTTAAGGAAGCCTGACCTTGACAAGTCGGCATGGGTTTGAATTACATCCTCCTGCTTCATATCTCCCAACCATACTGCCTCTTGGGGGAAGGGGTGGGGAAGAGATATGGGAGGAGTGGGGGGGGGGGGGGGAAGCAGGAGGGAAGAGGAGGAAGTGTGTTTCTTTATTTGTTTTTGTACTACCAGTATATGGGTTGCCAATGTGTCAACTGATTAACTATCAAAGCTGTGGCCAACATTATTAATTCAGGGAAAGGGTGAAAGCATGTATTTAGCTGAAATCTTCTAAAGAATTACTTCACTCCTACTCTTGACATAAGTGACAAATACAGTGGCTGTCAGGATTGATCAAACAAAGATCTTAGAAAGAATTGCTTTTTCATGTGAACATTACCATACAAGAAAAATCCCTGATCACAGTTAGATCATCAGCTCAAGCTTAGAAACTTTGCGGGGAACAAAGTTAATCTGATTAGCCTTTGGAAGATGATATTACTCAGTAGTTCTCTTAACTGTAAAAAAAAAAAAATTGACCAAACTGTGTCTTTTAGAGCCACCACATATATACTGGGTATATAAGAGTAAATGAACGATCAAAAAACCTTTTTCAATTCCAAGGACACTCAAAGGATAAACATGGTCGGACTATGTTCTGAAAAATTGCTTGTTTCATTTTTCAAACTCTCTTGTGTGTGAGCTGATATGAATCTGTGAATATGGTATATTTTTATATATGTTGAAATTCCCTTTGTTGAGGTTCAAGTCCAATTTTATCAGTTTTTTTTGGGCCAAAAAATTGTTATTAAAGCCATTGGATTAAAATTCTGCTCATTAACTCTTGTGGTTGAAAGTTCTTGATGTGAGATAGTTATAGGATGACATCTGTTACCTCTTGAGGGGCTAGTGATAATTTATTTTAACATTCTTTAGTCCTAAAATTTTATATGCAACAGAGCATGGAAAGGTATGGCTGAAATAACCTCAGTATGTGGTATTATCAGTGAAAAGAAATTACTGCGAGATTCAGTGATGTAAGCAGGGTATTCTTCCAGAACCTTGCTCATGGCTCTTTTCTCTTCAGTTTGTGATAAAGTTGCTTCATCATGATGACATTTTGAGTCACCCATATTGTACTGAGAAAACACAGAATAAAAATTTGAAATAATATTTTCCAGAAGGAGATGAACATTAATGATACAGGCAACGATGCAACAAAAAGTATCAAAGATGTCACAGGATGGAGAAGGGTCACTCACATTACAATTAAGATTGTTTTTAAAAATTTAGGCAAAATTTTCCAAGTTTACAAACAGTTGAATAACTTCTTCTAAGGTTTGTCAAAATGTGAAACACTCTCTTTTTGAAGTGTTCACTCATTTACCATAAATAGATTGGTGTCTTCAAAATAGAACTATCATTTGTCATTGAGACAGTGCTTCAGACAAAAATATCTCTTGAATCTATTCTTAGAGTTGATACTTACACAAATGTTGAAAAAACAAATCAAGTAAATGAGTGTGTGGGTATGTGTCTGTACTTGTAACTGAAGTTGACGGAATTACACTCTCTCCACTTTTCCTTGTCTTTTTTTGATGAGGCTTCCAATCATATATATTTTCAGTGTAAAACTGAATTCTTTGAATTTTATTCATTTTTAAAGTTGTGGCATTCATTGTAATTGTAAAATGACTCTTCCTGTTCTTTTTTTGGCCTATTAACTATTTGGATTTGATCCATTTTTTGAGTAATCGTTCTTAATGAGCCTGTGAAATAACTTACGCTCAGGGTGATCTATTGTTGGCTTTTGAGTGAAAACGCGTGTGAATTGGTCACGGAGAAACAGCCGTGTAAGAATTGGGGCGAGTCTGCAGACTTGTCAGTGATCTTCTTTAGACCAGTTGGAAAATGATCTTTTAGCGTGTGTTTTCGTGATTGATCAATATTGTCTTGTCGCTAATAACTACGAACGTTGAAGTTTTAATGATTGCAGACCTATATAGCAACTCAGACGTTTGAAATGAAGTGTAACAGAGCGTGTAAGGTACCAATATTAGTGCGAGATGGATATTAGTGCTTCTCTTTTCGTGGTTACGAAATGTTCAATCAATCAAAATACTTAGCATTAATATGTTTTTCTTTCAATCCACTTTACTTATCGTGTTCAACTCTCGCGTACCATCTGTGCTTTTTCTTAAAGCACTCGGCCACGAAAAAATAACTTAAAAGAACTTTCCAAATGCCTTAAAGCGATCGTTTATCCAAATTGATAAAAGGGTTATGACTGAATTTTTTTTGTGTGTGTGTGTGTGCAATATTTCATGCGATTCGCTTTCCGTGCAGCGATTGGCAAAAGAAAAATCCAATTAGCAGCTCTTTGCAAAGTCAATACTTGAGATGAAGCTAGTTCACACAAGTTAGTTTGTTTAGAATCACTTAAGGCCCCTTAAGTGCCTTTCTCGCGTTAGTGTTATATTATACATAGTATATACTTCTCCCATCTGAGAAGTGGCTGTTAATTTCAAGTGGGTGTTGAAATGTTTCCATTTGGTTTTGATAATTTTGCGGTTGTGCAAGAGTTGTTATCATCTTGTAACGGTCTCCAAGGTAATGCACGCAATTTCTTGCACAGACCGCACGAGATCGTGCATTTTCCCAGGCTTCGAGTCGTTCACGTTTTTTCTGTTACTTCGAGAGAGGACGATAACCCCACGGCGTTGTTGCCGAGGGTCACTTGTCAAAGTGGTCTGAGAATATAATTCACTTTAATCTTCTGGTCAGAAAATTCCCCTTTTCACACAGGAATACCACAACCGACTCTTTCAGAAAACTGTTTATTATTAAAAAATGCCTCGAGGCTGCTATTCGAAAGAAATTATGTCCCTTGAAATGCGCGCATTATTTTTCTGGAAAGACAGTCTGATATTCCCTTTAAAGGTCATATTGAAAGCATAATGTAAATTGAATTTCTAGATAGATCCTCCTTGGAATTGATGCTTTGTGTGGGCACAATATTTTTCTGGAAAGGTGGCCAAACATTTCCTTTAAAGGACATAGTCGGGGTATATGGTGAAATATATGATTAACTACATTTGAATTTTTTAGATAGACTCGCTTTGAAATTGATGCATTATGTTATCGGATAATAACTTATCGCTGAAAAATATTATGCCAGGCATAGCGTTTTGAATACTTGATTTTGGAAGGGAGTCTAAGTAGTTAGGCAGTTTCATTCCTTTATTTTTCGATTATATCTCCGATTTTTTTTTTTTTGGTTTGCGATGTCTGCATTTCGTAGTTCCTTTTTTTTTTTTGTATAAGCAGGTTCTGATTCGTTCTACGTGGTTTTGCTAATGAGCTAAAAGTGGAAGTAGAATTTTATGCAAATATATCCCACTCATGAGGAACTTTCTCTTATTTCAAAACACTCAACGGGAAAAAAGGCTAATTACGTGCTTTTTTTTTTCTTTCTTCTTTTGAAAAAGAAAATAATTTGGTGCGAATTTAGGATGATTTAAGGATGGGAAATCAATTGGCATGCTTATTACTAACGGCAGCTGTTATACTACGAAAGTCTGGTAGTGTCGGGGTGCCATTATACGCATGCGCCCGTCATTTATGGAATAACCAGTGATGTAAACTAATCAGACTCGAGAAATTAAAGGTACATAAAGCAAAACTGATAATATTCTGAATAGGTAATTTTTCCAAGCGAATGAGGGAGGAAGGAGTGTAACAGCTGCATAGACAGCTTATGAGTCCGATAACAGCTATCTACATATCGAAAAAAAAAAAACAATGGGGGTTAGTGGCACTTTAAGAAATACGCTTGGTCTTGACGGAACTGAAATCTGGTCCTGGGCATGAGTTTTATATTATTTTTTAACCATTTAGCCCTTAGGAGTGACAAGCATCTAATTTCTCCTTAAAATATCTCCCCCAAAATCACAGGTTAAGGTTACGAGAATAAAGACCGGGAATGATCACCAACTCGAGAAGCTTTTGATTGTGAAACAAATTCTCCTTTTCAGAACATTAGGAAATATCTAAAGGACAAACTTCTTCCTTTCATATTTTCATTCCGATCTCGTTTGTTTGAAGGGTGGATGACGCTATGCATTAGATAAATCTCTATCTGTGGGACTGCGCCATACGTCACGTTTGTTAACAACTATGCGACTTATTGGCTAGAGAGCGGTTTATCCGCTGGATAGCGAAACCCACCCTTTGAGTAACTGGACCCTGTTGGTCCCAGTCGTTGCTGGTAAACAGTTATCGAGTTGCGTGGGACGGACTGTGTGTGGCAAAACTGCTGTCATTTGTAATAATACTATGAATAATGACCGACCCGGACGATTGGAACAATTTATTTGAAAACGCTAGCCAAACTATCAATATTGACCTGGACGATGAGGAGAACTATATGAAAACAATAGTAACTCGCACGATCGGTACTATTTTATGAAAACACTACACAGACGATCCATAGCGACAACCACGATTTGGACTATTCGGTGGTTTTCAGTTCTGGATAACAGCAACTATAACAATCTTTAATCTGTAATCTTTACTCTTTAGTGTTGATAAGGATAGGAAAAAAAAAAGATTTACAGTTTACTTTAATTAAGCCTGGCACATCACAAATGATGTAGCAAGATATATCTTTCTTTTAAGCGGCTACAACACTTAAAAGGTTGGCCAATAAGTGACATTTCGAGCGTTAGCCCTTCGTCAGAGCGAATGACGAAGGGCTAACGCTTGAAACGTCAGCTTTGAAACCCTTTATGGTGACCAATTTCACATAATCAACTTAGGCAATAAAACCAAAATTACCCTGTTATACTCCCCGACCATCGTAACACCACCGTGAGTTTCTTTAGAATCTTACCCCCTTTATCAAATTTATCAGTTTGTCATCGAGAGCCTATCTTTCGTGTTTGGTTTTAAAGCTCTTGATGAAAACCTTCAGAATGACTCACAAAAGATTTAGGCTAAAATATGATTTCATCTGGTGTTGACGGTTATTATATCATTATTTACACTAAGGTTTTTCTCGAAAATTCATAACGAAAATTGTAAACAAGAGTTTCAAAATAGGCAAATTGGAGACTGCGGACTAGAACACTTTCAAGCATGTATTTTGTAGGAGTATTTGATATTGTGTTATATACAGCATTGAAGTAAAAATACGACAACGAATCTGCAATTTCAAATATGATATTAACGTTGAATCGAGGATTGTTACATTTTTTATTTTCACTTCCTTTTTGTGGTCTGCTGTTGTTATCTTAAAGTTTATTTTTCCCTCGGTTAGAGGTCAATTTAAGCAAACAGACGGGTTTTTTTTGTTTTGTCTTTTTTTCAGGTGGGTTTCCTTACATTGAGCATGGTACAAACGTAACAAATCACGTGGGGGGAGGACTGATTTTGATTGGTTAGTAGAGTTGACCACTTGGGCTGGTGGTGATGTTGATTGATCGGTAAGAATCGGAAAACACTGTGAATTCAAATTCGCGTAAATTTTGATAAGGACAGGAGTTTTATCTCGACGTTAGTGGTACCCTTTAATTCCAATGAGTGACCAAGACAGACTTTCTGCTCACAATATCAAAACGATACTATACTGACAAGTGGTGGGAATAAAGGAAAATAGCAAATCCAATATCAAATTCTCCAAACAAACATCTTCAGAATTGTATGAAAGACAGTAAGGGGAATTAACAATGAGATCTTAGGAATAAAAAGGTTAGAACAGTTATAAGGGATGTTTTTGTCACTTTGCGCATTTCTCTCCAGTTGTTCGAAGGCCGATTTGCGCTAACCCAGAGTTAAATTTTTAATCCAGATTTCTTTGTTCTAAAGCCTTTTTAGGGAAGCGTTTCCCTATTTTTTTTAGAACGTCCAATGATCAAATTGCAAGCAAAAAGATTTGAACTGAATATTTTTTTAAAGCTTTCACACCTGAAATCAAATTCCACACTAACCCTGGGTGATCTTAACCCAGCTTTGAACAACCTGGGCCATAGGAGTTTACCGTTTAGACAGAATGGTCTATATCTTGATATTTTACGGATAGAAAAGCTTAGACAGTATAATCTTCATCAGTCAGGTATCCAATCCGAAACAATTATTTGATATTTGGCCCTTGTTTAGAGTCTCGAACGATTTTAATATTCTGTTTAACAGTAAATCCCAAGGTTAGATTACACATCTCTCTGCGGGAGACTACAAAGTCCACCATCTTCTGTTCAATGAGCCACTAACCACACGCAAACCTAGTAGTTTGTTTAGTCTCCGTGAGAACCTCTTCGATATTAACACCCATTAAGCATGTGGCTGTTTAATTTTTTTTGATAAAAAAAAGCCGCTGAAAACCCTATTGAATTCAAAAGCCTTGCGCAAGCCGAGACCACATAGCAACCGCACGCATCACGCATCACGTGCTCGAATCCAAATAACAAGAACTCAATTCTGGGAAACAAGCGACACGCTTCACCACTGAATCGTTAGTTACGCGAACGGTTAACTGTCGTTGCACAGTTTAATTTGAGATCAAATTCTTGCAGTTGTTTGTGAACAATACGCCGCGTGCTCTCAAAACGCATCCCTTTTTGTTTAGTCTGTAGCACAGCTGCTGTTGCAGACTCTTCAATGAAAATGTGCGAGATTTCACACATGCGTGAAAGGGACTTGCGCCTAATTTAGCCGGTGCGAGTTCGGCAATGAAATTCGATTTCACTCATTCATAGAGGCAAAGGGAAAGTTCTGTCGTGATATTTGATGGAAGGAAACTAAGAGAGTAAACTTATGCTCCTCTTGAGAGGAATATTTAGTTACGCTGAGTCAAGTTCTGCTGAGTTGCTCAGCATGAAAATACAATTTGGCAAAATGTTAATCCTTCCAGAGAGGCCGTATTGAAAAACCGCCTCTGTCATTTTGTTAAGACAGACTAATACACTACCACCCGCTTGAAACTTTCTTGTGTTTATAAGAAATCTGCCAAAATTTTAATGCTTTTTTTTCATGACTTAACAACAACAAAACTAAAAAAATTAAGGCGGTATTAAATGGCCAGTTTTTTCTTAATTTTCGATGCGATCAAAATCTAAACATTCGCTTAGTTTCTTGTTGTTACTTAGTAACCTGCACGGCGTTTCTTTTCTTTTTTTTTTCGCCTTTTTCTCCTCTTCGTATTCTTTTGTTTCATCATGCCATCTGTTGCTCCTAGTTTCGGGTTGATGATAAAGGGGGTTACCAGTGTGCTTATGTCTAAGTTCACCCGCTTCGCTGGTGCGGTTTCATCTAATCGCTTCGCCAACTTCTGACTCCACCTGTCGCGCGATTGTAAATAAACTCATTTAAAGTTTTTAATAACAAAAATTCTCTCCCAAAGAGAGCATTGTTTAAGCTTGATTCGAGAAGCTAATAATTTCACCTACAGCGGATGTTAAAATCTTTGACAAAACGCTTGAATTGAAAAAGCGATTTGAGGTCTGGTTTTCTCTCGATTTCGTTCGATTATTATGCTCTCGTGAAATCAGTCATTCGTTTTTGACAGCTCTGCTCCAAGTTTGAATCAATTTGCATTCACCAAACGCTTTTATTAAAATAATCTCCCATTCAATTTTCCTCTTCCGAAAACAAATTCAGTAATTTCAACTCAAAGCTGTCAATTTACATTCTCGCTTTCCTTTCACCTCTGAAAGCTTACTTCGTAACATAATGTCTTACAATTATTTGAAGATGCATCCGTCGTTACACTTCGATCACACATAATTTCATGGTCGATTTTATCTCGCAAGAAGAAATGATCGTGGAAAGTTATCTGTGCTAAATCTCTTTCTGGCGTAGTATTGCTGTGGGCAACCAGTCTACATGACTGAAAATTCCAGCTTTATCAAGTTTCACACTTCCTCTAAGCAACGTTTTAATTAGATCGGCTTCTACTGTTACCTAGCGACAGCGTGGCTCGGCGCGGCAACAAAAGAGATTTCGGAACTCCATTAATCAGTAAGCTGACACTCAATTATTTACTTTGCCTATTTTTAAAAAGTCTTTTCCAAACAACGGATGAGAACATTGACCTATCCGTTTGTTCAGAAGTGATGCCTCTGGTAACTTGGATGAACAACTGGTTGCCGGAATCGTCAGTTTTATGCGGAAACGTCGAGGTTATTTTGCGCCAATCGTTATTAAACTCGGGATTTTAGAGCGATCATTGCAATAAAACAGGGTCTAATGTTTGATTGGACAAGGTTTTTCAATTTGTCAGCTGTCTGCACGTTTTTTGCATAAGTAATTGGTTCGTCGTTTTACCCTTAACCTGCAAACCCAGCGGGATTTTTATTCGGTTTGAATGGTTCCCTGGTGTTGCGATTTATTGCTCGTGTGTTTGATTAAGTAAAACGGACAGAGGCGTTTGGTGGGGTTAAGAACGGTCGCAAGTTTTGTAACGATACTCCGCAAATGTAATAAATACGAGGCGTTTTGGGTCAGGTAGTCAGGTTGTTTAATGAGCTCTGCACCGACTGCAAAGAGAAGCTCCTATTACGCACAGTTGGCTCGTCTTTTTACGCTTTAGTGATTGCGCTCTCGAAAGCAATCGATCGTGCGCTCAGCGTACTGAGACTCGACCATTTGTGGATCATTTTTAGGTTGATATATGTCTCCAGACGGTCCAGGGATCTTGTTTTATTCTGTTCTGTGGCTACACTTTTGAACAGCTCGCGCTCTGGCACGCGTCGCCTATTAAGAAAATTGATTGTATTGTCTCTTTGACCAATCAGTGCTCTCATCGAACGCACGATCAATACGTGCCACGCCTCCAACAGGTGACTTAACAATAAAGTTGGCGCTCAACTTGCTGGGCTCTTGTACCGTGGTTGCATAAGGCATTATTGATTCTAATGGACAACTACAGCTGGTCAACTACAAAGACTTTTTTGTGCAGCAAATGCAAATTTGCCTTCTTCTTTGTTGAAATGAGGTTTAGCATTCGGTAGTTGGAAATTAAATGGGTAAAGCGGTCGTCGGCAGATTGAGAGCGCGCACATCGTTTATGAGATTTGCGCGCTTCGATTTCTCGTGAGTCATGTTTTGCTCTACATCAGCACCTTTTTTCCAATATTCAATAAGCTTTGCTATATGTTTCTGCAGAAAGATGTCGCCATAAGAACGTGGCCCTAACAAAAGTGTCTCCAGGGGGGTATTAAATTAGACGAAAAATAAAATAAAGCTGCGCCGGATCTCGCGAAAGACGCCGAGTTCCAAATTCTCTCGAGATTTCTCTTGGATTTAAGTCTAATGACTCGCGCAAACGGCCTTAGCGTCCTTTGTTCACTACTATCGGTCAATCTGTTCCTAAGAGCTTTAGAATATTTGTGCGATCATTACAAATGCAAAAAAGTAATGCCTACCGATTGGAACAAAGGAGTGGGCTTTTACCTTCCGTGAGAAATAGGATCTTTGCATGCAAGCGAAATATCGCGCTTGAAAACCCAATGGACCATGATACGACCAAAAATCAAACGCACTCAAAGTTAATTTGCAAATTGTTGCATTCTTTTATTGAAAATTCAAAGGCTATTTTTGGCTTGGCAGGAACGCCGTTTACGTATAAGAAATATTATTACACAAATGTTTACAATTAATATAACCTCATTTATTTTTATGAAAAAACATATTTTCTATTGAATGTTCTCTCGATTGGAAGGTAAGAAGTCTTGGGTACTCACGTTGCGAGTTCACAATCACATGTCATCTAACTAAAAAAGGTGTGTATTGAAATTCCGGAAAAATAGATAAATTAGGCTGTCCAATAATTTTCAAGTGCAGTTAGTGCAATCTGCTGTTTTGAAGGCACACCTGATGATCGCAAAGCTTTTCGCTCAACCTTTCTTTGCTGAAATCTGTTTCAGCTTTGATTTGTTGCAGCTTGGCAACGATCTCTGAGGCTGTAGGTCTAAATTTCGCCTCTGCCTGCCAACATTGTCTGATTAAATTTACATATTGTCCATCTCCTGTAATTTCGTCGTTCAATTCGGGTCGCAGCTGATAGGCGACAACTCCAAAAATAATAACATGTTGATTCTCGTTTCCATACGGTTGTTCTCTTTTCAGCATTTGCCACAAGCATATTCCGTACGAATAAACGTCCGCTTTCGTTGTCGGGCTTTCGCCTTTTAGAAGTTCCGGTGCCCTGTAAGCATATGTTCCAGTCAAGTTCGATTTTGTCGGGCTGGCTGGCTTATTGTTTTCCTCAACGGCGCGGCAGCACCCAAAATCAGCCAGTTTGCATTGATCTTCGGCGGTGACGAGCACATTTCCCGGTTTTAAGTCTAGATGTGCGAGCCCTTGCTGGTGGGCAAATTGTAAAGCAGTTGCAATATTTAAGGAGAATTTTCTGCGTCGATTAGCATCCAACTCCTCAAATGGATCGTTTATGACGCTTTGCAAGTTTCTCTCGCCGGCAAACTCCATTATTATGCAACGAGTCTCCATTATGGTCAATACTGCGAGCGTTCGCACAATGTTCGGATGTCTGAAATGTAGAATGGAGCTTTCAGCCTCGAAACTTTCCAGTGCGGCCCTCTCATTCTTTGTTCCCTGATGAAGCTTTTTTATAGCTATTCGCTCCCCACAATATGTCGCCTCGTAAACGGATCCAAAGCCACCGCTGCCCAAGAGTCTTCCGATCTTAAGCTCGGATGGCTCAAAATTTCCACTGTGTATGGTATGATGAACCATTTCTCGTCTTCGAAGCCTGTTGCAGCACTCACACAACGTTCTCTCAACTTCATGCAGCACCATGACTCGAAAGTGAAATGAAAACAACCGTCTGCAAACTAGCAAGTGTGACTTTCTTAGCGTTACCTTTCGCCGATTGACAATTTCTGCCCTTTTGATATCTACTGGAGGTTGATTTTGGCCAAAGCTGGCGAAGTTTCTCAATATGTACTCCCTTTGTTGTGCTCCCGTGCGCGAGCCGGATACGTACTGAAACAAATGCTTTTCTAAGGACTACTAATAAGCCACGCGCAAAGCTTTTCTCAGGTGTGAATTTTAGGATTGAAATGAACTTCAGCCAATCACAGCGTGCGAAGCAACCAAGCATAACCAATGAGCAGTAGTCTTGCCTGTTACCCCACGAGGTTCATTTATTGAGCACAAACTTGAACAGCCGCTCTGAAAAATGTTGAAATTTTCACGAGATTGGCTCCTGTGATTGGAAAAGTGGTTGTTTTCTCTACGGTACAATTTTGCAGAGGCTGCCTGTTTTTTTTTTTGTTATTTTGTCACAATGCACGGTAGCTTTCCTAGGTGTGCGTGGAGCTGCGAAAATTTGCATAGCAATTGATGCGACAGAGCGTAAACGTAGTATTGACACTAATCTCTTAGCGAAGCGAAATGCGGCGTCGACTCACGAAAGTCACCACCAGCATAAGTTGAGCAACCTACCGCCTTACTTTCTGTTTTTAGGCCGATTTTAATTCCTGAGAATTTTATTTTGGCGTCTAAGCTGGTGATCGACTATATTATTATTATTATTACTACTACTTTTTGCCATAGGTGAGCTTTTTCCACTGAGGTTAACCTTGCATGACAACCTATTTTGCATTTCAACCGCAGATGGATGTTAATTGTTGAATGGAGATGACTCGAGCCTTTGCTCGCGTGGCAACCATTAAAGAATGCGATTTTATTGGCTGAGATTGTTCTCCATTCAAGCTATCGGCTTCTGATTGACATGAAATCGTTGTAAATGACAATTTGCCGGCTTCATTTACAGTTGTGATACATGCACTCTTTCTCGAAACACCTCTTGGGACTTAAAATTAGCTCAGAAGTCACAACGCTTTTCAGTAACACTGTACCGAGAATTTGTCGATTTTTTTCCTTAAAGCAACAGGTTTCCTGCCGCTTTTTATGTTTTTTTTTTCATGGAGGAACGGAGTCGTGTATTTCATTCTTGCATTTCGTGCCCCTTATTTCCCGGAAAGGAAGATTACAGTTTGATAAGTCGTGCGTGTTGAAACTACACTTCCCTAGTACCTCCCAAATTCGAAGTTCTCACGCAAGTTTCACTTGAATTCATGCACGCTAACAACCTCTTCAATTGCTAAGTTGACTTTTTTTTTTGCGTGACACAGACGTTATCTATTTTTGGCAGATGTCTTTTTCGTCTTTGGGTCTAATATTTGCACGTCCTGTATCAGTTATTTTGGACCAAGGGGTCGTGAGACCATTTTCGATATTGCCCAAGCGGACTGATTTTCATTTATTTCAATTTCAGTTTTATGCTCTCAGGTCGAAATCGAAAGTTGAGCAGTGCTCCAGTTTCAATGTTTATTTCATTTTTTTTTGGAGTCCTGCAGGGATCAGCTGCTTCTCAGTTATTCACGTGTTGTCGTTGTTAGCCATTGCGAACAGGCCAAATTTCCACATGACTGATGAACAGAAACCAAAAACTAGAATGAACTTAATTTTAGTTCTGGTATTGTATTGAATAGCGTGTTTTATTATTTTTTTTAGAATGCCATGGGAAACAATTCCATAAAGTTTCAACTATGACCTTTTGTAAATTATCAGATTTTTCGAATTTCTTACAGTCTTATCGAACGCTAATTTCTTAATGGGTTGAACGCATTTTCGTGGCTAATTTGATGTTAAGTGTTCCAATTAGCTTTCCAGATCTTTCCTTGCCCGAACCACACTTTCTTGATACCTGTATGTCACGAAAAGTTCCTGTTAGCTCGTTGACAAAAAATTTTAAAAAAATTGGGCGAGCTATTGAATTTCTTCAGCTTTGCTGAAAGAGAAAACGTGACCTGATTTGACAGGTGAAAGTGTATAATTCCACGTGTAATTAAAGAGCCTCTGAGGCAGGTCTGGTGTAGTGTAGGACATGCATCGTTGTGAAAAGTGATCTTCAGAATAATTCTAGTCCAGTCAATACAATCTCTTATTTTTCATTAATGGATTTTGTTTATTTTGTACTATTTAGTGACCCGGGCTTTAACAATCCTCTTCGATAGCCAAGAAGGAAATTAAACGCTCCTATTATGGGAAATTATTACATGTGGTGAAAAGGATACGTAGCTTTCTTTGGAAGTAAACTTGTCAGACTTCAAAACCTCCTTACAGTAGTCAGTAGAGGGCTGGGAACCAGCATATTCTAAACCTCTCCAAACCCCTGTGATTTTATCTCTAACAATGCCGAAAACTATGGGGTGTAAAACCGAGCTGTCTATTTTTAAAACGGAAATATGACAGCTAGACTCTTAGTCCTCCTTTCGACAACGTCTGTGGTCTCTCACGCCCGTTTGACAGCGACTTAAAAAAAAATTAAAAAAGAAAACCTCGATAGTAGACAGCGAATTGTCGGCTGACGCACTGTGAAACAAAATCTGTCAACTCACCTAAGAATGAAACTCTTTTTCTAAAAAAAAAAAATCTTTGGTTTCTTTAAACCTCATGTATGTTGACAGTGTTACCTAATGGCATTAGCATCTTTTATAAACAACGAACAAGTTCTACCGATCAAAAATAGTAATGATAAGGATAATAATAATAATAATAATAATAATAGTAATAATAGTAATAATTATGATAAAATTTTTTTTGAAGATAGTAATGATCTTTATTCACAACTCAGTCAGAATATTTACAGATGTATATAGAACGAAAACAAATAGTGCTTTACGTACAAAAATGAATACTAACTCTGGAGAACTTGCATAACCAAGGCAAAATAAGCGTTCACTGGTGAAATTATCAACATAAAAAGCAACTGTTTAGAATTCAATCTTTCAAATACTTGTGAACGATAAATAGTCTAAAAGTCAATAATTATGTTGATGATGATGATAATAATAATGATAATGTTAGTAATAATGTTAATAATAATAATAATAATAATAATAATAATAATGATAATTATATTTATAAGGCGTGTTATATCACACCCCTTCATGCCCACGCCGGATCCGGCTTTCCCCAGTCCCTAAAGAGGCTCTGGTAAAATTTTAACTACGGTAATCTTAGTACATGTACTGTGCTCTTTATCGTTCGTTCTTTGAATACTCATTGGCTTGTGGTGTTGTTAAACTTTGCCCCGATTGGCCGTTATTGTTCAACTCTCTCGACATTCAGTTGAAAAACTGCTCTACTGGAAACTAGACTGAAAGAGCTAAGCTAAGCTGAAAGTATTTAGAAGTTGGCAGAACAAAGCTCGAATCGTTTATGTTACCTTTCTTCACTTCCAGATTACAGAACGGCCCGCTTTTCTGAAAGGATGACATCAGCTAGGGAACGATGTAAGAATTGTGTTTAGTGTAGATTGAATGCTTTAGACCCGACGACTGGGTCGCTGGCTGTCTGTTGCGGAGTATCCCTCGTTTGGAAAAGGGTTGTCGTTGATTGTAAGAATATCGAAGGCGTAAATCAGAATTGTAATAACGTGATTATACTTTAAACACGCTTTAGCTCTTTTTAACCCTTTAACTCCCGTGAGTGATCGAGACAGAATTTCTCCTTACTGTATCTAAACAATATCATGCAGACAAGTGATGAGAATAAAGGAAAATATCAATCATGGGATTACTAATTGATCCGATACCAAATTCTCCAAACTAACATAATGAGAATCATTTGGCAGACAGTAAGGAGAATTACTAATGAGATCTTGGGAGTTAAAGGGTTAACTTTTGAACTCCTAAGATCTGATTGTTAATTCTCCCCTCGCTGCGACACATTTCCAATATAAATTAGTCACGAGAATTTTGTGTTGGATTAATATAACAACTACTAACTAATGAATTTGAATATTCTCATATTCCATTAGCTGGATAACATGTGAATTTTGAGGACAATCTCTCAGCCAAAGACATTATCAGCCGCCTTACCTGCAAGCCGGAAAGGGGTTTATTTACTTGTTTTTATAACCCCCCCATTAATAAGGAAGTGAGCTTTGGTTTTTCCTATGTCAACCGATAATGTGCATGGTCAGTAAACTTTGCGCTGAATGAACAGCATTTGAGATGAGCCTTTTAATGCCACTGACACTGGACTCTTCAAAACGAGTTCGTTGTGCTTCGATGTAAAGTAAGAAGGATGAAAAAGTGAAACTGTCGAGCTGTTTTTTTTTTTTCGGTAGGCTCTTTTCGACAAAAATAATTGGAGGACAAACATCGATGCATACTGATGTTATTTAGTAAATAAACCCGTTTAGGTGGCAGCCATGTTGGCCGATAATGTCCGCGGCTGAGACATTGTCTGAAAAATAATAAGACATTTGACCGAGAAGCGAACTTCGACAGCAAATGAGAGCTTTTGAATCGCGTGAAAATTAGAAGTGTGTTATTATGCGTAAGAACTGTGCGATGGTTTTGCACCACGTGACGTAAAGCAGCCAATAGAATCGCGCTAAAATTAATTGGTTAGTTGTAACGTGATATACCAGTTTTCCAGAGTCCTTCTTTTTAACCCTTTACACGCTAATATCAGTATCCATATTCTCCATACTACTCTCTATGCATTTACTTAAGTACTGACGAAGAGAATTCGTTTAGCAATCAAAGCTTCTCAGGTTGGAGGTCATTTCCTTTATTCTCATTACCTGAATGAATGATTCAGCAGAAATACTGTAAGGAGAAATTATATGTTGGTTCAGGAAACTCCCAGTGAGGAGCTTGGCTCGCAAGTCGACACTTGCTGTGCTTGTTGACACCATTTTTTTTCCTTTTTTGTTTAAAAAAGCTATTTTACCTTTTGTCTCGATATAGGCGGCATTTTCCAATTTCTGTTCTACCTATGAAGTAAGGACATTCATCAGGGTCACTGAATTTAAATTCAAACAGCACAAATCAGAGCAACCCTGACTTATTCTGTTTTTTTTTTCCTCAGTTTTTCGCCAGAAAGTCCTAACCAAGTTGTTCCCTTCAGAAGTAGAGTCAGATTCCAGTGATGATGATAATGATGATGACGCTGGCGTGGAAACGAATTCACAATTCATCGTCAGAACATTAGATAAAGACTCGCAAGAAAGATCCGCTGAAAGAGAGAAACGAAAGCTGAGTGTGGCTGAAGGTAGCGTTTGACATGTGGGATCAGCAACTCGTCTTTGTTGTAGCTTTGTCCGAGTCGATGTTTTTCTCCGTATCTGACTGGATTGTATAATAAGATCATCGTCTTCGTTGTTACTGTCGTTGTTTGTTTTGTTTTTATGAAGAATTTTTTAAGGAATCAGGTCAGAAACTCAGGTTATGTTGTAGCGGGGAGTGAGTAGGCCTTCATTGCTTATTAGCGCTGCAGGACGCGCGTTTCTCCGCCCTTGGGATGATTTGCGACGAATTATAGCCTACCTGTAGCCGTGCCCTCCCCTCGTAGGCTAGACGAATTGGGGAAAAGTTTGCCGGGGGTCTGGCACCTCATTATTAGTTCCAGAACACTTGCAGATCTCTTCCCAGCTTTTGTTGCTCAAGGCCGCGTACTTTTCCGCGGGTGAGGAAACACTCGTACCGAACCGCTAGTAACGAGGGTCTGCTTGCGCTTGCAAGATAGGATAAATAACCCATTGACTAGAATGTTTATATGAGCAAAGGAAAAACAATACGTAATATAGAATTTTTCAATCGGACTAACGACCTTTGGTATAAACTATACTGGCTGGTTGATGAGATATTTGTGATTAATAATTGTGTCTTTTCTCATTAGATATAAATTTTCCTCGACCGCACAAAGTCTCCTTACGAGATGAACAAGCCACGCCGTCTTCCCCTTCAAGACTAATAGGTGTTGAAAATCCCGTGCCTTTTTTGCCAAGTGAGAAGGATTATAGATTAAAAAGGATGTATTTTACCTCACGCCCTCTGTTGTCCAGGTTAAGGCCCTTTTGAAAGAGAACCTTATGTTAGACCAAGAATAAACCCTTTGCCAAAACAGCAACCGATACCAATAATTTATCTTTAGAAAGTGATTCTCACGGGAAAGCAGTAAATGCTGTACATTTCGAGCCAGCGAACTCGGTAATGTTTCTTCAATCCCAGTAAGTGAAATAGAGCTCATTTCGGTTAATTGTTCTAAGGTCATTACCAAAGCACTAGCCTGAACAGTCAGTCTAGTCCCAGTCCCTATGAATTTCATAGGGAGCCACACGCAATGAAAATATAAGGTCAAAATAAGCAAACTGCTGAATGTCTGGGGAAACCTCTATTCACAAAATTGCATTTGGTTGTAGTTTTGTATCTGACTTATCAAAAAGTGTTGCGTGATTTTTTTTTCATGCCAATTACACAACTTCAGTAGAAGATGTTTTATTTTCATTTGCAGAGAGTCTCAGCGCAGTATCCAAGAAAAGAGGGGAACCGAAGGATGAAAAATGCAGAGAGCATACAGCGAGTGGCACTGGGTCAGATCTTTCAAAATCATCAGAGCAGGCGTCTAAACTGTCCAAGAATCAGAAGAGGAAACTGAAGAAAAAGCGTCACAAAGAACGAATTCGTTCCAGTGGGTAAGTGCGTTGAAAAAGAGCTTCGGTTTTCCCTATGTCAACAGATAATGTGTACGGTCAGTAAACTTTGCGCTGAAAATAATTTTAAATATTTTTTTCCCCTCCAATTGTGTTTTAGAGTCGAAAAAACAGCTCCAGCTCCCAAAGAATTCACATACGATACCGCGTAATCCAGGTTTACCGACAAATGGAGTAGATCAAACTTGCACATGTGACTGAGTGCAGTATACTTTCGCACGAGACCATGTGCAGGATACTTTCGCACGTAACTATGCAGGTGGCGTGTACTTACTCCCACGACGAAGTGACATGTTTTATTTCATGTGATTTTTCAAAGTCGGTGTCATTGGTTTGGAACTGATCTTGGATCATACCCATTAACGACCAACTCACGACATCGTGTCCTTATGGCGCCCGAACTTTCAAGCGAGTGAATCTCGACGAATAAGTACTCCTCAGCCACAACTACCTTTCTCTGTCCACGCACGTTTTTCGGATATCCACAAGTTTTTTAAAATCCAAACTGCTCAACTGTTCGTTACCAGGGTATGAAGGGGCACACATGTGACCCAAATAGGACACACAAGTGGTAATTATCTCACGCATAATTGATGAGTCTGAGAAATTATCTCGAATAGAAACTTTCTACCATAATCAAAATTCTTTTTTCCTTTAAAAATTGCAAAAATTAGCCGCATCATATATCGTTTCGATATCATTTTCTAGTAATAAAATGAAGTATGTTACGGTAATACGCTAAAAAAAGTGTTCATTACTTCCGTTTGACTGACGATGTATACTATAATTTAAAAGGTTAATATATAAACTGACGGTTTTATCTGTATTTATTTATAAATGTTTGACCCTTTTTTGGTAACAATTCTATTTTGAAATTATTGCCGCTGATGAATAAATCTGATTCCTTCTTTTGTTCAGCCATCCATTTCTCCAATCTTTAGTTCATTCGTTTGTTACTTTTTATCAACCAGAAATTTACTTTCCTTTAGTCGAAAATATTATGAAAATGATGTCGAAACGTTGTGTGATTTTGGTAAAACTCAATCCAACACGTATCCGCACGTAAGAAAAATAATTAATGCAAGCCAATGACGTTTTAAAATAATTCCCCGAAAATAAGCCAGATAATTATGCAGTCACGCGATTTTTCGGCTCAAAGCTTCAACGAAAGTAGATTCCATGCTAATTTAGTATTATCAACTGTGTTGATAACGTAATTCAACCACTGTAAAGAGTTTCAAAGCTGACGTTTCGAGCATTAGCCCTTCGTCAAGGCTCTCTAGATGACCCTGTTGTTCTGTCCCGCAGATGCAGCACCACACTTTTTTTTAGAAACTTATCCCCCTGGATTCCGTGCATTAGTTCAGTGATAGGTCAGAGATGATGTCAGAATGTCGTGGGAACAAAAAAGGTGGCACCCGAGGCGCAGCGAAGGTCACTAATGTCCTCATCGCATTTTGACATCCTCTGTGATCTATCACTGTACAGACGCACGACAACACGGAGTCTGTTTGTTTCATATGATAAAACGCAAAATTTTGTTGATGGTGACGTCGTCTTCGTGTCTGTCCTCCGGTAGATCATACTGAAGTAAAACGCGTGTACAATTCAGCTCATCGTATTTTCTTATTTTAAGCTTGGAAATGACATGGTGCCATGATGCTATGGCACAGAAACGTTAATTTTTACTGTTGATTTATGCTGAAGAAATGTAAAATGATTTCCGTGTTTACATAGCCTGATGTAAACACGCGGGAGGTTGGGAGAACACGAGATAAGCGTAGGAAACCACGACGCGAAGCGGAGTGGTTTCCAGCTTATCGAGTGTTCTCCCAACCTCCCAAGTGTTTACATCAGGCTATGTAAACTTGGAAACCATTTTACATTTCTTTTATAAAATAACTAATGAAAGAGGAACGAAAACCGTGTTTACATACGCTTATGTAAAATGGTTTTATGGCCAATCAGAGCGCGCGTACTATTTGAATTATTTTATAATTGCTCGTTCTTCACCAATTATTTCTTTTAATCTAAGTATAGAAAAAAGTCACGCGTTTGTAAATCAACCTCCACTCTCTAGTAAAAAAACAAGAAAATGAAAAGTGAAAAAATTTCATGGTTGTGCCGGCCTTACTCAAACCCGTGATAGAAACTGCCTTAACTAGTCGTGAAGGAGGTTTTCAACGCAAGCAAAGTATGTTAAAATTGTAATAAATACTATGAGTTTTTCCCTGTGAAAACCGCTATTCGATTTATAAACGGCTTGTGTCGGTGCATGTAGATTAAACTATGATTTAAACAAATTTATTGTGCAAGGGGAAACTGTTCTTATAATATTTACTACAACAAAGTACTTTTTCTTTATTATTTCTTTGCGTCAAAATATTTATATTTCAGAAAGCCTAGCTAGAGTAAGTTTGATAGTTATATTTCGGTACTTGTGACCGTATCATCAGAGTGCCTTAAATTTTCTTTGAGCTGGCGGGTATGCATATTTTATTCCGATGATGGAACAGTTTTAAACTAAGATGTAATTTTCCTAAACACGGTTGAGTCATTTGTCTGCTAAATGTTTTTACATAGTTGCCTTACTTGTCCAATGACTCAGAGGGGGAACCACCTGTTACGTCATCTTTGCGTCATATCTGCGGTGGAGTGGAGCCTATTTAACACCGTACTCATTCCTTTGGCGCATAAGGACCATATCGAGGCAATCATAACAGTGTAAATTACAATTTATCAAAATGGCGGCCTGGCAAAGGAGATTGCAAAAGGAGTTGAAAGAGATCAAAACGAAACCTCCACCTGGAATGTATCTTGACAGCGATTCAGTATCTTCAAATCTTGCTACGTAAGTTTTAAGCTGTCTGCCTTTAATATCAATCAAGGAAAGCTAAACTTAATTGGGCGGATTTATGGGAATGTTTGTACTTCCGTGAATTTCGTTTTTAGTAAATGTTCGTTCGATTTTTCTCTTTCCAGGTGGATAATTCATGTAGAAGGGGCTCCAGGTAGACCAAATTTGTTATATGATTTATCCTTAAGTATTTCAATAACCAACACAGCGGAGTTCAAATTAACTTGATATTTTGACGGTGGCCACTGTGGTAGTCTTTATTCAGTTGTGTTTATGGAAACCTTCGTATTATTAGCTCGTGAAAATATGACTATCGTTGTTGTTTTGTCTTGTTTACAATATTTAAATTCAGTGGGTTGTGATATTTAGAAAAGAAAAATCAGTTAGGGTGTTGGAAAGGAAGGAGCCTGCTTCATGAAACAGAGTTGGAAAGGAAGAAGCCTGCCTCATGAAACAGAGTTGATCATGAATACAAACTTGCCCCTCAAGTTACTACAGACAGAAAGTCACAGGACAAAGTTAGTTTCAAGTTGTTTATGTATTTATGTAAAAGATTTACTGGAATTATTAAATATTGTTTGTATTTTTGCTTTTTAGGGACGTTATATGATGGGGAAAAATTTCAGCTAGAATTTAAATTTGGATCTAAATATCCTTTTGAGTCACCTGAGGTAAAAATGATTTTTCCTGTTTCACCTTGTTGAGATCTGCATTTTAAAAAGTGTGGAGTTGAATGAGTGTTGTTAACCCAACTTCTTGGTAATAGCGTTGAAGCAATGCATATGCATTTTGGAGATGTGGATGAAAACTGGAAAAAGTGTGCAACTACTTTTGCTGTGCTTTAACCCTTTAACTCCCAAGATCTGATTGTTAATTCTCCCCTTTAGCTGCTACACATTTCCTAGTAAATTAGTTATGAGAACTTGGTGCTAGATCAAGATAGCAGCTTCTACTTGACAAGTTTGAATATTCTCATTACCTGATTGCTGAAGAATGTATGGATATTGTAGGGAGAAGTTTTATGTTAATCACTTCTGAGAGTTAAAGGGTTAACCATTTAAATTCCAAGATCTCGATAGAAATTCTCCTTTCTGTCTGCCTTGTAATTCAAATAATGGGCAAAAATTGGAATAGTTAATAATCTCCTGATTAATGTTTTTTGTTAACCTCATTATTTGTCTGCTTGATATTGTATTGATATTGTAAGGAGAAATTCTGCTGTGGTCACCTGTGAGAGTTAGAGGGTTAAAAGGAACCAATCAATAGAAAGCATTTGTTTTAGGAATTTGAAGGTTATGCTACATGCAATAGATCATACAAACAGGAGGGTAAGAACTCTCACCTTCACAGCCACTAAGGAAAATTTTTTTTCTTGATGCAGGTAATATTTGGAGGGTCAAATATCCCTGTCCATCCTCACGTTTACAGTAATGGACATATATGCTTGTCAATCTTGACGGATGACTGGTCTCCAGCTCTCTCAGTGGAATCTGTCTGTCTCAGTATTGTCAGTATGCTAAGTAGCTGTCAAGAAAAGGTAAGCTCAATTGTTCTTGCAGGCAGCATGTATAAATGTTTTCTTAATTCATTTTTCCCACTCATCATCATTATTGATACCCTGGGGATTAAGAGTGCTAATTTGAAAGATAAATATTTGTTCTAGAGTTTTGTGGCTTTCTGAACTGCCTAGATTTAGGGAAAGGCCACAGACTGCCATATGATGCTTAGAATGATAAGGGAGATTAAAGTATCTAGCAACTTGTTTGGATGCGTCCTTTTCATTTCTTTCTACATCATGTACAGCTTCCCATGAAGCTTTCAACTGTTTATTGCTGGATCACTGATTTCATATAAGTGTACTTTGCGCAGTACAATATTTTGTGATTTTCATAGTCGCTTGTTGACATTGGCCATGGAGCATGAGCAAATAGATCTCTGATGCCCGCTGAATTGCCCTCAGTCATCAGTAAGTCCCAGTACAGTGTTCTCCTTTTCAGGCAGTAACCGGTAACATTCACCACCTGTAGTACCTCTTATTACCGTTTAAAATTGCTTGGAATTCTTGAAAATTCAACTTGTAAAAGGATTGCTTTACCAGTTTGAAAATTTATTTTACCTGTCATGCTTAAAATAAGGGAGAACACTGCATTAGCTGATTTGCAAAAACCAATTTATACTCAAGGAGATGATTATTTTCTGTGATAACAATGCTTACCATGGCATTTGATAGTATAACTTAAATTATTTTATTTATTCTCATTCTAGAAACTTCCTCCTGATAATAACTGGTATGTTAAAACATGTCATAAAAGTCCAAAGAAAACAAGATGGTGGTATCATGGTAAGTTTGCTAAACACATTTTAGAGCTAAAGTTTTGTATAATTTAGAACTTCCATTGCTTCAACAAGTTTCTGTGATGTACACTTTAAAAATTTGTTTCTGGCATTATTTAAACATTCACTATTAGGTAAAGATTTGATACAGGCATGATAAAAATTGGGAACAGAGTTAAGTCATATTGATGTTTTAATTTCCCACCTGGTGTTATTTCAGATTATTTTATCCGCTCATGTTATCGACATTAGTTGTTTTCTTCCCAAATATATGTATATTGTTATTTTGGTTATCAAGTGGAGGGGGCAAATCTGTATAGTCAGGAGACTAAAACCAAAAGAAATTGTGTATGGGACAGAAAATTCCCAGGAATTCTGAATTCAGAGAATGAAGGTCAAGCACAAAAAATAGTTGTTCAGAATCAGTTAAATTCCAGACCAAATTTATTTTCACATTTTGGAGTGAGTGAAATGTTATATATAATTATTAAATACACTTATTTTCATTCTCTCTTGCAGATGATTCTGTTTGACATGTCTCCATTTTAGGTTTAAATTGTAATTGATTGTAAGAAGATTTCTTGTTTACGAGAGGTGTGTCTAGTGAAAGAGCACACTAGCCATGTACAGTGTTACTAAATTGAATACTAAGTTCTTTATTCTGGTGTTTGTAATGATAATTTGATTTCTGTGATGTTAATGGAAAATGATTTGTGTAAAGTTTTTGGAAACAAGAATTGATTGTAAAAGATTTTCACAATTTTTGAAAGAGTGATTTATCTTGTTGTGGTGATGAACTGCAATTATTAAAAAACTCACTTGCAGAACAAGTATGCTTTTGAGAAAGTGTATGAAGACAGAGAAACCATTAATTTAGGCTTCTACCTGATGGTTGTATCAAAAATGCATATTTAACCCAGTCTTGCCAGAAGAAAGCTTGCTACAACTACAATGGTATTGTAACAAGGATTAATTTTTTAAATAAAATGTTTGGTATAAGTTTTACTTATTTGCAGACTAACACTTTTAGGAACATTAATGAGCCTTTGGCCATGTAAATAGGTTATGAAATAAAATTTGATTCCGAAAGTATTCATTGTCTTATTTTAATGAGTTTTTCCTGTTGTTGGTTTTCCATCTCTATTGTAATAAATCCCTCAAAAAAATCCGGACTGTCAGCAAATCTGATCCTCCAGAGAAACAAGAGAACGTGGTGCAAGGAGAAGTTGCTGGAAGCCAAGTCAATTAAACTGAAAATTGTTGCATTGTTGTACATTTTGGAACTAACATTATTATACCCCTTACCATGTAGTTATGAGTAAGTTATTCAGGCATCGGCACATTTTAGGCAAAAGTTTGTGAAAATTTTCAAAGAATGGAAGTTTGTTTTAGTAAAGGTATAAATCTGATCGTACGTTGGCAATATTCAAATAACCACAATGTGGCTGCTGTTTGGTGTTTCCACCACAATTTCATAATTTTTGCATATACATTATGCAGGTCATAGGAAAAATTAATAAATAAATAACAAATTAAAATGTATGAATTTAGGATTTCTGTCGTTGATGGTTGTATTTGGGGAGTATTTTCTTGATGAATAATCAGTAAGCTGTCTGTGTAAAAAAGGGCCCAAAACGAACTACTGAAAAAAACGGCAGGGTCCAGTTGTAGAAGGGCATATAACACTGTCCGACGGATAAATTGCTCTCCAGCGGATAACTCTTTACAAAATGTACTGCGCTACTTACCGGATAGAGATTTATCCAGTGGATAGCGTTATCCGAAATTAGAACAACCAGGACCAGATGTGCATTAGGCGAAAAACAAAGTTGAAGAAAAGCGAGACAATTCCTTGCGTGTTACATGCCGTATAAATGTCTTGATGGAGCAGGAGATGCTTACAACATGGCGCAGTCTATGGCTCAATACCGGGGCGGATTACTAGGAGGCTTTCTAAGAGGTTTGTCCATTTTTGCGTTTTTTTTTCACTGGTTATTTGGTTTTAGTGTTCCCGTTATGTAAAGGAAGAAGTTGCGCCTCTCATGAAGTACTCAAATGTGTGCATTCAATCGATCAACTTGAACGTGACTTATCGTGATCTTTTGTCGGCCTGGAAATAAATGCCTAGGGTGCAATTTCTGTACGGCCTGATGATGGGCCAGCGCTTGAAAATTCAGTTTTAAGAACTATTTATGGTGGTCAATTTATATTACCCACTCAGTAAATTAAAGCACAAGTAATGCACGATAAAGACTTTTTTTCACCATTTCATCGTTTCCTGCCTCTTTCTCGAGGACTTGAATGCCATTTCATTTACTTTTACTCTCTAGATTCCTTATTCATTCATCTTATCCAGCTCTCAGGTTGGCAACAAAATAGTCCCAGCATTGTGTCAGACTGGATCCAAATTTACGAGAGGATCAGTCAATAATGACAAAGTATGTTACATGGTAGTGCATGGTGCAATATTGTTAATTTAACCCTTTAACTCCCATGAGTGACCAAGACAGAATTTCTCCTTACAATATCAACCAGACAAGAGATATGAATAAAGAAAAATATCAATTTGGGAGTAATTAGTTGATCCAATACTAAGTTCTCTGAACTAATATTATAAGAATTGTATGATTGACAGTAAGGGGAATTAAAAATTTGATCTGGGAGTTAAAGAGTTAAGGGCTGCCCCAAGTGTTGATAATTGCAAGTCAAAGCAAGAAGAATGAAGGGGTAAGTTTCTAAAGAAACTGTGGTGCTGCACTGGCGAGGGAGTATAACCAGACAATTTCGGTTTATCAACTTAGTTGATAATGTAAATTGAGCATCACAAAGAGTTTCAAAGCTTCCATTTCGAGCATTAGCCCTTCATCAGAGCCAGTGTTTAAAGCAAACGCTTTGGCAGTGTTGTCCCTCAAAGTGTCAGCTTTGAAACTCTTTATGTGGCCAATTTACATTGTCAACTTAGCTGATTAAACCAAAATTATTGTAATAATAATAAGTAATAAGAGGTTGAGTTTGATTGTATAAGAAGCCTTCAAACAATTCTCCATGTCTTTCATCTGTTTTTCTTTCATCAGTTTGGAACAAAAACCTTGTAAGTCATGTACCCTTTATCAGGTCAAGCTTTCTAAAATCTCTTTGAAGTTTCTATTTTTAGTTTTCACTATTTATTTCTCAGATTGCATTTCCATCATGAAATGGTGAAAATCAGCCTTAAGGTAACAACATTTTGTGAAGCTTTATCCCTATAGATCAGTGTTCACTTCCACTTGGTTACTTAATGAGTTTCCCTCACTTGCAGTCAGTTACAATTGGTTACTTTGAGTTCTCAACAACTCCTTTCAATACTTACAGATGGATAATGATTGCTTCAGTTTTGGTTCTACAATTTCCACACATGCATACTGCACTTTTCAGCTTGTATTTATGCTGTAGTTTTAACAAAGGTGTGATTAAACAGATTTCAATGATTTAGTTTCATTTTTTTTCCTCTCCTCAAGGTACATTATCTTAGTCTTAAACCAACAGCAAGAATGACTGAAGTCTCCACTAATAATGCTTTTATTAGAAATTTACTGGTACTCATACAGTAAAATACATATTCTGGTTACAGTACCAGTTACAACTTATATTACCTAGAACATTTTTAATAGGTAATATTTCCTTAACTAATGTCATGTTATTACAACTACATATTAAAGCCAAATACAAAGTAATACTTGATAACACATGAAGGAAGTTTCTTAAAATGTAAAGCTACATGAAATATCTTATATTTTGTCAAAAAAAAAATTGAATCTATTCCAGTGTCTTTCACCAGTTAACAATCATGAATTACTTACTTCCTTCCCACCTTCATTTCAAAGGATCAAAAACCAATAAAAACTATTAAGCTGGAAAGAAGTGAACATACACTGAGCAAGAAATAAATCCAAACTATTTACAAAAAAATAAACATTAAAAAAATAAAATAAAACATGGAACAAACCGTCCCAGGATGAAAAAAAAATTTTAGAATTCTCCTTCTCTATTCCTGTACATGTATTTTTACATTGAAACATATTTACACCTAACAGGCTTCCACTTGAGCCTGACATGTGACAGAAAAGTCAATACTTGTGCTATCAAAGTTACAACTGTAAAATGTACTTTCTCTTTCTCTTTTCACTGTTTCCACAAAGTGTAGAAGGAACCATGTTTGTCTGTCAGTCGGCTGGTTGTCTTTCATTAAGGAAGGCTTGACTTCCTCCACAAATGCCTTTCCATCTTCATCACTGGCAAGGTACCTCCCAGTGTATTTAGACTTAATAGACATGTAATCACTATCTTTGTTGACATGTTGAACTTCAAAGATGTATTTCATTTCATCAGGCTGATGGACACCCAACTGAAAATAAAAATACAGATTTGAATGGTCCATTTTACAGTTGCGTGCTTGGTTGCCAAGCCTTTGAATAGGAGTGAGGCTAAGGGTGACCTTGCTATGATACAAACCTTGCTGCTTTTCAAATGTAAATTACTTTGTTATAATACTAACTAGATACTGGTCTCTATCACAACAAGGTCACCTTCAGCCTCATTCCAAATCAAAGGCTTGGTGACCTAGTGCAAAACTGTGAAATGGCATATTAACAACCTAAACTAGACAGTTGTAACTTTACTGCAAGTAACACAAGGCTGCATTATTGGTCCGGGTGGGGGCAAGTCATTACTACAAAATGATTCAAAGTTATTCCACAAATAATCATTTCCCACATAAAATAACTAAGAATGTAAACCAAGAAAGAGATTCAAATAGTTACTTTTTGCCCACTCTTTGTGCTAAATTGTTACGTAAGTAATTTGTTTATGGGAAGTTGCAGTTGAAAAGTGATAATTTCATAACCACAGTAAATCACAACTCACCTGTAAAAACACCCTGTTTCCTTCTACACACAGGTAGTAATGGCTGCCATCCAAGTCATATCTTATGGTATGTGCCCCATAATTATAAGATTTTTCTATGTAAAATACTAGAAACATGAAAATAAAAAAGTCTAATTTATTATTTGAGGTAAACTGAACTTTTTAATGTATATTTAATTTACCTCTGAACCATACTGAAGATTATTTTAGTCATGTGATCAGTCTAGTGGCATGCTGAATAATGTTTTGAAGCTGGGTTTAAAACACAGGGAACCTACAAGCTCAAAGTTTTTTTCTTGTTCTCTTACAAAAACACTTCATGAAAACTAGTTATCGAATTTTACGTAGTCGTTAATTGCAAAAGCAGAAAAGTTCTGTATTACTATATGGAATAATTTTAACACAAAAGTTGCTAGTATGACTAGATTAACAAGGCCTTGTGAATGTTCACAGATATTTGGGCGTCATTTAAAGTAGTTTTGCAATTAACTCGCCGTCAAAATTGAAAATGAGAGAAAAAGTTCCTAGGTGTCTTTACATGTAGATTACATTTACAATAAAGTCAATCTGTAAACACATTAAGGTCCACTTGCACTTAAATCGGCATCGAGTCAGTTACATTATGCGCGATCATTTTGGACTATGCCACTTTTAACATGCAGAAAAGCTTCATAACAGCTTTGTGAGGATCACATCCTACCATACGCCTAAATTTACCTGTTTTGTAGCTCCGATGGCTCCCGGTAAACTCTACAGGAATTTGACGACCAGGTTCGCTCTTCGGCAAATCTGCTATGAAGAGGTTTCCGCTTCTGCTAAGTCTGTGCTCGGGGATGTCCATTCGAGCGCACGCGCTGATTTCAATTGACTGTCCGGGAAAGTTAGAAAAAAAACCAAAACATCTTTTAGGATCTAAATCGAACATAGCACCAGGCGACTAGAAATGAATGGCGCGGGCTAAACTCATTAATTGTATAGTAAATTAAATGTATAGTAAGTTTACCGTACCTCGACCATATTTGCCTTGTGACGGGTTTTTCTCCAAGCTTGATCTGTAGTCCCTAGTTTCTCTTGATATTGATCTTTGCTTATTGCAAATGGAATGGAAAGCTTTAGAATTGACGATCTCTTTATACAGAAAGTTGAGGAAGTCAGATGTTAAATTGACAGCAGGAAGTCCCCAGAGTCACGCGGTCTTCTTAGAAAATGAAAGCGTCAAATACTTGAGTGACTCGCACGGATTTCGAAATAAGCTGAGCTTTTATCGAGTAAGAGTAGTTTCTATGGCTGCCAATTGAGTATATAGTTGGAAATGCTCGAGATTCTGTTTCAAGGAGAAGAGTGTTTTTCAAATAATAAGAGAAAACAAGTCACGCAAGTTAAGAATCTAAAAAAAATTTGTCCAAAATAGACTTTTAGAGTTATTCTAAATTGGCTAGAAGATATTTCTTTAAGAAACTGAAAAACTGAACTTTCCTTTTTCACAGTGACGTTAGAAATTAGCCACTCTAATTTATTCTTGTCCAAATAGAAGATTTACTTTGGGATCGTCACGCAACCGGCTGCGTGACATTCAGGCCCCACCAGAGAGAGAAATGTTTTATAGGCCAAAGGGTCATGTTCAGTTCCGATTGTTACGCGCGGAATAAAACAAAGGAGATTAGTTTTTTCTTTTTGCAGTAAATCTAGCCACAGAAGAAGAAAAAATTGAAATCTATCTATGGAAGATTTCAAACACCTGAAAGATGCTAGAGTGAATTCTGTTTGAAAATGAAAATATTTCATTAATCCTTTTTACTTAGTCTATTTACGGAATCTAGTCACATATGACATTCCAATTTCGCTCTCTTACGATTGAGACTAAGAGACTCTTAAATAACTAGTTTGTAAAAGCAGTCACATAATGCATAATGTTACAATGGGAATGTTTTCAAGTCGCGTGTTTCAAAAATTGAATAACACGTTTCTTGCTACGAAGAATAATTCAACGGGGTAGATAGATGGAATCTTAAATTCGGCATTTTGACAGGGAAGGGCGTCTGATCCAAGTTTAGCCAACATTTTGCAAGTTTGAAAACCTGTGTTTACTGTGATCACGTATCAGTTTTACAGTAATTCGACTTGACCTGATTGACGGAACTATCAACAAGATGACATTTGTACCCTTCGATTGCCCAATCACGAAGGAGATCCATTCATTGCAGTTACCTTACTTATTGAAAAAAATCTGTTAAATGATTCTAGATGTCTTTGTAGAACTATAGTTCGTGACTGAGAATGAGTAATCGTGACGAGCCGCGGAAGAAAATTAGGAAGTAGGACATCACTGTAAGACAAGATTACTAACTTGATAAACGCCACGGTTTGTTGATCCGAATTTTTATTTTTGGATACTTTGAAAGAAATTCCATTATTCTTCGAAGAAAAATAAGATTCCATCATCACCATCAAACCGGAGATAAATAAAGCAAGCACTTATGTATCATTTACCTGTCTATGAATCTTCAAGACATGCAACAGCAAAACACATTTACCTTTTTCTGTTTTCTTTACGTTTTCCTTACCAGAGCTATGGAGAAAAAAAAAATGAAATTTGCAGTCTTCCGCACTTGATAAGCTTTCCGCAGAATGCTGCCTCTTACCTCGCCATTATGTTCCTTGCTACTGCACGGCTTTGTTTTCTTCATTTTATTTCATAATTTTTATGCTTGTGTTTGATGTAAAAACTAAGAAAAGAGACCAACTACGACATAAATCGCTCTCTGAGATGAGTGAGACAGTTCATTGACGCTTGACGCTTACATGACGCCTAATTTTCATGATCACGCTGGAGATTTATACCTGATGGCGTACCTCACTTTGGTTTGCTAGGCGTTCTTATACCATACCCAGTTACAAGGTTTGTTTTAAATTTGATATCGCTAATTCTTCACTCTTTTTTGTCGTTGAGAGGTTTTTCCGTAGTGCAGTCGTGTAACAGCTACAGCCCAGAAGATTTCTTGTCGTTCCCGTCGCTTTCTTAAAACTTTTTTCACTTTTTGGAATGATCAAGCGTTCAGTGGTAAACATTTACCAGGGACACAGTCTTATTTGTACTGCATGAAACGTCGGCTATGGAACTAAGGCCAATCACTTGCAAAATCAATGGAAACTGCTGAATTACACTCAATCCCACCCCCTAGTATCAATAACGAATGGTCCGTAACATGAAGTCATTCTCCCTTTTTGATTCTTTTAATGATTGAACATGAATTTCATACAGCACAAAATGAATTCAAACCGTTTGACATGATTGTTCACATAGTCTCCTACGAACTCTCCCACTGAAAAAAAGGTCATGTTGCTCACACAGATTCTATTTGTGAAAGCTTTTGTCACCCTCTGTGAGGTTTCTATTTTGAAGGTTTGCTTGGTTGTAATACGTAAACGTAATTTATCCCTATACTCCAATTTTCAGTGGAGGGTTGAAAGTAATATGGTTAAATGCATTCATTTGGTTTAGTTTTGCAATGAACAGTGATCATGACTAGAAAACCCTCTTCTCTCAACTAATCAGACTTCAAATTGAAATAAGACCAATATTGACTTGGTCTGTGGTCCTGATTGCTGCTATTTTTTTGAGTGGCTGGTAATGCGTTAGTCACTTCGAAGCCTAAACATTCCCTTTCCCTGAGCGACTCCCCTGGCATTTGTACTTTTGAAGATTGGCTTGTTTTACTCCCCACCCCCCCTCCGTCAAAATAATTGCATTCAAATGCCCCACTCAATGTTGAATGATTCTTTGTTCGATAAAAGAATGTTGTAGACTCGTTACCCTTTAACTCCTCCATTAAACAGGTGTATTATGCAGGAAAGAATTGACACTTCTAGCTCAAATGCTCCAACCCGCCTAGACAAGGTTCAAATTTCCCTATCCCCAGGCATGAATGACAATCAAATACCCATGGGTTGCCTGAGGGGGGGATGTTGAAGCTTGGAATTGATCAGCGGAGTTGCCAAAGTCTCTTTAACTTGCGGCTAGTGATATGTCTTTACTTTGAGTTCCCATTGACACCTTACAACTTTTACCATTTTTCAGAAACCAGAATTGGTTTCAAACGATTATGATTTAATACACTTTTTAAAAGAGTGATTTATCGCGTTGTGCAAATGCACTGTAATTATTCCAAAATTAAATTGAAATTTGTCACATGAACTGAAAATTGTCACATCTTTGTATATTTTGGAACTAACATTATTATATCCTCAACCATGTAGTTATCTGCAAGTTATTCAGGCTTGAGCACATTTTTTAGGCAAAAGTTTGTAAAAATTTTCAATGAACGGAAGTTTGTTCCAGTAAAGGTATAAATCTCGTGATGTTGTGGTCGGCGCTATTCAGCTTAACCTCAACGTGGCTGCTGTTTAGTGTTTCCGAGTCCACTGTTACAGTTTCATAACTTTTGCATCTACATTATGCAGGTTGTAGGAAGAATCAATAAATAAATAACCAATTAAAATTTATGAATTTAGGCTGATGGTTGTATTTGGGGAGGTTTCCTTGATGAATGATTAACAAGCTGTCTGTGTAAGAAAGGGGCCAAAACAAACTACTAAAATAAAACAACAGAGCCCAGTTGTAGAAAAGCGGATAACACTATCCGACGGATAATTTGCCATCCAGCGGATAGCTGTTTAGAAAATGTACTGCGCTGTTCATTGGATAGCGATTTATCCAGTGGATTGGCGAAAAATTAAGTTGAAGAAGAGCGGGACAATTCATTGTGTGTTACATGGAAAGTAAATATCTTTATGGAGCGGGAGATGCTTCAAACATGGCGCCGTTCATGGTGCAACACCCGGATGTACTACTAGGGGGCTTTGTAAGAGATTTGTAAATTTTTGCGTTTTTGTTCACTGGTTATTGTGATCTTGGTGTCCCCGTTACGAAGAGGAAGAAGTTGCGCCTCTCATAAAGTACTCAAATGTGTGCATTCAATCGATCAACTTGCACGTGATTTATCGTGGTCTTTCGTCGGCTTGTAAACAAATGCCTAGGGCGCAATTACAAAACGGCCAGATAAAGGGCTAACGCTCGAAACTTCAGTTTTAAAAACTCTTTATGGTAGTCAACTTATAGTACCAACTTAGGAAATTAGGGCACAAGTAATGTATGATAAAGACTTCTTTTCACCATTTCATTGTTTCCTGCTTCTTTCTCGAGGACTTGAATGCCATTTCATTTACTTTTACTCTCTAGATATCTTATTCTTTCTTCTTTTCAAGCACCCAGGCTTGCAACAAAATAATCCAGGCATTGTATCCACTATCAGACTGGATCCAAATTCAATAATAACAGAGTAAGTTACATGGTAGTGTGTAATGCAATACTGTTCATTTCAGGGCTGCCCCAACTGTGGATAATTGCAAGTCAAACTAAGAAGAATGAAGGGGTAAGTTTCTAAAGAAACTGTGGTGCTGCACTGGCGAGGGAGTATGGCCAGATAATTTTGGTTTATCAACGGAGTTAATAATGTAAATTGGGTATCATAAAAGTTCATAAAGAGTTTCAAAGCTGTCGTTCTGAGCATTAGCCCTTTGTCAGAGCTAGTGTTTGAAGCTCATGCTTTGTCAGTGTTAACCCTCCACATGTCAGCACCAAAACTCTTTAAAGTGGCAAATTTACATTGCGAACTTAACTAATAAAACCAAAATTATAAAAGTAATAAGAAGTTGAGTTTGATTGTAAAGGTAGCTTTCAAACAATTCTTCATATCTATCTTCTGTTTTTCTTTCATCAGTTTGGAATAAAAACTTGGTGACTCATGTACCTTCCACCAGGTCCAGCTGTCTAAAATCTCTTTGAAGTTTTTATTTTTAGTTTTCATTTGGTTTTAAGCAAAGTTTAGATTCCATTTCCATCACAATAGTTTGTGAAGCTTCATTCCTATGGAGCAGTGTTTAATGGCTTCCTAGAGAGGCTGGTCATTCAGTCCACTTGGACACTAAATGAGTTTCCCTCACTTGCAGTCAGTTACAATTAGTTACTTTGAGTTGTCAACAACTCAATCCTTTCAATATTTGTCTGTGTTCTAAACTGCAGATGGATGATGATTGCTCTAGTTTTGGTTCTATAATAACTGCACGAACATACTGCACTTTTAGGCATATATTTATGCTGTAGTTTAAACAAAGGTGTGATTGAATTAATTTGAATGAGTGAGTTTCGTTTTTTTTTCCTCTCCTCGAGGTACATTACTATTGTCTTAAATCAATAGCAACAACAACTGAAGTCTCCGCTAGTATTGCTTTTATTAGAAATATACTGGTACTCGTTGAGTAAAGCACATATTCTGGTTATAGTACCACTTACAACTTACATTACCTAGAACATTATAAGTAATATTTCCTTACTTGAGGTCATGTTATTACAACAACATATTAAAGTCAAATACAAAGTAATACTTGATAACAGATGAAGGAAGTTTCTTAAAATGTAAAGCTCCATAAAGTATCTTATATTTTGCAAAAAAAAATTGAATCTATTCCAGTCTCTTTCACCAGTTAACAAACATGAATTACTTGCTTCCTTCTCACCTACATTTCGAAGTATCAGAAACGAATAAAAACTATTAAGCCGGAAAGAACTGGATATACAATGTGCAAGAAATAAATCCAAACTCCATAAAAAATAAATAAATAAATAAAAATAAAACATGGAACAAACCTTCCCAGGATGAAAAGAAAAAACATTTTAAAATTCTCCTACTCTGTTCCTGTACATGTATTTTTACATTGAAACATATTTACACCTAACAGGCTTCCACTTGAGCCTGACATGTGACAGAATAGTCAATACTTGTGCTCTCAAAGTTACAACTGTATAATTTACTTTCTCTTTCTCTTTTCACCGTTTCCACAAAGTGTAGAAGGAACCATGTTTGTCTGTCAGTGGGCTGGTCGTCTTTCATTAAGGAAGGCACCACTTCCTCCACAAATGCCTTTCCATCTTCATCACTGGCAAGGTACCTCCCAGTGTATTTAGACTTAATAGACATGAAATCACTATCTTTGTTGACATGTTGAAGTTCAAAGATGTATTTCATTTCATCAGGCTGATGGGCACCCAACTGAAAACAGAAATATAGATCTGAATTAACAACCTAAACTAGACATTTGTAACTTTACTGCAAGTAACACAAGACTGAATTATTGGTCAGGGTGGGGTCAAGTCATTACTACAGAATGATTCAAAGTTATTCCACAGATAATCATTTCCCACATAAAATAACTAAGAATGTAAACCAAGAAAGAGATTCAAATAGTTACTTTTTGCCCATCTTTGTGCTAAATTGTTACGTAAGTAATTTGTTTATGGGAAGTTGCAGTTTAAGTGATAACAATTTCATAACCACAGTAAATCACAACTCACCTGTAAAAACACCCTGTTTCCTTCTACACACAGGTAGTAATGGCTGCCATCCAAGTCATATCTTATGGTATGTGCCCCATAATTATAAGATTTTTCTATGTAAAATACTAGAAACATGAAAATAAAAAAGTCTAAGTCATTATTTAAGGTAAACTGAACTTTTTAATGAATATTTAATTTACCTCTGAACCATACTGAAGATTATTTTAATCATGTGATCAGTCTAGTGGCATGCTGAATAATGTTTTGAAGCTGGGTTTAAAACACAGGGAACCTACAAGCTCAAAGTTTTTTTCTTGTTCTCTGACAAAAACACTTCACGAAAACTAGTTATCGAATTTTACGTAGTTATGAATTGCAAAAACAGAAAAGTTCTGTATTACTATATGGAATAGTTTTAACACAAAAGTTGCTAGTATGACTAGATTAACAAGGCCTTGTGAATGTTCACAGATATTTGGGCGTCATTGTAAGTACTTTTGCAATTAACTCGCTGTCAAAATTGAAAATGACAGAAAAAATCCGTAGGTGTCTTTACATGGAGATTACATTTACATTAAAGTCAATTATAAACACATGAAGGTCCACTTGCACTTAAATCGGCATCGAGTCAGTTACATTATGCGCGATCATTTTAGACTGTGCCACTTTTAACATGTAGAAAAGCTGAAGCTTTTCTACATGCTAACAGCCTTTGTGAGGATCACACCCTACCATAGGCTTAAATTTACCTGTTTTGTAGCTCCGATGGCTCCCGGTAAACTCTACAGGAATTTGACGACCAGGTTCGCCCTCTGGCAAATCTGCTATGAAGAGGTTTCCGCTTCTGCTAAGTCTGTGCTCGGGGATGTCCATTCGAGCGCACGCGCTGATTTCAATTGACTGTCCGGGAAAGTTGAAAAAAAAACGGAACATCTTTTAGGTTCTAAATCGAACATAGCACCAGGCGACTAGAAATGAATGGCGCGGGCTTAACTCTTTAATTGAAAATTTAACTGCATGGAATCCACGATTGAATGGGTTGGAAAGTTAAATTTATAGTAAGTTTACCGTACCTCGACCATATTTGCTTTGTGACGGGTTTTTCTGCAAGCTTGATTTGTAATCCTTAGTTCCTCTTGATATTGATCTTTGCTAGTTGCAAATGGAATGGAAATCTTAAGAATCGGCGATCTATTTATACAGGAAATTGAGGAAGTCAATTAGATGTTAATTTACACCAGGAAGTCCCCAGAGTCACGCGGTCCTCTTAGAAAATGAAAGCGTCAAATACTTGAGTGACTCGCACGGATTTCGAAATAAGCTGAGCTTTTATCGGGTAAGAATAGTTTCTATGGCTGCCAATTGAGCATACGATTGGAAATGCTCGCGATTCTGTTTCAATGAGAAGAGTGTTTTTCAAATAATAAGAGAAAACAAGTCACGCAAGTTAGTAATCTAAAAAAATTTGTCCAAAATAGACTTTTAGAGTTATTCTAAGTTGACTAAAAGATGTGTCTTTAAGAAACTGAAAAACTGAAATTTCCTTTTTGAAAGTGATATTAGAAATTAGCCACTCTAATTTATTCTTGTTTAACAGAAGATGTACTTTGGGATCGTCACGCAACCAGCTGCGTGACATTCAGGCCCCTCCAAAGAGTGGAATGTTGTACAGGGCAAAAGGATCATGTTCAATTCCGATTTTTACGCGCTGAATAAAACAATGGAGATTACTTTTTTTTTTTCGCAGTAAATCTAGCCACAGAAAAAGTAAAAAATTGAAATCTATGTATGGAAGATTTCAAACACCTGAAAGATGCTAGAGTGAATTCTGTTTGAAAATGAAAATATTTCATTAATCCTTTTTACTTAATCTATTTACGGAATGTGGTCACATACGATATTCCAATTTCGCTCTCTTACGATTGAGACTAAGAGACTAGTTTGTAAAAGCAGTAAGGTAATGCATAATGTTACAATGGGAATGTTTTCAAGTCAGGTTTTTCAAAAATTTAAGAACACGTTCCTCGCTACGAAGAATAATTCAACGGGGTAGATGGAATCTTTAATTCGGCATTTTGACAAGGAAGGGCGTCTGATCCAAGTTAAGCCAAAATTTTGCAAGTCTACTGTGCTCACTTAACAGTTTTTCTGGTAATTCGACTTAACCAGATTGACGGAACTATCAACAAGATGGCATTTGTACCCTTCGATTGCCCAATCACGAAGGAGATCCATTTATTGCAGTTACCTTGATTATTGAAAAAAATCTGTTCAATGATTCTATCTCTTTTTAGAACAATAGTTCATGACTGAGAATGAGTAATCGCGACGAGCCGCGGAAGAAAATTAGAGAGTAGGACATCACTGTATGACAAGTTACTAACTTAATAAACACTGCGGTTTGTTGATCCCAATATTTTTTGGATACTTTGAGAGAAGTTCCATTACTCTTCGATGAAAAAAAGATTCAATCATCACCAATCAAACCAAAAATAAATAAAGCAAGCAATTATGTATCATTTACCTGGTCTATGAGTTTTCAAGACAATCTCTTTTTAGAACAATAGTTAATGACTGAGAATGAGTAATTGCGACGAGCCGAGGAAGAAATTAGAGAGTAGGACATCACTGTAAGACAGGACTATTAGCTTAATAAACACTGCGGTTTGTTGATCCGATTTTTTTTTTTTTTGATACTTTGAAAGAAATTCCATTATTCTTCGAAGAAAAATAAGATTCCATCATAACCAATCAAACCGGAGATAAATAAAGCAAGCAATTATGTATCATTTACCTGGTCTATGAATCTTCAAGACATGCAACAGCAAAACATATTTACCTTTTTCTGTTTTCTTTACGTTTTCCTTATGGAGGAAAAAAAAATGAAATTTGCAGTCTTCCGCACTTGATAAGCTTTCCGCAGAACGCTGCCTCTTACCTCGCCATTATGTTCCTTGCTACTGCGCGGCTTTGTTTTCCTCATTTTATCTTTATGCTTGTATTTAATGTTAAACTAAGAAAAGAGACCGACTACGACATAAATCGCTCTCTGAGATGAGCAAGACGGTTCATTTACGCTTGACGCTTACATGACGCCTAATTTTCATGATCGCGCGGGAGATTTACACCTGATGGCGTACCTCACATTGGTTTGCTAGGCGTTCTTATACCATACCCATTTACAAGGTTTGTTTTAAATTTGATATCGTTAATTCTTCACTCTTTTTTGTCGTAGAGAGGTTTGTCCGAGGTGCAGTCGTGTAACAGCTACAGCCCAGAAGATTTCTTGTCATTCCCGTCGCTTTCTTAAAACTTTTTTTTACTTTTTAGAATGATCAAGCGTTCAGTGGTAAATATTAACCAGGGACACAGTTTTCTTTGTACTGCATGAAACGTCGGTTATGAAACTAGGGTACAACTCACTATTTATAGCAGGGGAGGAACGAGGAAGGTTCTTTCACTAACAGATGAACTGTAATTATTCTGAAATTCAATTGAAGAACAAGTATGCTTTAAAGAAAGTGTATGAAGACAGAGAAACCATTAATTCTGGCTTCTGCCTGGCAGTTGTATCAAAAAATGCATATTTAATCCAGTCTCGCCAGAAGAAAGTTAAACCTCATTGCTTGCACAATGTAGTCTAAACAAAGGTGTGATTGAATTGATTTGAATGAGTTCGTTTCATTTTCATTTTCCTCTCCTCAAGGTACATTACCATATTCTCAAACCAATAGCAACAACAACTGAAGTCTCCACTTATAATGCTTTTATTAGAAATATACTGGTACTCGTAGAGTAAGACACATTCTGGTTACAGTAACAGTTACAACTTACATATTACCTAGAACTTTATAAGCAATATTTCCTTAATTTAAGCCATGTTATTGGAAGCTATTAAAGTGAAATATGTAGCAATGCTTGATAACATATCAAGGCAGTATCTTAAAATGTAAAGCTCCATAAAGTATCTTATATTTTGCAAAAAAAAATTGAATCTATTCCAGTCTCTTTCACCAGTTAACAATCATGAATTACTTGCTTCCTTCTCACCTTCATTTCGAAGTATCACGAACTAATAAAAACTATTAAGCTGGAAAGAAGTGGATATACAATGTGCAAGAAATAAATCCAAATTTCATTAAAAAAAACAATAAAAATAAAACATGGAATAAACCGTCCCAGGATGAAAAGAAAAACCTATTTTAAAATTCTCCTTTTCTATTCCTGTACATGTATTTTTACATTGAAACATATTTACACCTAACAGGCTTCCACTTGAGCCTGACATGTGACAGAATAGTCAATACTTGTGCTATCAAAGTTACAACTGTATAATTTACTTTCTCCTTCTATTTCCACTGTTTCCACAAAGTGTATAAGGAACCATGTTTGTCTGTCAGTGGGCTGGTCGTCTTTCATTAAGGAAGGCTCCACTTCCTCCATGAATGCCTCGCCATCTTCATCGCTGGCAAGGTACCTCCCAGTGTATTTAGACTTAATAGACATGAAATCACTATCTTTGTTGACATTTTGAACTTCAAACATGTATTTCATTTCATCAGGCTGATGGGCACCCAACTGAAAATAAAGATATAGATCTGAATTAACGACCGAAACCAGACATTTGTCACTTTGCTGCAATTAATACAAGACTGAGTTATCGGTCAGGGTGGGGGCAAGTCATTATTATAAAATGATTCAAGGTTATTCTACTAATAATCATTTCCCATATAAAATAACTAAGAATGTACAGCAAGAAAGAGATTATAATAGTTACCTTTTGCCCACTCTATGTGCTAAATTTTTACCTAAGTAATTTGTTTATGGCAAGTTGCAATTGAAGACAGAAGTAATAATAATTTCATAATCACAGTAAATCACAACTCACCTGTAAAAACACCCTGTTCCCCTCTACACATAGATAGTAATGGCTGCCATTCAAGTCATACCTTATAGTATTTGCCCCATGGTTATAAGATTTTTCTATGTAAAATACTAGAAACATGAAAATAAAAAAATGAAATTTATTAATTAAGATAAACTGAACTTTTCAATGTATATTTACCACGCTTAAAATTATTTCAGTCATGTGATAAAACTGATAAAACACAGGGAAACTACAATCTCAAAGTTTTTTTCCTGTTCTCTAACAAAAACACTTCACGTAAACTATTTCTCGAAGTTGTTAATTGCAAAAGCAGAAAAGTTCTGTATTACTGTCTGGAATAATTTTAACAGAAATTACCAGTATGATTGGATTAAGAAGGCCTTGTCAATGTTCACAGATATTTGGGCGTCTTTTAAAGTAGTTTTGCAATTAAATCTCCGTCAAAATTAATAAATGACATAAAAAATCTGTAAGTGTCTTTACATGTAGATTACATTTAAAATAGTCTCTCTGTAAACACATCAAGGTCTACTTGCATCTAAATCGGCACCGAGTCAGTTACATTTCGGCGGAATCTCTCATCTTTCGAATTACGCTCGATTATTTTAGACTATTCCACTTTCAACTTGGATAAAAGCTTCATTACAGCCTTTGTGAGGATCACACCCAACCATACGCTTAAATTTACCTGTTTTGTAGCCCCGATGGCTCCCGGTAAACTCTACAGGAATTTGACGACCAGGCTCGCCCTCCGGCAAGTCTGCCACGAAGAGGTTTCCGCTTCTGCTAAGTCTGTGCTTGGGGATGTCCATTCGAGCGCACGCGCTGATTTCAATTAACTGTCCGGGAAAATTGAAAAAAAAAGAAACATCATATAGGATCTAAATCCAACATAACACCACGCGACTGGAAATGAATGGCGCGGGCTTAACTCTTTAATTGAAAATTTAACTGCATGGAATCCACGATTGAATGGGTTGGAAAGTTAAATATATAGTAAGTTTACCGTACCTCGACCATATTTGCTTTGTGACGGGTTTTTCTCCAAGCTTGATCTGTAGTCTTTAGTTCCTCTTGGTATTGATCTTTGCTAGTTGCAAATGGAATGGATATCTCAAGAATCGACGATCTTATACAGGAAATTGAGGAAGTCAATTAGATGTTAATTTACACAAGGAAGTCCCCAGAGTCACGCGGTTTTCTTAGAAAATGAAAGCGTCAAATACTTGATTGACTCGCACGGATTTCGAAATAAGCTGAGCGTTTATCGGGTGAGAATAGTTTCTATGGCTGCCAATTGAGCATACGATTGGAAATGCTCGCGATTCTGTTTCAATGAGAAGAGTGTTTTTCAAATAATAAGAGAAAACAAGTCACGCAAGTTAGTAATCTAAAAGGAATTTGTCCAAAATAGACTTTTAGAGTTATTCTAAGTTGGCTAAAAGATATGTCTAAGGAAATGAAGAACTGAAATTTCCTTCTTGATAGTGATGTTAGAAATTAGCCTCTCTAATTTATTCTTGTTTAAAAGAAGATGTACTTTGGGACCGTCACCCAACCAGCTGCGTGACATTCAGACCCCTCCAAAGAGTGGAATGTTGTACAGGTCAAAAGGATTATGTACAATTTCGATTCTTACGCGCCGAATAAAACAGTGGAGATTAGTTTTTTTCCGCAGTAACTCTAGCCACAGAAGAAGTAAAGAATTGAAATCTATCTATGGAAGATTTCAAACACCTGAAAGATGCTAGTGTGAATTCTATTTGAAAATGAAACTATTTCATTAATCCTTTTAACTTAATCTATTTACGGAATGTGGTCACATATGATATTCCAATTTCGCCCTCTTACGATTAAAACTAAGAGACCAGTTTGTAAAAGCAGTAAGGTAATACATAATGTTACAATGGGAATGTTTTCAAGTCACGTTTTTCAAAAATTTAAGAACGCGTTTCTCGCTACGAAGAATAATTCAACGGGGTAGATGGAATCTTTATTTCGGCATTTTGACGGGGATGGGCCTCTGATCCAAGTTTAGCCAACATTTTGCAAATCTTCTGTGATCACGTATCAGTTTTTACGGTAATTCGACTTGACCTGATTGACGAAGTATCAACAAGATGGCATTTGTATCCTTCGATTGCCGAATCATTCATTGCAGTTACTACGTGACTGAGAATGAGTAATCGCAACGAGCCGCGGAAGAAAATTATCGAGTAGGACGTCACTGTATGACAAGTTACTAACTTAATAAACACTGCGGTTTGTTGATCCGAATTTTTTTTTAAATTTTTGATCAACAAACCGCAGTGTTTGGATACTTCGAAAGAAATTCCATTATTCTTCATAGAAAAAAGATTCCATCATCACCAATGAAACCGAAGATAAATAAAGCAAGCAATTATGCATCAGTTACTTTGTCTATGACCCTTCACATGCATCATCAATATACCTTTGCCCTTTTCTGTTTTCTCTACGTTTTCCTTACTTGAGTTATGGATGAAAAAATAATGAAATTTGCAGTTTTCCGCACCTGATAAGCTTTCCGAAGAACGCTGCCTCTCACCTCGCCATCCTGTTCTTTGCTATTGCATGGCCTTTTTCCTTATTTTATTTTTAATGTAAAAACTAGGAAAAAAACACCATCTACGACATAGATCGCTCTCTGAAATAAGCGAGACAGTTCATTGGCACTTACATGACCCCTAATTTTCATGATTGCGCGGGAGATTTATACCTGATGGCGTACTACTCATTGGTTTCTTAGGCGTTCTTATATTATACTCAATTACAAGGTTTGACAAAGGGCGACCCTCCTGGCATTTGTACTTTTGAAGATTGGCTTGTTCAAATTCCCGCCCTGGTCAAAATTGCGTTCAAATGCCCCACTTAATATTTAATGATTCTTTGTTTGATCAAAGAATGTTGTAGAATTCAGCAAAGTCTTAAATTAGTTTTTAGGGCTGCTATTATTTTTCTTGTGGGCATCATTCTATGATTTAAAATTGTGGTTTTTTAGTCATTTACTCGCGAAAGCAGACTCTTTCCCCTTATTACTCCTCTATTTAAACAGGTGTATCATGCTGGAAAGAATTGACACTTCCAGCTCAAATGCCCCAACCCACCCAGGCAAGGTTCAAATTTTCCAACCCCAGGCACGGATGACAAACAAATACTCATGGGTTGCCTGAGGGGGGGATGTTAAAGCTTCGAATTGATTAGCGGAGTTGCCAAAGTCTCCCTAACTTGCGGCCAGTGATATGTCTTTACTTTGAATTCCCATTGACTTCTTTCAACTTTTACCATTTTTTCAGAAACCAGATTTGGTTGTAAACGATTATGATTTAAGACAATTATGAAAAGAGTGATTTATCGTGGGCGGATGAACTGTAGTTATTAAAAAGTTACATTGAAATTTGTCACATCAATGTAGAAATGATATGTAAGAAAGTCGCAGCGCGTCTCTACTTTCTTAGGCAATTAAAGCGCGCGAAAGTGCCAGCTAATGACCTTCTATGTTTCTACACCACTTGCATACGCCCAGTTGCAGAGTATGCATGTCCAGTCTTTCATACCGCTCTACCGCAACATCTCTCCGATCAGTTAGAACGCTAGAAGCGAACGCTACGCATAATTAGCACTAATGATTTATCTTATAGACAGGCTTTAGAAGTTTTAGTATACCTACCTTGTATGACAAGAGAGAGGCGATTGGTAACTCAATGTTTCAAGAGATAAGTAATAACAACAATCACAAGCTTTATTCACTACCTCCGCCACCTTACCCTGGCACGTTGCGAACACGGAAAAATTGCAAGTTCCAAGTCCCGCGTTTTAAAACAAATCGTTTTAGAGACAGTTTTATTGTAAGCCAGTGCCGATAGCACGTCCTTGTAAAACTCATATATATTAACTGATCTGATTTCGAATAATTTTAGTTGTATCGTAATTAATTTAGTATTTACATAATGATAAGCTTTATTATTGTAGAATTCTTATGAATTAACTTCCTTAATTTATCATTACATGATTTATAGTTA